CAAAACTGCCCACACCGAGAAACCACCTGCCGCTACTGTGGACGTCGAGGACATCTGGAAGCAGTCTGCCAAGACAAATTCATGGGACTCGGACGAGACCGAGGCCGACGCCAGCAACCTCGACGCCAACAGATATCCGCTACGGGACCCGCGCCATTCTCCCTATTCCCAAACGAATCCGTCCAAATCGCGTCCTCGACCCCAACATCTGCTCCTGCACCCGTAGCTGCTACTCCGAGCCCCCCTAACCAGGACTTTTCCAATCAGATTGGTCAAATAAGGGAATTACTTGATCGTGCTAACGCTATGTCCTCCTCGTCCTCTGGCTTTCAACAGGGTTTTTAAAGAGGGTACCCGCTTCGGCTGCACCGAGAGTACCCCGTAATCAGTTTGTTATGTTCGCTACTTCCTCGTATGACTCACACCCATCATGTACAATATCGTCGATCTGGGAATTAAACTCTACTTCCCCACATTTCCGAATTCATGCGAGACTAAGAGGAAGGAATCACAGTATAACAACTGCAGCCATGGTAGACTGTGGAGCTACCGCCCTGTTTTTAAACCAAGACTTTGTCACCCGGAACCATGTAAGATGTGCACCCCTCCATAAACCAATCGACGTTTTTAATATCGATGGAACACCTAACCGAGCTGGACGGATAACCCATTTTGCACGTCTAGCACTCACAGTGGATAATCAAGAGCGATGGATGGACTTTCTGATCACCAACCTAGGAGGTGAAGACATCATCCTTGGACTCCCCTGGCTACGGAAGGTAAATCCGGAGATTGATTGGGAGAAAGGACGACTTTCAGTAAAGCCTCCTCGAGTAATGATAGAAGAAGTCCCAGACGAGGAGATCTTGTACTCTCATCTAGCCGCCACTCACACAGAAACCCCGATCCTCGAACTCCCGGAACTGGAACCTCCCGCAGAAAACCCCCACGTTGAGGTGCCACTAGAAGCGACCCTTGAACCGAGTGAATCAGCAGCGGTGGAAGAACCACCAATACACCGAATTCGAGCCAATCATAAAACTCGCCGGGCATGGGTAAAAGCAGGAATTCTAGAGGAACAGACGGAGGAAGTCTGGTGCGCCGCAGGATTCACTTACTCCCAGCAGCTAGCAGAGGAAGCCAACCGAGACAAACCCGTTAAAACCTTCGAAGAAATGGTCCCTGAGCAGTATCGTGATTTCAAGAAGGTTTTCTCAGAGTCCGCCTCCGAACGATTACCTGCCCACCAACCTTGGGACCATGCGATTGATCTCGTACCTGGAGCACCGGCAACCATGCGTACCAAGATTTATCCCATGTCCCTAAACGAGCAGGAGGAGTTGGATCGTTTCCTAGAAGAAAACCTACGGAAAGGCTATATCGTCCCCTCAAAATCACCAATCTCATCACCGGTCTTCTTCGTAAAGAAGAAGGATGGGAAACTCCGTTTCGTACAAGACTACCGGAAACTGAACGAGTACACTGTGAAGAACCGATACCCTCTCCCATTAGTTGCTGACATCATTAGCCGACTTCAGGGAGCCAGATACTTCACGAAGTTTGATGTCCGCTGGGGTTACAATAACATACGGATTAAGAAGGGGCATGAATGGAAAGGCGCGTTCGCAACAACCCGAGGCTTGTTCGAGCCTAAGGTCATGTTCTTTGGTCTCACAAATTCCCCTGCCACGTTCCAAGCACTTATGAATGCTATATTTGCTGATCTCATTGCAGCCGGCAAGGTGGCAGTCTACCTAGATGACATCCTTATCTTCAGTAACGATCTCGAGGAACACCGACGAATGGTACGGGAAGTATTAACCCGGTTAGAAAAGCACGACCTCTACCTACGACCCGAAAAATGCGAATTTGAACAACAACAGATTGAATACCTCGGACTCATCATCTCAGAAGGGGAGGTGAGAATGGATCCGGTAAAAGTAGCAGCTGTTCGTGACTGGCCAGTCCCTACTAACCTTCGGGAACTACGAGGGTTCTTGGGATTTGCAAACTTCTACCGACGCTTTATCCGGAATTTTGCCAAAATAGCACGACCTCTGAATGACCTGACGAAGAAAGACACCAGCTTTACCTGGACCGACACTCGACAGAAAGCATTTGATACCCTTCGAGAAGCCTTCATCTCCGCACCAATCCTTGCTCTATGGACACCAGACAGGCCTACTCGAATCGAGGTAGATGCATCAGGCTTTGCCACGGGAGGCGCCCTTATGCAGAAGCAAGACGATGGCCAATGGCATCCGGTAGCCTTCAGATCGGCATCCATGCAGCCAGCGGAACGGAACTACGAAATCTACGATCGAGAAATGCTTGCTATCATTGAAGCACTGAAGGATTGGAGGAACTTTCTAGAAGGACTCCCTCAACCATTCGACATCATTACGGACCATTCGAACCTCGAATTCTGGCGCACTGCACAAGACCTCACCCGCCGACAAGCCCGATGGGCCCTCTATCTGTCACGGTTTGACTTTCATATGATCCACCGCCCTGGCAGAGTAAACACCCAAGCTGATGCTCTCTCCCGCATGGCAGTTCATCATGTATCGGACAGCGATGATAACCGACAACAGACAGTCCTTAAACCTGGCCACTTCGTAAAAATTGCAGCTTCGATCCTACAGAACCCCTTAGAGGATCGTATCCGGAAAGCCTCAGAACGGGAAGCACAGGTATTGGAGGGTCTCAAAACAGTCAAAGAGCACGGACTACAGCGCTTGGCCAATGGGATAGCCGAATGGGAAGAAGACAACGGGTTGGTCTACTACCGAGGTCGAGTATATGTACCAGCAAACGACGACCTACGCACTGAGGTACTCCGTCAATGCCACGACCATCCAACTGCAGGACACCCCGGACTACACGGGACGCTCGACTTGGTCAGTACCCATTTCTGGTGGCCTACGTTGCGCTCTTTTGTGGAAAAATACGTTGAGGGATGCGAGGTTTGTGCCCGTAAGAAGATCCAGCGACACCCACGGGCCGTAACTCAACCATTAGATGTACCATCCGGTCTATGGGAAGAGGTAGGGGTTGACCTGATAACACAGCTACCTAACTCCCAAGGCTACGATGCTGTCTTGGTTTGCACAGACCTGTATGGAAAACAAATTCACGCTATTCCTTGCACCAGCTCCATCACAGCCGAAGGCGTTGCCGATATTTACTACCGAGAGATCTTCCGTCTCCATGGTCTTCCTCTTCACTTTAAATCCGACCGCGGACCCCAGTTTGCAGCTAAACTCATGCGATCCCTTCTCGCTAGGCTAGGAATTAAATCAGATCTAACCTCCGGATACCGTCCTCAGTCTAATGGCCAAACCGAACGAGCAAATCAGGAAGTAGAGAAATACATCCGTCTCTATGTAGGACGACGACAAGACGACTGGGCAGAGCACCTTCCCATGGCGGAGTTTGTGATTAACTCACGGACTCATTCTGCGCTAGGCATGTCCCCGTTCGAGCTAACCTACGGCTATCTTCCCCTGTTCAATATCCCAGTGGGCCAACGCAGCGGTATTCCAGCTGTGGATGACCGTATACGGATTCTCCGAGAAGCGCGACAAGATGCCGGAGCTGCCTTACACCTAGGAAAGAAACAACAGAAGGAGGGATACGAACGCGGGAAGCGGAAAGCTCATCAATTTAAAGTTGGAGACCTAGTCTGGCTCAGTGCAGAGGACATTAACCTTCAGCTTTCCAGTGAAAAGTTAGGAGATCGACAGCTTGGCCCTTATCGCATTCTGGAGAAAATTGGCCCTTTAGACTACCGCCTTGACCTTCCCCTATCCTTAGATCGCCTCCATCCCGTCTTCCATGTTGATAAACTATACCCCTGGAAAGGTAACTCCATTAATGGCGAAATACCAACACCACCAGAGCCGGTATACTTAGAGGATGAAGACGAACCGGAATACGAAGTAGAGGAGATCTTAGACAGCCGGGTTCGATGGAAGAAGTTGGAATATTTGGTTAAGTGGAAAGGTTACGATGCAGGGCACAACTCTTGGGAACCCGCAGCCAACCTCAGTCGAGCACCAAAAATTGTTCGGGCCTTTCATAAAAAACACCCAACAGCGGCAAAGCCTTGACCATCGAGGGCAATGGTCATAAGGAGGGGGGTAATGTCATAAAGTACGCAGCCCCTATCATTTTCCTTTTCTCACCGTCTCGACGCCTTTACTTGTACGATACATCATCCCATCACTGTCAAACCCCCATCGATTACTGATCCATCGATTACTGATCCACCTGACCCATCTTCTCCTTCTACTGGCTTCCGCCACCTTCCTTGTTCCTAAACTGTACAGTATTACATCGTTGTTTCTCGCAGACCGGATTATGTATATATAGCCAACCCTCCACAGCCTGGTCCCTTATCTTGACCTCTCTGTCATTATCTGGGACCAGGTATGTGCTTACTTATTATTACCTATGACTACGATACTCAATATATCTCTGTCATTATCTGGGACCAGCTTGCCACCGTTCTGCTTAGTCGCTCCGCCTTGTTGCCTTGTCCAGTTGCTCCGCCTCACCGTTCTGCTTAGTCGCTCCGCTTTCCTGCTCCGTTAGTCACTCCGCCTCTGCCGCTTCGTGACAATAACAACTGAGATTGAATAAATATACCTGTAGAGTAACAAATACTACTATAGGATCAGTATGAAGAATTAACCTAAGTATGAGTACGACGACTTACCCTCAGTTGTGATAGTAGATAACAACTGAGGGAAAGCTGAGAAATAGGAGTCGCTCGTATAAGTGTTCGATCGCGAAGTATGTAAGCAGTAACGAGCCAAAGAAATAAAGAAATACCAAAGCTAGGATAACAGAGCGTACGGATTCTTTCCTAACATGGTGCACGGTAAAATCGCAAAGGGCGTTGAATGAGTGAAGTAGGCAAGGAGCGTCGCGTCCAGCCTAAGTCGTTATGACTGTAACTGCAGAGAAAACAAATAGTAGATACAGCAGTTCGCATTGTTATTTTCTAGTTCGAATACAGAGCGTTAGCATTGTTCTTTTGTACTGTCTACTGTGAGATCGTCATTGTCGAGGTCATTATTTGGAGAGCACTGTGACAATCTAGTTACATCAAGCATGCATGTGATGTGACACAACGCGTCGCGTAACAGGTACTGTACCAACAGATTATTCTTTGAACGGCTAATCAAATATCTACATAATCCCAAAAAAAGAAAATCAAAGGCGAGAACTTGGTTACCGAGGTTATGAGCAATCAAGGTCAATGCGCCTAATGATATCAGCGATGTTGTATGCTAGGCGGACGACCACATCAGTTCATATATGGTGCAGGAGTATGTAGCTCGTAGACTGACGTTTGATATAAACATCGTCCATTCCTACTGCGAGCGCGGTGTCAATTTGCCCCTGCCGGGCGTTGCCAGTGATAGCATATATAAAAAGTTTTCCAGGTAATTTACCCTCCATCTCCCATGTGCGTATTCGAGCAGTAGCTTCTAGGCCATCGCTGCGAGTATTGAAGGATTGATTCAAGTCTCGCAACAATGCGACATCAAAAAACTTACAGAATGGGCATTTCCAAGTCCATAAGTATCAACGAGGGATAGACTTCGCCACCGCTATTATTATCCTGGTGCGCTGCTTCGAGGTATTGAAGTGCTAAATATGCTATCAATGACGAACTCTCAGTGTTATATCATCTAAGGCAGACCTTCTAATCCATTATTTGTAGCATGGGCCTAGATATCGAAACATGAGAATTGCCAACCCAGCGAGACAAGAGATAAATGACATACCGTGAAGCCTGCTTTTTCCACCTGGCGTCGAAGTAGCTTTTGATTTATGACCTGCAAATCGGTCCACGTTATTTATTGATCACAAAAAGCTGGGAGGATCATACATTATCCTCGACGATCAATATGTGGATCTTCGCTCTTCTCGTTGTATTTGGCTGTTCTGCGAAGTATGACTTATTATTGCCGACAGAGTCGGAATTGTCTTTCTCCAATTCTTCGGGTTTCTTCTTCATGAATTCATGATCTTGCGAAGAAATGTTAGCCTTTGAACTTGGATCAGTAACGAGATATCTTTTGCTGGAGATTCGCCTAGAAGGCCGTAGAGATTGAGGAGGGACCAAGGTTGGCGCGTTTTCCGCTAATCGAGCTTCAATGAAAAACAAGAACGCCGCCCCTTGACCTGGAGCGCCAATAAACTTGATAGCACCACCTTGAAGTTCTGCGAGTTTTCGACACAGATAAAGGCCTAGATACACATGAGACGCTTTGAATGGACATGAAGTCAATAAATCCGTGAACCTAAACCTGTCCCTTCAAGACTGGACGGCCGTCGTGTAGCATTTGCGTTGGCCGCCTGTACACCGTTGAAGCGCGTGAAGAGCCGTGCTTGATCCTCGACTGGAACACCAGGCCCAGTATCGGAAATATGAAAGGATACCCATATCCGCGATGCTTCGACAGCAGAATCGGTAACTTGTGGAATGTGCCCAGGAATTTCAAAGGGCCGCGAATGCAAAAGTGACATCTGAATCGAAATCTGTCTCTGGCCATCCCATGTTCTGTTTGTGAGTTGGATCAGAATTTTCACCACACGCCTTACGGAAAACGAACTCTAATGCACGACAAGAATTTGATCTGATAAAATGCTCCGTGAGTACTTGGTATGTCTAATGTAGGAAAGATGCCTACATCAAATTGACCAATATCTGACATAACCTAGAGAATCTAAAGGTAAACGAGCGGAACGTGGAAATGTTATGTAGAGATACCTAGTAGAATCAGCAATTATTCGAGTTTCGGTTGTGATACTAGGCCCTGGGTCGAGTTTAAATGCGATCGACTGAGTTTCCACCTGGACTAAAAACATGGCCAGAGTATTCTACAAAACGATTAGTCGGCTTGATGCTATACCATTCTGCGAGAGATTAGTACCCACTTGAAGTACATGCATCAAATGAAAAGTTGTAGGGTTTATGCTCAGTAGATTCCTGTCATCATCGATTCGATAAGTCTATCGATGGCATTATAGTTCTTCTTACGAGTCCAGGCGCGATACGACAAGAATGTCACTGTGTGCGGAATCAGTTAATGGATTGACCACATAAAAGGTCGTGGTCACCTCGCGATGATTGTTTGATGTCGAGCACAAAGTTCCACAGAAGCAACCGCATGACTGACATCTTCTAATTCTGACCGACTCTCCTCAAACTATTGGAATTTAAGAGAAAGAACAAGGGCACCGAGATCGTGATATCACACCAATTTCTGGAGCCTCGCTGAGTCCGACTGGGTCTTGTTCATGAAAGACACGAAGAGTTCGTGGTAAATGTTATTTAACCGTAAGATTGATCCAGACAGTAGGTCAGCGCTTTGAAGAATTGCAGAAATGGGATTTCGAAGTTCATGAGAAACTAGGGAAGGATTATTTCGTAAATCTGACCCTTGCAAAGTTAGCGGTAGTATAGCACACACCAATATCTATGAAAGCTTCTTGCAACCGTCTCCGGTTTACTGCCTCGTCTGTTTTTTGCCGCTCAGCGTCAAGCTGCTGGCTAGCAAATAAACGTTGATCTGTTTGATCTGTTAACGTTCCAACTAAAGGGGAATCTCCAGGTGAGCTCCTACGGCAATGCAAATGTGGTAGATACAGCACTTGCGTATTGATCCAGACGATAGAGAAATCATTTCTGCCAATGCCTGTCGTCCGTTCAAAAGCCTATGCAAGCTGAGTCAAGTTTACTGACAATTTATAGATCGTTCGGTATGACATACTGGAACTCGAATTGGGCGGGTTCACCCGTTAAAATTTCAGACCACACTTGTTTAGCAGCTGGCCGATATTGAGCCTCAATCCTACGAGGATGTCCGGGTCAACGCCATGAGGAATCTTAATGAAGGCGTACGACTCAATGATCTCATCGAACCGCAACGGCAATGACTTTGGTAATCCGGTTAAAGAGAAGTATCGTTCATTCTAGAAACATCGTTTCACCTTAGGAATAGAGGCACTTCCGAAAGACCATATATGAACTCACCGCAAATGTAATCAAGTTCCGATCCGTATCATCCGTCTCAAAAATTGCTACGGGCGCAAGCTCAGTCATCCGTCTATACCGATGCTGGGCATAGTTTAACTCGGCCGTTCGTTGTTGCACTTGTCGCTCTAATTCCAACTTTTGCCTTACTGTATAAATCTTGGTCCGGACTCGACGGACAAGTTCGTCTGAGCTGAACGGTTTAAGTAGGTAGTCGATTGGTCCTTGATAAATACTTTCGTATTTGAGCTCAGGATTGCTCTCTGATCCAGAACGTGCAGTCAGCAAAATGATAGGTATGTTGTGGATGTCAGGATCCGGATCAGTGGCTAGCTGTTGTATAAGGTCTGTTCCAGTAAGGCCCGGCACTGACAGAAGAGAGAGAGATTGAGGTAACGGGGATCAGGCAAATATGAAGGATGTTGAGACGTACTCATCACATCGGTGACAATCAAGTCTGGGCGCACCTGATTTCGAATATAATCGAGAGCAGCTCGCCCATCAGGTACCGCGATTATGACTTGCGCAACCGTGCTGAGGATCGACTTGATGTAAGACCGCGCATCCTAAATCAAGATGAAATAAATCAGCGCTTTTGGATACCGAAAGCCTTAGCTATCTCACCGCATTGTCTTCTGCGAGCAAGATACATAAAGGTTGAAGGGCGCCTGAGCTATCTGTCTCGGTTTCCGAAGACGCCGACAAAGTCGACGCCGTTTCCGAATCCTCGCCTAGCCAACCATTTGCCTCCTCCACTATCGCTTCCGCATAGGATCCATATCCAGCCGCACGATCCAGTTCCAAATTATTTCGCTCACGGTCACGGTGTAAATTTCCGGGACCACCACCATCCTCAGCTAACGCTGCAGGGGCTGTCTTGTATGAAGCAGGGTGCGAAATATGACTGACATCTTTAGCTGGGAGATGAGAATATCCTCTGGGAAGACTGATAATGAATGAGGAGCCTTTTCCGAGTATACTTTCAACTTTGATACGACCACCGTGAAGTTTTACAAGCTCGGACGTTAGAGCAAGACCAATACCTGTGCCTTCATGACTTCGCCCTTCGGCGTACTCCACACGATGGAATCTTTGGAGAATTAGCTCTTTTTGATCTTCAGGGATCCCACAACCAGAGTCTTTTACCCGTAGTTCGATCTCAGACGAATGGAAACGTAGAGAGAGCTTGATAAACCTGTTGTTATATGGCAATTAAAGTATCTACTAATGAATAAACAGACGATAACTTACCCTTCAGTAGTGTATTTAATCGCATTTGACAGCAAATTGAAGATAATCTTCTCCCACATCGATAGATCAACAAAAACCTCGCGCTCGTCGTCTGACCTTCCACAGTCAACGGTGTAGGCTATATAAAAATAAAATTGAACGAGAACAGTATTAGGCAAAGTAACGATGCCTACTAATTCCTGCCTTCTCGATCGCAGACCGAAACAGAGAAGCTAGATCTGCTGTCACAGGGCCCAGCCGTACAGGCCTATAAACGACTTGTAGTCTCTTCGCCTCCGCACTTGAGAAGAGCATTAACGAGTTGACCAGCCGGAGTAGTCTTCCACTGGCTCGAAATATCAACTTGAACCGAGCTCGTGACGTCTTATCAAGTTTATCTTCATCTTTTAATGCATCCTCGCATGGGCCTCTGATGAGGGTCAGAGGAGTGCGAAGTTCCTGTGGAACAATGAGTATTGGGATGAAGCGACAACAGCTTAAATAAGAATGCGAACGTGGGAAACATTTTGGAAAAATACTGTCTTGGCCCTATCCAACGCCTGCAGTTCCTCCGTCCGTTGAAGCTCTCTTTCGAACGCCTGTGTAGCTACGTAACATGAGCTGAGATTTCGCGAAAGTGTTTGGTGAAAACTGGCGTAATTGGCATCATAAGGTCTCCTGAAAAGCGTAGGGCGGGTTAATAAGTGATAGAAATTTATGATATAACGCATCGCACCTTGTATTCAACCCAAATAACACAAGACCAACTAACATGTCATCTGTACCATGTATCGGTATCAATATTGCATCGCCAGGCTCATCTCCCCAACCGCGAGCCTGAAAACCCTCTGGATGTGGGTTTTTCGCTCTAATAGAGGTCCGACCGAAACAAGCTTTGCTAAAAGGCCAGGATTGGTTCGGTTCCAGGATGGTCATGGAATTGAATTCAACCTGAGATGGAGCGGCAGGATGTCCAGGCTGAACGCCGCAGAACTTGACGAGATCCAGACGTACGTTGTGTACAGACGCGATAGAGGAACCAGAAGAAGAGTATTCGCTCCGTGTATCGCACGAGACATTGGATATTGTTTCAGCTGAATCCGAGTTGAAATCAGAATGGACGGTATTTGTGGCAGAATAGCAAAGGAAGTAGGGGAAATCGTGTTCGTTTAAGGCAAGGGAGTCAGCGACGGCTTGCCAGAATTCAACTGTTGTTCGTATCGACGCCGTAAGTTCCGCGAAAATTCGAACTGTTGACATTCTCCGTTCTGATAAAACTTTTTCCGTCGTTTCCATGCAGCTTAGGGAGCGGAGGGGGTAAGTAATCTGTCTCAGATATAGATTGATGGATAAGGCGCACTTATTCAAAATTCCACCGACTTTTCCATCTTCAGCTTGAATAGGGAGATACGACCATGTAAAATACGACTCAAGCTTGTCAATAGTATCGTCTTGGTTGCCTGGAACATTCAAAGGCAGTTCTCCAGACGGTTGAGAGTCGAAGAATAAAAGATCGTCGACACGCCCAACGTGCTGGAAGATGATTATTTTAGACGGAAAAAGAATGACTTTGTTTTGGCACCTTTCCCCGATAAACATTTTGGCAATGTACTGAAAAGGTGTCCCATATTTCGTGAAACGCTATTCGCCCTGGTTTGCCCTAATACAGCCGTCAATGTAAGCAGATAAGCCCTTTGGCAATGCTCACCATAAAATGCGGATGTTTTGATCCCGATATTATACGTCTCCAAGCATTATTATAGATAAGAATATGGTCAGGACCTTCAGTTCATTTCTACGGTTAGCACAGAAAGAAGCTTGAAGAAAGTACTTATCGCTAACCCCAAAATAAGCAAGATTGGGAAGGGTTTGCAAGCATGATAGAGACTACGGTTTTTAAGGATTGTGGCCATTGCTCGATGGGGCCTAATGGTGTGGAAGACCAGTCGAATTCAAGAATGAGTTTGCCCACAGGGGAGCTTTGAATTTGTGGGGCATAAGAGAGCAGCGAGGAACAAGTCATGACCAGAGCTGTTGTGACATGTCAAGATGTTACTTTCTTCCTCTCTCTGGACCACAAGTGGCGTTAAGAATAGGGCTTGTAAACACAAACGGACGAGCACATGTGTTTTGAATTTTTTATGTCGATGAACCCCCTAACTGACCTGAAGATCGACCAAGGCGCTTAATTAATATAGACCGGGCGTTTATGGAAGTTCGGCCATATTCGGCTTGAACCTATTTCATGTTCTAATTCATGCTCACAAACGCTTGCTTGACACTGCCCTTGGCTTTTCGCTGCTCAATAATTACAACTGCCAGAAGATGCTCATCACTGTCCGCCCTTCCTTCCCCAAGGGCAAGGCAGCATTCTCAACGCGGAGGCCAGAACCTCTCAGAACGATATATCCGATTGGAAAAGTCTCTCCGTGGCAAGGAAGCTCTGGAAGCGGAATATGAAAATTTACACCGATCCACATTGACTGGTCCCAGTGCAGGAAAAGACGCAGTTGCTGGTAATACAGACGATACGTTTAGAGGACTCGTGATACCGGAAAAACCAAGAGAGCCTCAGTCTGACGGTCTGTGTAATGCTTTCAGAATTACTATGACTACCTACACTCATCCAAATTCCCGCTTTATTCAGAATGCTGTATGTCAGGATGTGCAGTTTGTGTTTATGACTTGTACGAAGACTCGCTTGCCGCATATGGGGAAGCTGTCGCCAAAGTCACCGCCACACTCAACGTTATGGGAGTACCAGAGTCGGAATGGCCTTGGACATTACGATCGAGTAGTGAAGCAACGGGGACGGAACGCAAGAAGGATGTAACATTGAGTGTATTTGAGCAGATGGAACGAGAGATTCAGCGGCGGAAGGAACAAGAAAACCTGGTAACCAATCCTCATTGTCTATGGGGTCAGGATTAGCGCTCAAGAGCGTTGGCTTGTCGGTCGGTACTTAGCTTTATACATTATCCAAAAGACTGTATCTGAACAGGATGGGTTCGTGGTATGTAACCCCTTCTTTAGTCCTTTCATCATCTCCATTTTTTTCAATCATAAACTGATGCAACTGATATCCCTAAACTTTCAGACCGAACACCATGTTTCTTCGACGATCCTCAGCTTGATGCCAAATATTCTATTTGTACATCCTTTTCGCTGCTCCCCTTTGGGTGTCTCTGGTGGCCAGTATCCTTTGGTTGCCTCATGTGCTTCAACGGGTTGGGGGAGATGAACCCAAAACACGCCCGCGTCAGGAAATGAAGCAACGCTTATTGACAGCCGTAGTTTTACAAAACGCTCCAGAGATGGCGAACTGATCATCATAGGTTTTCTCAAAAAACTTGCAGTTCACCATTTTTTTGGTAACTATCGTTGTCTTCAACGTTTCCATCGTGACCGTTCCCGAGAACTCGCACTGAAAAATCTCGTTGCTGGACATTAGACATTCCGCACGCTTCAATGTACTATGTACTCCTGGTGTACTCTAATCCCCGAAACTATACTCAAGCATACTCCAAGAATCGAATAACGTCGCTTGATCAAATCGGCTGGAATTCTGGCCTTGTATCTTACTTTTACCGTAACTACGCCCTACTAATTCGTAGCTAGTCTACGGATCGCATACCATCGTCGGGCAAATAATTGTTTCTTTTTACTTGGTTGCTACCAATGGTCTATGATCTCTGAGTAATGTAGGCCTGGAAGCTAAAAGAAAAACCCCCGAACAGACAAGAAAGAAAATTCCGGGCTCCAAGAACCAAAGGATCAACTGCTTATCAAGATGCACCGTCCGTATCGTCTACATCTCCATCTACCTCCCAACCCGTCAGAGAATTATGAGAGCTCGGGGTCAAAGGCATCGAAGACGAACGTCCTCTCTTCAGTATATTCCTCTGCACGTTCAACTTCTCTGGATTCATATCCACCATCGGTGTTTCGAAATCCTGTCCTCTTACTTCCCAGTCCGAATCTACCGGTTCTACTGTTGTCATTGAAGCCGCTACTTTTTCACCGTCCTCTACACTTCCCCCGCCCCAATCCGACTTGGTTCCCTCTCCCCAGTCAGTACTACTATCCATCGCCTCGCCCCAATCGCCTATCGTGTGTCCCCAGGTGGCACTCGTAGTCGTGATATCTGATTCGCCCCAGGTAACGGAATCGTCCTCTGTGTTTGTACTATAGTTGACGGGATTCACATCCTCCTTTTCTTCCTCATCCAGAGACCACTCCGCACTGGTGCCTTCCCCACTCACTGTCCGAGCGAAGTCAATCCGAGAGAAGTCAAAGTTCTCGTCGTCTTCAGTAATAGCACTGCTATCAATGGAGTGTTCTTCCTCGTCCTGGTCATCCTCCTCCTCCTCCTTCTCTACATCTTTACTGTACCCAGAAACATTCCCATACTCAAAAGCGTACTCTTCTTCCGGGTTCCAATCCGACGACATATATTCCACGCTCTTGTCTCCTACCCCCTCTTCGTTGATCAGGATCTCTGTCGTAGGCCATAAGGGACGGGGATGATTCTGGGCATTGACGAGGCAAATTTTCCATAGATCACGCTCGCGCTGGATGGTTCGGTTGATCTTTGGAGGATCCAAAGAATTGGGGGTTGGAGGAGATGATGATAAAGATGATGATGAGGTCGAGGTCGAGGAGGAAGAAGACAAATGAGGTTCGGGCGAAGATACAGGAGGATCTATAGGAGAATGAAGAAGAAAGCCTTGCGCTGAACGCCTCTCCTCCGGCGAATCCGCATCTTTCACCAATTTTATCACAGAACCATCATACTGTTCTACAGCTGCGATCAATAGCTCGATCCAACCTCCACAAGCTTGGGCGACCTCTGGCTCGTACCAGAGTTCCTCAACTCGAAGGAATGATTCACGAAGGTCTTCCATACGGGATTTCACGATATCGCCGATTGAGTGAAGGGGGAGAGGTTGATAGGCGGATGCATGTGCTGGGTGGATGAAGGTCGTTAGAAGGCGGTGAGCGATAGGAGAGAAGAGTTTAGGCGACTGAGGAGGAGTCGTTAACGGCGATGGAGATGATTGCTGTAGCTGGGGCAACATCCCTTGAACGACCGCTCTAGCCTTTTCCTCAATCGCATCTCGATCCACAACATCGTTTCTCGTAAATATCGCCACCAATGACGCCCCACCCACCTCTGTATCTCTTCCCCACTCATCTGCATCCTGCGCCCGGCCGATATCACTGACGTCGACAGTATACCCCCATTCTACCGCCTCCTTCTTGCAGTATTCATGGAATTCCTCTGGAGTCCATTCAAATTTGTGGTCATCGTGTCGGAAAATTCTGTCAGTTCTGCAAGTGGGATCGGAGTAGCCTGTGCGAAGACGGACAGATGGGTGAGAGTTGGGAGAAGTGAATAAGGCGTTGAAGGTATATGATGGTGTTGTGATGAGTAGGAATTTGGGTTTGTAGACACCGAGAAGGATTGGGGCGAAAAAAGGTAGGATGGTAGGTGAAAGGTGTTCGATTCTAGTAAATCAATTAGTATATGAAGATTAAAGTAGAATTGAGAGACATACACTTCACTGCTAACGATGCATTCCGTACCAACAAATTCTTCGTTTATTGTTTCGAGACCTCCTTCCCAGAGTTTTGCCGTCATCTCCTCCCAACGCACAGTATCCTTGCTCCCTCGATATCTCCAAGGATCTATTGAAGAATCCTCTGTATTTTCTGCATTCGCGGGCGGTGCGATGGCCTGTGCAGCGAACTCTAGATCCCGACTGGATATATCGAGTCCGACTAGCCGGGTTATATGTAAATTCGGAATTGGGTCAGAAGAAGTGTTGTATAGATTTAGAGGCGATGCGATCGGTTCTTTAGGTTGGCTGTTGGGATATAGCATGAATTGCGGGGGGGCAGGAAGCCATGGCGAGGGTACACTGAGAACAGAGAGGAGTTGGCCTTCACCACAACCAATATCGAGCACCTGCATAACTGTTCGTGAAACTTGTGAAACGATGAAAATCATTGAGAAGAATCTCACATCAGACACATTTTCCCTTCTCAAAATATCGAGAACCCATATCCTTCGTTGGAGGAAAAGAGCTGGAAAGAAAGTGACAGAAATTTCTCTCCCAAGATCTTCGTCAGAACTAGTAGAGTCTGTTTCCGAAAGCATTTCCGTGCAGACTTCCTGATCCAAGCTGAAAAATGTCAATAGGATTCAAGCCGATGTTTGAACTTGTCGCTCGATGTCAATGAAGTCCAAAGAGTGCCAGTCAACTGAAATTTAGTACATGCAGCTGCCTCGAGGCCGCGTGATTACAATTTTTTTCTACGTCTCTGTTGGCGAATAGATGAGGACGAGCACTAAGGACGGCTTGCATAGGGTGCCCGTTGCGAAATTTCGGCTCGTAGCGCCTCTCAATGTCATCGCTGCATAGTAGTAAGACAGCTTTGACCCCGGTGTGGGATATACTTTTCGATTTGTCAGCTCTGGCCGTATGTATGTACTCTGTTGAATCCTTTCGACATTCCCATTTGTCTTGAATTAGAAAATGCCTTGCACTCGTTCCTCGCGATTACATGCGCTGCGAATAAAATAACAAAGAAACGATCAACTCAAACGTGTCTTCTGAATTCATTTCACACTCGGGCTGGGAACTCTGAACGTATTCAAGAAGAAAAAGGTACTCGTACCATGTCGACGCTCGAACACTCGGAGCTCCATAACACACATTCAGGCAGCCATCTGACCCTTATATCCGTCTATTCTCACCATTCCTGGGCCGATTATGACCATTTGCATGACTGGCGTCAGGTATATATCCAAATATCATGGTCACCACTCTGGCCAACCTTTGACAATGATTGTTCTTCAAGCTCTGACCAGTATCATCTTTGCTGCCCTTAACGTACGCGCCGCCTCTCCGGAAGTTCGACTGGGGAAAACCACATTGATCGGAAGGGATGTGACGCTCTTGAGGCAAGACTTCTTTGGAGGTAAGAGTATCTATAATATCTTTTGTATAGATTGACTGTATATCGTTGTTACTGCTGCAGGAATCCCTTTTGCAGAACCACCTCTTGGGAGCCTGCGCCTCCAACCTCCAGTGTTGAAGACAAGTCTTAACACCACTACATTTGATGCTAGCAATTTTGGATTTTCGTGCTTGCAGTCAGTGAGTATCTTTGGTCAAATGTTAGCACAATGCTGAACTGATCTGGTCATTGTAGGGCATTCCTATTGCCGAGCTCTCGGAAGATTGTTTGACTATAAATGTTTTCCGGCCGTCTGGGGTAGAATCAAGTGCTTCCCTCCCGGTGATGTTCTGGTAAGGGTAATTTTACATATTCAGACATGACTCCAAATTCCTTATCCTAACGTAGGACATACGGAGGGGGTTTCCAAGAAGGGACTTCGGCTGAATTCAACGCAAGTGCAATCGTAGCACAAAGTGTTGCCCGGGTAAGAATTCTGAAGAATATCTTTCCCACTTGGATCCTTTCTGATTCGTCATAACTCACTATCATATGCTGTGCGGTCATCAGGGGACTCCCGTTGTCTACGTGAATTTCAATTACCGCCTCGGACCCTTGGGTTTCCCTCAAGGACAGGAGGCGGCGAATCGCAAAGTCTTAAATTTGGCACTGCACGATCAGATTGCAGCTTTGACGTGGGTTCAAGAAAATATTGGTGCTTTTGGTGGGGATAAGAACAAAGTAAGACCGAACCGGCATATATCTCTTGAGTCTCACGATAATCATTTAATGTAGGTCACAGTATTTGGAGAAAGCGCAGGAGCAATTATGACGGCCGTCCAGTTCTTGAATCCTTCATTTGCAAATTTTGCAAGAGCAGCGGTAAGTTAGGCTTCCATACATTCTCACCACAGATTTATCGTGTAATCGTTCCTCCAGATTTTTGAATCAGGTTCAGCTGCAAGTGCTCTGACATTTAACGCCCAGCACCGACAGATAGATTGGGATAATTTCGTCGCAGGAGTTCCTGGATGTGCGGAGCTCTCGAAAACGGAAAATACATTCAGCTGTTTGCAATCTGTCAATACTACAGCCATTTTGAGTGGTCTACTCGTCGCCCAGAATGAAGCACCAGAGGAGTTTCCATGGAGTCCTACTATCGATGGAGAAGGTGGTTTCATCCCAGAACTTCCCTCGTTAATCTTTGCGAAGGGGACGTTTGCGAAAATACCATTCATCTCTGGGACAAACTTGGATGAAGGTTTGTATTTTCTTTCTGGTCTTGAATTTCGTTTTTTATTTGTCTGTCTATCTTCAGGAACACTCTTTATTCCACCCACTACTGACTACACTGCGGAGGTCATCACGGACCTCATTATAGCCAACTTTTCTCCGCCAGCCGTTCCCTCCGTCTCAGAAAATCAGCTGGAAAATGCAGCAACACGCTTGCTAGAATTATACCCAGATATACCCGCTCTTGGTTCGCCTTTCAATACCGGAAACGACACTTTTGGGCTTAGTCCGGGATATAAAAGGATCTCTGCTCTATGTAAGCGAATTGACTCTGTTTTACTATCTGAGGCAACTCATGTAACGGTCAATCTGAAGTCGGAGACCTCAGCTTCCAGTCCCAGCGAAGGCTATGGATACAGACAGCAAGTAATGCGGGTGTGAAAACGTTCAGCTACCTGTTCACGCAGCCACAACCCACCAACCCGGCTTTCCTTGGAGGTGAGTTTCATACCCCTCATAGTTCATTTCGACACATCAGTGTTTACGGTATGTACACAAGTGTCTCATGGGACAGAAATTGCCTTTGTTTATGGTGCTCCGCCAAACGCAACTGCTTCTGCCATTGGATTAAGCGAGGCAATGATTGACTACTGGGTTTCATTCGCTACAAGTCTGAACCCGAACGATGGAAAGGGCATTCCTCGTAAGAACAACCTCATCCAACGAATTTGCACGCATTTTGTACTTATTCAAAATTACCCCGTGTTATCATCCTCTCTCAGGACTTATGTGGGAGCAGTATACTCCTCAGAATCAAGTGAAATTGGATTTCCGCTTATCGTGTATGTGATCTAAGTCCTGACTTGCTTTCCGTAGGTTGTCATACAGTTGAACGGTGACAATACGACCATGATACCTGACGATTATCGTGAAGCAGGAATTGCCTTTATTAATTCAATGCCTTTGACCTTTCACCACAGACGTTCCCTGTAAACAGACTAATCTTGGAATGACGCTTTGAATTAAAATGCATTTACATGTGCGGCTTCTTCATTCGGCTCTGGGCGGCCTCCGTTCGCCTCAAATTCTGGGCCCAAAAATTTAGTTCTGAGGCTTGCTGGTGTTATCATGCAGACAAGAGGATTAAAACGTGGGATTTCCAGTTATTGCGAGCGAAGCGAAGCAATACTGGCTAGAGGGCTGAACCGGGAAGTAAACAAATACAAATTGTTGTCGCGCAAACTCCCACGGAGTCGGAATACCCGCGGATGTGTACGGATGAGCGGATCCTGGGGCGGGGAGCTGTTCCTTTTTAAGTAGTGCTCTGTAGTGCCCAGGTAGTGCCCCGTAACAAAAACAATCATATAATTAATCATGATTCAACATAGTGCGGAGGTGCGCCAGCACCGACCAAGACTATTGGATCTAGCACTTCGAAGCGAGCACCCCATGTGAGCCGTATTTGAATCGGAGGGGCCGAAGGCCCCCTCCGAGCCGGACGAAGGAGGCTCACATGCGAATGCATGTTACATAGGTTGACTGCCATATTAGGCATACCATGGCCCGAATTTGGCAGTTGTTCGACGGTTTCCCATGACGTATGTACGCTTGGGTCTTTGCAAGAGATACTTTGTTAGATGTTTTTGCCGTCAGCATTAGTGAACTTTCCTGTCAACTTGCACTGAAGCTCAAACCGGAAGGCAGGATATCGATTGATTGTTGTTGTACCCAGCGGCCCGCCAACGCCGTGAGCGCCATATTGATATGTTCATTCTTTTCTATACATGTCCTCTGATCCAAGCAATTTCACCATCATGTCGGACAAGGAGCTCGAAGCTGCATATACAGAAATCATTCAAAAGTACTCCCAAGGCGAGTTCAAAGGGAGAAAATACTCGAGGAAGAATATGTATTCAGACATGCAGACCGTATTTCGTGAAGACGGTTCTGCAGTCAAGAGATACGAGACCTGCACACTCTGTATGAAGGAGCCAGAACGTAACCAGCGCTTCATGAAATGCTCAGGCTGTGTAGATGAAAATGGAGATGGCACCCCGTATTGTAGTAAAGGTATGTTGAATACGTCCTGGACCTTGGATCGTCTTATCGATATCGATTGCCCCTCTAGAATGTCAGCGTCTTCATTGGCCCGATCACAAGTAAGCAAGGCTCCGTATTAGAACATGCAATCCTCTTTAAATGAAAACACGTTCTCTCTTTATTACAGGCTGCGCTGCAAGAGTACCCAAGAGCGTCGCAAGACGCTCCAGCAACTCAAAGAAGTTGACCAAATGAGGGAAATGTTCCAGAAGGCTCTTGGATTGGAGGGCTCTGCTCTTCCGGAATTTGCTCCGTCCATTGCATCTCGTGGTCCTGAAATCCAACGATGGACTGAGATGTTTGCATGGACATGGATTCGCGCTGCTCATCGTGCTCTGAGCCACAATTACGGATCGAAACAATTTGACTACGAAGACACAGCGCTCCTTATTCGCTGCAAGTCCCGACCAAAGTCGGAGACTGCTGGTAACCCAGCCCTATTTGCAGATGTTGAATCTGCCGAGTTTGTTTCTTTCTCGGGCTTGCCCAGACCAAAATGGGACGGGATCTTCAATTCCATGAAAGTAATGGCTTCGAAAAGGAAGCGTGCTGAACAGATATCTCGTGCATCGCTCGGAAATAGTCATCGCGGGGTCCTATGGATGATATTTCTGTTCGACAACGCGGTCCCGCTTTTGGATGTGCATAGTGTTAGCATCTCTCCTTCGCAAATTTTCGAAAAGAAACTGGACCATTCGGATTGGATCGAAGAACTGCAGAAATTTGCCCATAACGGCTGGATTATGCGGAGGACTAGCGATAGGAACGATGCAAACAGTGCCGTCGGAACGCTTTCTAAGCGTGGCACAACCTGGCATTGGACAAAGCTTAGTGCTTCAGAATGCCAGAAACACCAACTCGCCAAAGAATACCGAAGTGTCTTTCAGGGCGATTACTTGAAACGTCGGTGATTCTACGGCGAGTTAGGGCACTCAGAGTCTCTCTGCAATGAGGAGTTTCAGAGCTCGATGCTTGGATAATTATAAATGTGTCTCTTCCCTACTTAGTGCCAACGATCGAACAGGAGAATATGAAGCACCGAGATGCTTGTACCTATACATACAATACAAACCACAAAAATTGTACATAAGTTACTCTACAGGCTTTGCGATTTCGATATCGCAAGCAACTGCGCCAACATAGTTTTCATACTACTGAGCTCTGCTTCTACTGATTTAATCCGGTCGTCTAATGTGAGGATCTTTCCCTAACACAACCGTCAAAATATGTGGTACATTCGAGACAGGGTTAGCTAACATACCTTGGTGTAAGCTATATCTGGTAGTTCCGAATCTGAGTCCGCGGACGCGTTTCCGTCATTGACATTGATTGCGTGGAGAACCCCATCTGTATCTTCAAATTCGAACTCATAAGAGGAATTCGAGTGCTTGCGCCGGATTGGACTGGCTGCTGATGAAGGGTGAAGGGATTTCTGAATGTCAGTGTCTATCTTGATTGTCGGACTCTAACGAAAAGGTCAAACAGTTCAATTGCCCAGAAAAGAATGCCTTACTCTAGGCGCGCTTCCGCCAAGACGGCTCGAACGTTTTGACTTAGGAGAGTTGGTTAAGAGACGTTTTTAGTTGTCAGAATCGAAAGCTCACCTTAACACGCTGACTGAAATTTCCATAACGTTCCCTTGTCTTGGCATCTTCCTTTTTCACAATTCGCGCCTTAAGCGATGACCTGAGTCGCCTGAGCTCTTCCGCATTGGGCTGGAGAGGAAGATCGTATGTGAGCAAGTCTTTCACAGGACCTGGCCCATGAGCAACGTTTTGGGAGAGGTCATTTAGCCGAGGCATATATTCTTGCAGGTGGAGGTCGCTGTGCTCAAAAGGAATCTATTAATCACGTCAGTACATGAATGGTCTACTGTAAAAATTGGGTTACCAACTCACTGAGCTGAAATGTGTATGCCAGTTGACGAATATCCCATAACTGAAACAAGACATCTGCAACGGAATATCGAAACGTTGCTGCCGCCAGCCCTCCGTTAAAATGCTATATCTTCTGCCAAAGGCGTATACTATGCTCTGCATGCTGGTGGTCATGTCTTGGAATTCCCTGTCAGAAAGTATGAAATTGTCTGCCGTTTCGAAGATCTTTGCGTGGCGTTCGAGAAGTAGCATTAACAGCGGAAGCACCATCTAGAGAATCCGAGTCAGGCTATTGCGTCTAGAATAACTCATGTCCTACCGCTTCGCATCGCGAGGTACCCATGACTGCTCTCACGTCTTCAGAACCCACCATCCGGTATTTCACGTTTACAAGATTTTTCTGCAAGCGAGTATAGGTTGCTTGCATAAATTCTTTTCGATACGAAGCCAATTTCTCAAACTGGAACCGCATATCCTCTTGCTGGTATTTAAACGTGTCTGTATTCAAAGAATCGACTATATACCATATTTCTGGTAGACAGCCGTTCTGAAAATACGGACGCAGGTGTTTGCGGTTCGGAGGAAGCATTCGTTTTGCCCGGTGGTCTATCTTTTGTAAAGCATCCTGCAGGAAAGGTCTTGGTTCAGGTCCTCGTTTTAGAACGACATTATGAACTGGACTCACTAGGCATCGTTCACGACAGCTGGAGTACATGCGTAGATATTAGGTTAGGCAGGATACAAGGAGAAAATTGCGTACTCAAGTGCACTTTGATACCATCCGGCGGCCGCACTACCCAGCGCTCATCAATAGATCGTCCTGCTATACTTATCTCAAGTACTAACTGTGCCAAAAATACAGGAATGCTCCAGTTTACAGGACAATGTGCCGTGAACCGGTTAACTTCGTCTATAGAGACGTATCCACTTGCATCCATGTCGATAGCATCACCAATCGCTGGTTGGACTGCAGGAGTTGGCTCCGTAAGGTTCACCAGAATTTCACCAGGACTCGGAATGATCCACTTACATATGACTCGGCCAGTGAATCTGAGTGTCCATTGGTCTTTGTGAGTCTCCCCTGTCGTTTTCCGGTATTGCGTGAACTTTTGAACATAGTAATGATGTAATGCTGAGGTTACATGAATATCACTAATGAATCGATTCACTCGATGGAACGTACCATCGACAAAATGACGAGTCTTGCAACTCAGCCGCCATTTCTGATGGTATTTAGGCATTAATTCAGTGAAACCACACGGATTATGCCCACCATATCTGGATCATTGGCAGAGTTAGATCATACACTGCGCAACTTAATATTACGAGGTACTTGCCTTTCCAAATCTGCCGGATATCCTCGTCGCGGATGAGCTCGTGAGGGCCTGCGTCCAACTAATTTGAAGGCATTTCATTACACAAATGTGCTTTGTGGTATCCAGTCAAACCTTTGTAAGAATCGCATCTGTATTGCGTTCCATCGACTGTTCAAGGTCCCTCTGAGTTGCCTCCAATTGAAGCTTGAACATAGCCCTTGTACAAACGGTGATTAGCAGATAAATACAGGTCCGCTTTGAATACACTCACTCGTTCGACTTGAGCTGACTAGCTAAATCTTCGCGCAGGATTGATTTTAGTTGGGGGGTGACTTTGATACCGAACTCGCTTTCGGTGATTTCATTTAGAAAGCGGGTGCTCTAAGGCAGATAATGAAAAACTTGATCAATATATGGTAGAAGAAGATTTGACTTGCTTGGAATGCCTTCTCTTCACCACCAAAATCGTCTATCTTGGCCTGTACACGCGATTCAGCAGGTGTCAGGGAGTTGATTGCCGCGATGACTACGTCCAGTTTTTGATTCAGCGCGTCAGTTTTCTCATTCACAGTATTGATGGTCAGAGCGGAGACTTGAGTGAGAAGCTGTTGCAACTGGTTCTGGAAATCCTTAAACGTGTCAATGAAGTCAGTTATCTGTATCTTGTATGCTCCTGATTTCATTGTATGGACTAGTACAGATAACTTAGAATTAGGTGTGAACCAAAGATTGTAGAGATTACCGATATGGCCATGTTTTCGGTAAAGACTTGGACGACGGTTTATCAGCGAGAGCCCAGGATCACTCGATGAACCTGATTCTCACTTTTGAAAATTCCCAAAATCGTTCATCTTGCCCACGACCTCACGGAAGAATGAGTCCAACCATCTGCTGAAATACAGCATCTACAATGGCTCACCTTTTGAGTAAGCTCATGGAAATTCTGATAGGGTTTCGATTGCACTTTGAATACGATATCACTATCACACAACGTGTACCAGAATTTAGTCTAGAGTTGAATGAGATTGTGAAGAATCCATCATCCAGAGATACTACTTGCAATGGTGAAGACGACAACTCCCTAGACGAAATTTGAGCTGCAGTAAAATTCAAAGAGTAATCCATACCATATTCTTGTCGTTCTGACGTTGGTCCAGTTCTTTCTGCACAATAACCTGTGAAAATGAGAGTCTGATTTGCCTTTCTAGTGAATGAGCACGCTTACAACGAACACAGATTTCGCGATCTGTGATATTTGAGCAGAATATATCCTCTACAAAGACGACGAACTTACAATAAACATTGGGACGAGAGGGGTCAGAGCATCAAAGAGTTGGACTACGTCTTTAGCAGGCTCTAACAGCGTCTCTGCAATTTCTTTCCCCTCCGTCCAGACGGGACCTGAGACCATTGTCAACAGTGACATTTGACAGGATATATACTTAGGGAATTATACGCACTTGCTGTAAACTGATCCAGGGCCTCCTCCGCCTCTTTGAGATGTGTTGCTCCACCAAAAGCAATATTCTCTGTATGTCCAGTTTAGTTTGTGCAAATATAGATATTATTCACATACTCATGACCTCAATAGAATGTTTATGATGAGGATGCGGCGTATCCGTTTTGAGACCTTCAGCTACAAATAATGCAGGTGCAACATTCCGATCAAGCATACTAGATTCATCTATCACTGATTGGCCGTTCTCTTGTAGAGCTGCATCGAAAGTATTTAGAGGTTGTCGCTGTTGGGGATAGATGATAGGAAGACCGTGAGTGGCATGCAGTGGTAGTGATGATATCTGATCATGATGGTTTGGCAATCCTTCATAACTAGAGTTTGATGCAACTTGCGCTTTGGATGTATCTAAATTGGTAGACCATTCATCTGGTTGCGGGCTCATACGCAGTGGGGCTAGAATGAAGGTGGAATCTGAAACACAAAGTAATGTAAAAGATGGATCAATCAAGTACCATATATCCCCTGCGGACCATCAAAAGATGAAGGACTTGACGCTATATGAGATGCACTCGTCGGTTCAGACTGCGGCAGAGGTGGTAGAGCTCGTGACCGAGACACTTTGAAAGAGTTGTGATCCAGTGTATTTAGAGAGTCAGCGCTACGAACAGTAGATAACTTTTTGGCAGGGGAATTTTCGCGACTGTCTCCTGTAGACTTCTTCCTGTTCCTGAAAAGATTTAGCGGGGAAGAAAAGCCTTTCCGATGGTTTGGAGGACGCTGCTCTCCATTGTTGAAGTCAAAATCAACAAAGGAATCCATTGAAGTTGTGCCTTTGGGCATTTGAGCCCCATTTGCATAAGACATCGGAGGCTGAGGAATAGTGTAGCTCATGGTGGAAGAAGAGTAAGAAAGAGTCGAGATTCTATGAATTCAACCAACTCAGAATTCTGGAGGCGGCAACGCGTGGTCGCGGTAGCGTTGTAACCAGTATAACCAGACTTGCGGATCTGTCATTATGAGTGTTCGACCCATGATCTTCTGTAATGCAATACAAAAGTATATATCACTGTGGCTGAAGTCGTCGAGAGAGATTGATACCCATCAAGCTGTAGTTGATGTATGATAAGTCGATGTGGCGCGCGCGCAGCCTCCTCAACTCTATATACATAGCATACGGTCAGGAATGAAAACGGCTGTTAAACCGAACAGTGGCACTGGTAATATTTCAGGAGTAGTCACTTGATAGTCACACAATGTCATGTGCATGTCACATTCAACTGAATGGTGTTTCAAGACTCTGTGACTTCATACCATATATAGGCAAAAAAGGTGGTCTAAAAAGGAAGTACGGCACTTAAATCGCGAATTGAACGACGTACATATGAGTCTTCATTTCACTTCACTTCATATATTCAGCCAGATTCAGCCTCGTACATAAAAGGCGGAACATGCGAGGCTAATACAGCCCGGTGGGAGTTGTAGTTGCTAAGGCTTACAGTTGCTTACCCTTGTTTACCTTCCCTTTGAAACCGATAGTGCCTTCACAGGCCTTCACTTTGCGCAGACTTTGCGCAATCAAAGTCACTACATATTTGTTTGTCATCCTGAATACACCGTACGGCGCGTGATTGTCATTGTATCGATAGCTGCTGGAGAGGCAGAGTAGTCTGTATGTGCGCTCTGTACTTTGTGCATTTAAGTGCCTCTGACCACCGACTTTCAAGGGAATTTGTATGGAGCACATGTTAGGACTGAAAAGATCTCTATGACGGCAGATTTCACGGAAAATTCCGGAGTTTCAATTGATGAGTTGTCAAGCGTCCGACGTCGAACCTCAAGCAACTTTGTGTAGTGTCTCAAGGAAAATGGGTCTAATATTGCAACAACTGCCTCTGAATGTGCTCTATACCTCCCCCATTGACATGGATGTTCTTGAGCTTCTACTCTCAGGGGGACTTTCTGCTTTGATACTTACTATAAGTGGTTACCCATGGAAATAAAATTATTAAAGTTATTCAAAAAACTATGGATCTGGTAGTACTTATAGTAATATCTCTGCAATTTATATCAACACTTACACTGCTATTAAGACTCAATTCTGAATGAATTCTCAGTTGGTGTAGTACACAACTGAAGTTAAATTAATAGTGCAATGAGGAACTAATCAAGAGAGACAGCCTATATGCACAGTATAGTTATAGTGTCATAGGCAAGGCTGAGCATCTGCAAGATGGTGGATGCAATTCAATGAAATTTTGGATGCTTGAGGACGGAGGTTGGAGGATTTGATGGTGATTGAAGCTTGAAGCAGAGATAATCAATACAATTGGAGGATTTCTCACGAAAGCTCGAGAATTTTCCGTAAAAACTAACTTCATAGATCTCCCGCGCTGTATAATCAATTATCATGTCGAGTTCGAGCTTCATATGTATCCATTGGATTCTATGATCTTTTGTTTGGGCCATTCCTACGCCTTTATGGAATGTCTGATTGGACATTACTGACCCCTTCAGAGAACGGTAAGGTTGCTTACCATCTCCCCTGAGATCTGACATCAACGCTCAACAGGAAAATATTGCGACAGTCTACATAACAGCACCAACAAAGAAAGGCGTACCGACAACCAATATGTATGTTCCCAATACCTATCAGCTATCCCCACTCTGACTCACGAACATCAGCAGCGATAACCTTGAAATCTGATATTTGATGAATTGAAAGAAGCAATTCTCAAAGTTTTAACGCGTTCTACAACCTTGTACCAGGATATGCGGGTCCATAGCTCCCAGAGCATGCCACAACTCGGCTGTAGGTCTTCAAATCTTTCATGGTGGTTCTTCCCTGGTTCTTCCTAACACATTCCGGCACCGGATTATATTCAATAGACCGCCCATGGCGCTTAGTGATTGAGTTGTTCCAAATTCTGGGCTTATCTTTTCTCCTTCCTGTAAGGACTTGCGAGTGATATAATATGAAACGTGTATACTTTCAGGATCACTTCAGGACCCTTCACGCCCTCAATGGCCCCTCGAAGTCGACGCTACTTGCGACTGCTGTTCGTGGGCCTTGTATTATGGATGGTTTTGACCAAGTTGCCTTATCTTTTTCTTCGACTTTCCTTCTCTATGAACATTACGAACACTGCAAACGAAGACGCTAGCACGGATAGGAACTCAAAGGATGACAGGGAAGTGGCACAGGAGAAATTGCTTTTGGAACGGGACGCTTTCGAAGGGTATGCTCCGAGTCCTGTCAAAAAGGCCAGAGGACGACATACTTATCGATCGGATGGCCTCCTCGAAGTCAATCCAAAAGGACCTCATCCTATCTTTGAGCTCGTCAATAACGCGGAGAAGGCGTGGAACGAGAAGTTACGGAAGGCTAGTACATCTCTTGATGAAGCCATTGGCGAATACAGACGAAGATATCGAAGAAACCCTCCAAAGGGTTTTGACAAGTGGTACGTTCCTTGACTTCATTTCCATCATTGATCTGTGAATGAAGGGAACGTACCTAAATGATACCAGGTGGGAATATGTTCAGAAACACGATGTACAACTCCCGGACGAGTACGACCAGATATATCACGACCTGGAACCATTTTGGGGTTTAGAACCATCATACCTCCTTGAACTACAAGCCGAAAGGGAATTTAAACAGGACACTTACACAATTGGGAAGAACGCTGAAGGGAAACTTGATATCCTCCAAACATCATTCCAGGAGGGTGCATATGACCAGCTGATATGGATTGCGAACAAAGTGTTAGATATACTTCGTGATATCGAAGATGACCTTCCTTTCTTTCGTGCAACGTTCACTCCCCACGATGGTCCGAATTTGATGACTGATTATGTGGTCAAAAGTACACTTTTGGAGGCAGCCAGCACAGATTCTTGTGCGCTACTTGATTTTTCTCCCCGACTTTCCGTTGATGCCTTTGCCTAGCAGACATAGGAAAGGAACGACTTCCACCAATCCATCGTCTAGGATGGCTTTCTGCTTGCGATCCGGAGTCTCCAGCTCGCCGAATTGACTTCAATCTTGATGGGCCTAGACCACTGAAACCTAAAAAATCCTTCATCCACGACCATCTTCTGACGATGGACCCTTGTTTACATCCGCACCTGTTCTGGGTGCACGGACAATTCCTCTCCCATAATACAGGACCTAACCCTTATTCCACCATGATTCCCGAGTTTTCCTCTTGCAGTACTTCTCTTCACCACAATATCCGATTTCCCACACCTTATGGATGGATCGAAGACATCTTACCTCGTTCCGATGATCCTGATTTTGCCGACAAGACCGACGAGCGTTTACTCTGGCGAGGGACGAATACCGGTATTCATCATTCTCCACGGACCCGCTGGCAAAGCTCCCAAAGGGATACTCTCGTAAGAATTGCCAACGAGGTTAATGGAACCCTTGAGTACCTTGTCCCACCTAATCTTGGGTATGAAGATCAACCTGTCGATAACCCTAAAACAGCGCGAAGAGCACGATTGAATCCAGCGATGATGGATGCTGCATTTGTTCGAGAGCCATCGCAGTGTGTAGAACCAACGTGTAGCCAAATGAAGCAGACATATGAGTACAAAAATATGCAAAGCATGAAAGCTGCAGGAAATTACAAATATGTCCTTGATGTGAGTAACTTTTCCCTTCTCAAACCCCACCCATTGGACGAGTTTCCCAGGTTGATGGTAACGGTTGGTCTGGTCGTTTCAAACGTCTAATGACCTCGAACTCGTTGGTTTTTAAGACCACTATATATCCCGAATGGTGATTCTGCTTCAACTTTTCCTATCGCGCAACACCTGACAACTGGTAGGTTTGTAGACCGTGTAGCACCCTGGGTGCACTATATCCCAGTCCAGGTGGATCTATCAGACCTCTATGACTCACTAATATTTTTCCGCGGGGACTCTAATGGTGAAGGTGCTCACGAAGAGCTTGCACGGCAGATCGCATTGCAAGGTCGGGAATGGAGCAAAAAGTACTGGCGCCGAGAGGATATCATTGCATATTCGTACAGGTGCGGTTCGGGAGGTTGATGCATGAATTACTTATGTCTCAGATGCTTTTGTTGGCTGCAGAATGTTTTTAGAGTATGCCCGACTTATGAGCCTCAATCGAGAGGCAATGACCTACCAAGGGGAAGGGGAATTACACTTGGATCGATGGAGTAAGGACAAGGACATTGTGCAAGACCCACTCTTGCACTGAAAATCTGAACAGACCTCCGAATAGTATACTTACACTGTTAGCAACTTGACATTAATTGCACAACCATTGGCTACGGAATCGAAGTGGATACGTTACGAGGACATGAATGTACTGTATAGACAACCGAACACGACCGAACAGCCTAAGCAGGCAGATAACGATATACCGCACTATTTACGAAGAGCTGAATGAGGCGAGAAAGGTGAGAGAAAGCTAATATGTGTTGGAGAATACTCCGTACATTTAGCTTTGATATTACTTATTTGGTCGCCTCTGGTCTCGCGTTGGGTGTTGTCGTCAGCACCACTACAAATAACATCTACCAACCTCCCAACTTCACCATTCTTTGCAATCTCACAACGTAACCGGTGCGCGTCACGCCAGAGATATTCAACTCATCCATAACTCTCGACACAGAGTAAAGAATCTACGACTGGTGGTATAGTACCCTATGTTCGAATTTGAGAGTAACAAGCACCGTCGTCAGATTGTATGCTGAAGTACACCAAGATTATCCAGCGACATCATAAACACACTCCTTACTCATCGAATATTGGTTTCGAGGAAAATACAACCTGGAATCGCACTAGGGAAGCACCGGTTTATCATGGCAAAGGAACATGGCCCGGACGCTACGAGTGTCCCAACTATCGTTCAATGGTTTGCTTATACGAATCTGGAAAAACCCATTCACGAATATCGGGACGCGTTCAACTCTATCACTTTAGCTCACTAAGCGTTAGTTGGCCACCTCAAGAAGCAGATAGCTGAACGAGCGAAGTTTGATATTTCCATAACATCACTCACGATAATTGAGTCCGTTGCTGGGAATTCTGCAGATCTCGAAGATGGCTCGGCTTAGAATTTCAGTGCGTTTGCTTGTGTATTACTCCACGAACTGAAGGCGCACTGACTTTTCGCTCTTTTGGGCCCTATTCCAGCTTTCGAGACACATGGAAAACTCATCAATCTCCAATTCCACTGGAACCACCGTGAACTTCTTCCTCTTTGTCCTCTGGGATGGTCAACCAATGCAGACGTCGTTGCCCTGGAGTACGAACAGTTACATAAGTCCTCCATATATCCAGCAGTGTTCCCGGTTTGGTATTTGAGCGCTGGATGTATGTTCGCTGGTATACGAATGGTGGTATGAAGTGGTGTAAAATTGGTGTAGAATTTATTCCAGGCCGACACGAGATCCAATTGGTAAGATTGCCATCTGTGTTTCTGAAAGTACGCAGAACTAGATTTTCGGCAGTGTATATATCCTAGGTATCATCTTTGGTGTTCCTATGTTTTTGCGATGGGAAAGCATAGAGTATTATTTGCAGGACAAAAGAGGACGAAGGAGACAGGACGTTTGAAATAAGCCATAGCCCCGAAACCTGAAAAGTTCATGACCACCTTCCGACAATGGACCCTTGTTTTAATTTATATCCGGACCTGTTTTGGGTGCACGGACAATTCCTTCCACATGACACAGGGCCCAACACACATGTGACGGACCAACTTTTCCCGGCCGAGAAATATAACGGGAAATTTCAGGACCAATAGCCGGATTCCCCTAAGTAATTGATTATCTTTCCCCGGCACAATTGATTAGATTTCACGCCTGATATTTTGTATGATTCCCGTTTGATCTATGTCCTATATATCTTAAGATAAAGGATGTCTTTCCCTTAAGATAAAGACTATCTTTCCCCTAAGATAAAGGATGTCTTTCCCTTAAGATAAAGACTATCTTTCCCCTAAGATAAAGATTAGATTTCCCCTAAGATAAAGATTATCTTTCCCTTAAAATAAAGATTATCTTTCCCCTAAGATAACTTTCACAAAGCGCGCCTGCGAATTTTTCCATTTCCCGTTTCGCGAAACCAATTACCTGTAAGCGCCCAGCTCGTAGGCTCTGAGCGGCTACATGTTAGACTACTACGATCAGCCTTAAACGTTAAACGTGCAAATCAGACCAACTCAGTGGCCATGGCACGGAAAAGGAAAGCATTCGAAGACATATTCGGCATGGAAAAACGTCGACAAATGCCCCCTGCTAATACTAGGACTAGTCCTAATCCTGCAGATACAGATCCCGGCCCCGCCTGTCCTTCTCCTGCTGCTCCTTCTGTCACCCCTAGGCCTGATACTTTTCATTCTATAGATTCCGAACCTTCTGTATTTTCGACGCCTTCAGCAAAACGTGTACAATCTCGTAACGGCCAACGACTTGCATTCCGGAACTTTCTTCAGCAAAACTCATCTAACGATGGTTCTTTCGATTCCGGCGCAAGCACGAGCTCCACGATTCAGGTCGCTTCAGCCTATCCAGACTCTGGAACAGCTGATGGCTGCGTCAATCGGCAAAATGACTCAGAGATCGATCTTCCAGGTCCTGGCGTAGATCACGAGAGCTCCTCAATTTCAGTGCCAACATCAGTTAACGTTCTCAATTCGACATCTCAAAACTCTCTGAGCCATTCTACAACCGACAGATCGAACTTTGGCTTATCCGTAATGGCTCAAGTTATTTTAAATAGAGACTCCCTAGAATTCACCCCGCTTGATCCATCAGCTCTGGAAACAATTGTCGAGACTGTTCAGGCAACTGTAAGAGATTAATGTTCACATCTCCTATGATAAACTCTTGATATCTGGTTATAGATTGGCAGTCCTCCTCAAAATGACGCGACACTCGCGGACGTTTTCAACGATCCTAGACTAAGGCATCGTTCGGTTATCGACGCTTCGTTGCGCATACAATCCCTTCAGAAGGACATGGAAAATCATCTTTCAGCTCTTCATGGACTGTCGCCAGACTCAGAACCAATCGTGATTCAGAATGTACTCGGAAGGGCAGAGCGTGCAGCACGAGCCACGTCATCAGACTTGAGGAAAGGAGCTACAAGCGACACAGTCCGTTCAGAAGTTGCGGCGGCAAATGCGGTTCTTGAAGATGTTAGGAAGTGTGTTTCAGTCTGGCGCGAATCATACCCCGACAATAGCCCTTTGAGACTTGACAATAGTACGTCATGGCCATGTTCTGAATAAGTCAATTTCTTAATCAGTCTCACAGGTGTAGCTGCACTTGATATCTCTTCCAATTATACAACAGCAACACTAGTTGCTTATACACTCGTGTTAACGCTGCGACTTTTAGAAGGTGTCGGTCGTACCGTCTCTAGTTTTTTCCTCAAAGGAATCAAAATTTTCGCGATGAGCTATGGACTGTTGCAACCAGAGGGGACTACAGACCTTCAGAGTAAAACACTTTCTGACATACCCGAAGACATCCGGCAGCTGGAGCGGAAATTCAATCTTGACGTTGAGACCACCGTATACGCAGTTTGTCCACAATGCAGCTATACACATCCACCCATATTTTCTGACGACTCTCCCAAACCAACGTATCCTTCGAAATGCACGCATCGCCCAATGGCCCTTGCAGAACCCTGCAGCGAATCTTTGCTGCTAGACACTGGGCATCCCATAAAAACTTTCGAGGTCTATTCTTTCCTAAATTGGTTTGGTCGCTTCATTGCTCTTCCAGGAATTGCTCAATACAGTGACGCATTTTGCGCGCAGATTTCAGATGAGCAACCTCCGGAAGACAAAGAAAGTGCCTACGATGGACGGTTCTATTTTGAGCTAAGGGGTCCGGATGGGAAATTCTTCGTACGCGAGAGAGAGAAGGAAGGCCGGTGGTTCTTCAAGCTCCATGCAGACTTCTTCAACATCGAAGGGAACTTGCACGGTGGCAAACACAACTCGACAGGAATCATGTCAATGAGCTGCCTCAACCTTCTGTTAAGATCATGTACACCGTGTAACCGTGCCAAAGTCACAAGGTGCCTAAGTGCGGAAGACGAATGGGACAGTAGTGAAGTTATTAACAACACCGCCGTTACGCCGTTAGTCCCCGGAGAGCGAGAGTAGAGAGAGAGGAGCTAAGTAGCAGCCAGGTCGGAGCGGCGGTATCGCCGGTGACGAGGAGCGAACCAGAGGATGTATAAGTCCTAAGGTAGGGTAGAGAGTGCTTCAAGGCAGTGAGCCTGAAGACTTAGAGGAGCACAGAGTAAAGGAGGGAATCTAAGTCGATCTAAGTTGATAATTAAACTGAGGAACTACAGTAGCGTACAGGCAGTATTTATATCTACGGAACGGCGCATCGGTGCGGAGCGCCAGACTAACTACTAGGAGCTATACGAGTAGTACCTGCAGGGTAGAGTAAAAGACAATAAGGAGAGACTAGAACGAAAGAGTAAAAGACAATAATGAGAGACTAGGACGAAAGGATATGTGTAGCGAGAAAGAACAATAGGGAGAGATTACAATAAGAGCAGATCTTCGGAGTACCGAGCGGCGGAATGGAGGCCCGCGGCATGGACTTGACAGTATCCCCCTCTTAGGCTTGAGCCCTCGAAAGCCATTAATACCGATAGTTGGTTAATCACCAAAGAAAAATTTCAAAGGCCGTCAGGATCGGGAATTTGGCCCATCAGTCAGCAGGAAAATTTTCAAAAGCCGTTAGTACCGGGAATTGGCGTTAGTCATCAGTGAAAATTTTCGGTTCACCGTACACCAAGTACAATTCGAAGGAAAATTTTCGCTGGTCCGTGCGCAGTTTTGCCGTATAAAAGGCCCAGAATTTCGCCGGTAAAACCCAAGTTCCCCAAACTTCCAAGTCCAAAAAATGTCCACTAGCCGCACTACCACTACCACCGTTTCTTCCACCGCCGGGCCTTCGAGGCCACGACCCGCCCCTCCGCCGCCCATCGACCTTACCGCCCACGACGAGGAAGGATTGGAGGACGAAGATGAGGAGGAGATTATTCGGAGGGCGCAGGCCAGGGTTGAAAGAGTGAGAGCAAGAAAGGCAGCGGCGGCGGCGAAGAAGGCCGCAGAGGAGAAAGCTGCAAGGGCAGCAGCAGCGAGGGAGCGTGCGGCGCAAGAGGCGCGAGAGCGAGCTAATCGGGCTCGTCAACAGGAAGCCGAAGTTTTGGAGCGGAGGAGACTTTTGGCCGAGGCGGCGACCGCCAGAAGTCAACGAGGGACTTCTCCAAGTGAGATGTCCGCTTCTCCTCGGAGGCCGGTGGTAGAGATTCGGCGGAAGTTGACGAACAAGGAAGGGAAAGGCCAAGGCTCAGGTAAGTCCTTTGAGTTTCGTCGGGACTAAATTCCCTATTCACCATTCTTCGATAGCCGGTCGGCGGAGATCCGGACGACGGGGACGACGGGGACGATGACGATGACGATGAAGACGACCGAGCACCATGCGAACGGTGCAAGAACAAAAAACTCCCTTGCCAGATGCAGGCAGGCAAGAGGAGTTCCATCATATGTAAGCCCTGTCACGACGCCAAGGTGAGGTGTTCATACTCGGGACGCCCCACTACCTCGAAACAGCGGGAGAGCGGATCTGGCGAGCGTATCGCCATCATGGAGAGTCAGATGGCACAGAGTCTCGCCGACCTCCGGGCGTTACGAGAGGCGGAAACAAAGACCCACCAGTACCTCCGCCAGCTGCTAAGGAAGCAAGAAGACGACCACGCCCGTCTGATAGCCATTGAGACGAGAATGGCAATGATGGGTATGGGAGGAGAACCGGCGATGGCAGGACCGTCGAGGGAAACTGCCGAGCGGCGGCGCCCGCTAAAGCGGCGGAGGGTTGTGAGGGAGAGTGACGAGGAAGAGGAGGAGGAAAAGGAGGTGCAGCAAGGTATGGAGGAAGATGGAGAAGGAGAGGTAGAGGAACAAGGAGGAGAGGTGGAGGTAGAAGGAGGAGAGGAAGGGGAGGCACCGGCGCCGACGGCGGCGAAGGCGGTGACCTCTGACAAGGGGAAGGAGAAGGAGTTAGTGGAGTAGAGTCACGGACATCGGACATCGGCCTCTCGGCCTTCTTGTACTTCTTGTAATCTTCTTGTTGCCTTGCCTTCGTTGTATGCTTTTGTTTTTTGGACTTTTTGTATATATAAAATGTGAACTCGATTTTGGAATCGGAAAGCGAATGGGCCGCGAAGCGGCGTTAGAAATAATTAGTTTTGAAGTATAAGTAGTTTAAGTTTGAAAGAATTATAAGTGAAATAGTGGATAGAAGAATGAGATTAATCATTAAGAGAGAGGAATAAACACTCAATTTACTATCATCGTGTTTACCCTCTAAACGCACAAAGTAAACTTCGGCGGAGCGCGGCGGAAAACGGGGAAAAGGAATAAAATGATTTTGTGTGATCAAGGTCCAGGTTTCATAGGGTATCGAGCGTGAAATGCGGGTACCAGTTCATCAGCATGTAGTTCATCAGCAGCAACCCAGGAGAATTCATCATCGGTACCTTCATAACCGGCCCACCGAATATAGTAACGTAGAGGACAACGTTTATACCTTCTGTCCAACTTAGAGTCCAGGATTTCGGCAACGTTGTACTCCTCTTCACCATCAACTTCAATTGGAGGTGGAGGAGATTGAGTACGATTCGGGAATGGATTCGGCGTAACCGGCTCCAGCTGTGAGACGTGGAATACCGGGTGAATTCGGCGAAGATAGTCTGGGAGCTTGAGCTCATAAGACAAAGTACCAGGTCGACTGATGACCTTGAAAGGACCAAGATATTTTTCTGAGAATTTTTCAGTAGGACGAGTAGAACGAATGTGCTTAGCAAGAACAAATACTTCGGAGCCGATCGGGAACTCCGGGTGCGAGATTCTTTTCCTGTCAGCTTGTTCCTTGTAACGAGACTGAGCTAAAAGGATTTCCTCTCGAAGGAAGACGTGGAGTTCATCGAGGTTGACGACGAAGTCTCTGGCTAGGTCAGACTTCATATCGACCTCGGGCCGAACGGTGATATTTGGGTGGTATCCTTTGTTAGCGAAGAATGGAGTAATACCAGTGGAAGCATTGGGAGCGTTGTTATAGGCGAACTCGGCGATCGGAAGTAGAGGCGACCAGTCATCTTGTTGGTAGGAACAATAGATCCTAATGTACTGTTCGAGAGTCTGATTGACACGCTCAGTTTGCCCGTCGGCTTCCGGATGATATCCAGAGGTATAGTGAAGTTCCATGGAGAGCGCTTTACCGAGAGCCCGGAAAAACGCCGAAACAAATTCGGAACCACGATCGGAAGTAACATGATTAGGGACACCATGCTTAGAGAAGACGTGAATAACAAAAAGCTCAGCTAGTTGTTCGGAAGTAATGGTGTCGTGAGTTGGAATAAATATAGCTTGTTTGGAAGATCGATCCACGACGACGAGGATAGCTGTATAACCATTCGACATTGGCAGTTGCTCAATGAAGTCCATGGAGATGGAATCCCATGGTCGGACCGGAACCGGTAGAGGTTTCAACAAGCCGTAAGGCCGATGACGGCGGGGCTTATTGCGACCACAGATAGTGCAAGAGGTAACGTAGTCACGAACAAAGTCTCTGACCTTGGGCCAGGTGTATTGACGACGTACAGCTTCGAGAGTGCGGTTCTGGCCGAAATGGCCGGAGAGTGGATGATCATGGAAATAGCGAAGGACTTGAAGGCGAAGATCGCCGTGATTAGGGACATAAATACGGTCGTCAAGGCGTAGTAGCTTGTCGCTACCTAAGCTCCAACGTTCATTGGAAGGATCTTTTGCAAGTTCCAAACCAACAACGGAGCTCGGATCGGCGGGAAGGGCGAGAATGATAGCTTGGTGTAGGGCTTCGATATCCATGATAATCGAGGCTCGTAAAACCGGGCCTTCCAGGAAGGTAGCTCGAAGGGACGCAGTGAGTTGTTCGTTAGTAAAGATAGGGCGAAAGTTATGAGGGTTCACTTGGGCGTAGCCGATATCCCCCTCTTTAGGGTAGACGTCCCAGCGTCTAGTTATCGAATCAGGTTTCTCGCCGAGTTTCCCCGGTCGGAAGCGAATGACCATATTAAATTGATGTAAGAATTCTGACCATCGGACCTGTCGGCGAGTAAGAACCTTGGTAGTAGAGAAATACTCAAGATTCTTGTGATCGGTGACGACGTCCACCGGATCACCCGAGCCTTCCAGATAATGACGCCAAGCTTTAAAGGCCTCGAAGATGGCCAGTAGCTCTTTGTCGTGTGTATCATAGTTGAGTTCCGCCGCATGAAGCGTTCTGGAAAGGAAGGCTAGAGGATGAATTTCACCGTCAGCATATTGGATGGAAAGAATAGCCGCAATGGCGTAATCGGAAGCGTCGGTCTCCACGATAAGTGGGCGATTCGGCTCCCAATGGGCCAGTATTGGCGCAGAAGTGAAAGCGATTTTGAGATTTTCGAAGGCCTCTTGACAGCTGCTGTCCCAGATCCAGGAAGCGCCTTTTCGGGTAAGCCGAGTCATCGGCACAACGATATCACTGTAATTATAAATAAAACGACGATAGAAGTTTGCAAAACCCAGGAAGGACTGGATGTCCTTAACCTTCCTCGGGACCGGCCACTCTAGAACTGTCTGAACTTTCTCCTTGGACATAGTCAATCCGTCGGGAGAAAGAATATAACCCAAATACTCAACAGTATCCATATTGAATTCGCACTTCTCGGGGTTGGCGTAAAGCCGATGTTTCCGTAACCGCCGAAGAACTTCCTTAACGTGTTCTCGGTGTTCTTCTGGTGTATCAGAGTAGATCAGAATATCGTCAAGATAGACGATGACACAGACATCGAGCATGTCAGAGAAGATGTCATTAACAAACCGCTGGAAAGCCGCAGGGGCGTTCGTAAGGCCGAACGGCATGACCTTCCATTCGTAAGAGCCGTAGCGGGTCCGAAAGGTGGTTTTCCATTCGTCACCTTCAGCGATTCTGACTAGATGATAAGCGTGAGCGAGATCCAATTTGGTGTATATTTTAGCTCTTTTCGGAGCGTCGAGAAGGTCTGAAATGAGTGGAAGTGGGTAACGATCCTTTTTGGTGATACGATTGAGTCCACGGAAATCGACGCAAAGGCGAAGTTTGCCGTCCTTCTTCGGGACAAAAAGGACCGGAGCGCCGTGAGGAGAGGATGATGGGGTGATGGCACCAGTAGCCAGCTGTTTGTCAATAAAGTCTTTAAGGGCGACTAGCTCCTTTTCAGACAAAGGATAAATACGGCCGAGAGGCGGCGAAGCGCCCTCTTCCAAGTCAATCTTCAGGTCGTAAGGTCTGTGTTCAGGAAGTGAATCTGCAGCAATCTCGTCGAAGACGTCTGCAAACTCCGCGTACTCTTCTGGGATAGAAGGATGGAGTGGAGGGACAGTAGGAGTGGTGGAAGAGCGGTCGGCGGCGCGGGCCGCGACCTCTGAGTGGATAGCACGAAGTAAGATGGGTTCCATACCAGCGTCCTTGCAAGCCCTGTTAAAGACTGCAGCACTGACGAGTGCAATGTCGACCTCAGGAGTTTCCAGTTGAGCAGCGAATTGAGAGACCGTAGGGTAAGAGTAGATGGGTTCAAAGGGGAATTTGGACGAAAGGGGCTTGGCCCGTGGAGTCCGAGAGCGGGAGCGAGAGCGAGAGCGAGGTGAGTCCCCAGGGGGGGTCTCCTGAATTGTCGGTGAAACCGACGGCGAAAGTTCCGGTAGCGGAACAGCGACCTTTGCATCAACGGTGTTGATAGCAGAAGGCACAGACGTCTGTGGAGAATCAAAGTGTGAAGTGTTACGGAACGTAATGTTTCGAGATGCCCAGTCAATCAACGGATTGTAGCGGGATAAGAAACTGTAACCTAGTACTGCTTTACAAGATGAATCTAAATGTGTAACATAAAAGGGTAATAGAAGCAGCTCGCCGGAAGGGAACCGAACGGCGATATTCGCCATATCGGTAATGGGTTTAGAAGATAATGAACCATCAAAGAGACGAAGATTAACAGGAGAGATTTTGGTCGTAGGAATAGAGTTCTGAGAAACGTAACGAGTATCGATGAAAGAGTCAGTAGAACCAGAATCAACAAGAGTAGGAAATTTAAGAAGAGCAGAGATGGGTTCGGCCGGCGCGGCCGAATCGGATAAAGGAAATTCAGTAGTCAATGATATTACAAGAGATCGTTCAATAGAAGAAAGAGCGGACGCGTTGAGATATAACTCCCCAGGTGAGGTACGAACCTGATCAACGCAGCTCCCGTTTCGTACCGGGGAACAAGAGCTGCGGACTAGTTTTCCGATTCCTCTTCAACAACCTCTACGGTTGCTTCGGGGGTTTCTTCAACCTCAGCAGCACGGCCCTTCGATTCTCGGGCCTTTCGCTTATTGCAGTCAGCAATCTGATGCTTACCACCGCAGAAGAGGCAAAGGTTGTTCTTCATCCTTCTTTCCTTCTCGGAGGGAAGGACTTTCCCATCTGCACCAAGATGGTTGAACGCGGGGCGCTGACCGCCGGATTGGCCGGAATTCGAAGAGTTCTGGGGCTTACCATTGTTGTTAGGCTTACCTCCAGAGAAGGGTTTAGGCTTCGGCGTGAACGGCGCCGAAGAGCCAGATGGCTGAGAGTTGTTTTGCTGGTTAGTAGAACCAGTCTTGAAGTCCGAGGAACCCTTCTTCGGGTTCCGAGCAACAAAAGGCTTACCAGCCTCGCGCTTCCTAGTTTCCTCGCGTTTCCAATAACGATTGTCAATACGAAGAACCTCTTGACGGTAATCGGCGAGCGTCGCCGGCTCGGGCAAACGCGCCATTTCGTCCTTGATGCGCTCAGCTAAGCCTCGTCCATAAGCCCATTTCAGGGCAGCAGAATCCCAGTTGGTACTAGCAGCCAGGGTGTTGAACCGGATATTGTATTTCCGGATGTTCTCGGTTTCCTTCATCTTCAGATTACCGAGAGAATCTTCGGCCTCGCCTTGGGCGTCGTAAACGCCGAAATTGTCCTGAAGCTCCTTTACAAGGGCTTTGAAGGAGGATGTCCAGGCCGGCAGCGAGTCGAGATCCGGGTCGAGGATATCAGGGACAAACCATTCTTTGGCTGACCCACTGAGATAGGAAAGGGTGTAGTTCACCTTCCGTTGGTCGGTGAAGTACTTTGGACGGTCATTAAAGACCAGGGCGAGATTGACGAAGAACGTCTTGAGTTTTCGGGGGTCCGAACCGTCGAATACTTCGGGCTCCTTGACTTTGCTCTTGGATTCAGAGCTATCAGAGGGACGGCCGAGAGCGGCGAGGACGGTACCAAGGGTCTCAATGGAGCCCTTGAATCCCGAGAGGAGTTCCAACATAGCACGTTGCTCGTTGGGGATGTCAGGAGATATGGGAGAACGAGGTTCACCAGGTCCACCAGGACCGCCGGGACCGCCGGGACCACCAGGACCACCAGGTCCACTGGGGTCACCAGGCTCACCACGCGGTAAACCGCCGGAGTCGTCATCCAGATCGTCATTGTTGTTGTCGGCACCCGGATCGTCGGGATCGACAGGAGGGTCTTGATCATCGTGATCACCAGTGTCCAAATCGAAGTGAGGAGGTGGGTCACGAGGAGATTCAGAAGCAGCTCGACGTTGGGGTTGTTTTCCCGTACGGCGGGCTATGGCTTGGAGAATTGGAGAATCAATTCGAGCAGTTGACCGGCCCCGAGCCGGAGCGACCACGGGGGGTTGTCCACGGCGAGGGGTCAGGACTTGGACAGGTTGTCCGTCCCCAGTGTACAGGGTGCTGTATTCGAATTGTTGTTCCTCTTCCATGGCTTCAGGGAGAGTCGACGTAGTTGGGACTGTAGCTGGACCGAAACCGCGATTACGGCGACGTGGTTGACCGATAGCAGAGATAGAGTCGGAGAATGGGGCAAATGATTGAGCTGTAGTGAAGAAAGTATTTTCTTCGGAGTTAGCTCTAGATTGAGCTCGAGTTTTCGGAGGCATAAAAAATGATATGTCAGTACGACGTTAACGGATTGAGTTTAATTATACTGTTAAGATCATGTACACCGTGTAACCGTGCCAAAGTCACAAGGTGCCTAAGTGCGGAAGACGAATGGGACAGTAGTGAAGTTATTAACAACACCGCCGTTACGCCGTTAGTCCCCGGAGAGCGAGAGTAGAGAGAGAGGAGCTAAGTAGCAGCCAGGTCGGAGCGGCGGTATCGCCGGTGACGAGGAGCGAACCAGAGGATGTATAAGTCCTAAGGTAGGGTAGAGAGTGCTTCAAGGCAGTGAGCCTGAAGACTTAGAGGAGCACAGAGTAAAGGAGGGAATCTAAGTCGATCTAAGTTGATAATTAAACTGAGGAACTACAGTAGCGTACAGGCAGTATTTATATCTACGGAACGGCGCATCGGTGCGGAGCGCCAGACTAACTACTAGGAGCTATACGAGTAGTACCTGCAGGGTAGAGTAAAAGACAATAAGGAGAGACTAGAACGAAAGAGTAAAAGACAATAATGAGAGACTAGGACGAAAGGATATGTGTAGCGAGAAAGAACAATAGGGAGAGATTACAATAAGAGCAGATCTTCGGAGTACCGAGCGGCGGAATGGAGGCCCGCGGCATGGACTTGACACCTTCCCCTAGCAATACGGGAAGATCAGGCTTATGTCTACGTTCCCGGAGTCATACAGGGTCCCCGAGAACCTGATGCTAGAGCAGGGGCATACAACCACTATTTACGACCGATCGTAGATGAGATGTTAGTTGCGTACACTAGGGGTATTCAATGTGCTTCATCGGACAACCAAGAAACACCGTATGAGCGCACGCATCGTGTAGTTCTGGCTAATATCTCCATGGATGCTAAAGCATCACATCCCTTTGCTGGCTTGATTGACATAGGCTCACATACATACTGTGCGACCTGTCAAACGTGGCACAAAGCTTACCTTAATTCGGTGGATTATGAGGATTGGGAGGCAATTGATGACGAGTACCTCCGTGAAGGTGCAGAAAAATGGCGGGATGCGGAGAGCCGTGCTGAGCGTGAAAGAATAGAGCATCTGTATGGGGTTCGCTTCTCAGAATTCTGGCGACTGCCTTATTATAGTCCCTCGAAACAGGTGTCCATCGATCCCATGCATGCTCTGAAAAATATCTTTGGAAACTTCTTTTGTGATGCACTACGCTTAGACAACCCTCGCAGCACAAGGGAGCCCAAGAACAAAAATACGACGCCCGTGTCTTCGATAGCACACTATTACCAATTTACTCCCCCTCCTCCACTATCTCTGGTCAATTCCGTCCCTATCATGCCAATTGATACTGCTGAAGAAGATCTTGTGACTGCAGTACTGGAGTGGGAGCACCTTTCGAATGATTTGCAGCATTTTCGCCACCAACGGATGTCAAACCTTTTGGTCGAGATCGATACATATAAGCGGGAATTGATCGAGATCCATCATCTTCTATCTTCATTGCGTCCTTCTACGGACTTGTTGCAAGCGCAACTACGATCGAGGCTGAAGAGCAAGAAGTGGGGGGTTTTGCTGTATGTCTGTAATGATCTCATGGTGTTCCCCATCCAAATCTCGGGTGGAATTGTGAGAAAGGAGTTGATCACCAAGAGCGATATTACAAAAGATGACATGATAGAGGCACTCGTCGAATGGGTAGCTATAGGTTGGGTCTCAATATTGACATAATCTTCTAATTGAATACATCGTAGCGTTTGAATGACATTCACGAAGATCATGCTTTTGTCTGGCCACACTTCACACCTACTATGTTTGCTCCTCCTCGGGCACCTTGGGCATCTCCTGTCCTATCTCTTGCATTTCATGGCAATGTCGCTTGTCATACACTGACTAATACTGAACGGATAAGAATGATGCAGGATACAGCAAGGAGAATGAATTGGCACTCTGCGACTGGTGTCGGTCATATCCATCAACTTCTGTGGGCGCCGTGCGACAATAGTAATGTGGGGAAAGAGAAACTAGCCAAGGGTTTGAATGTTGAAGGCGTTGATGCATTGCTATATGTTTGTGCAGACCTCAATCGAGTCCCCTTGCAACTACCTAAACGAGACGTCAAACGGATTTTAATCTATCAACTGATTGACTGGGTAAGCTATGATATTTTTCCTTCCCTATTTCCCATCCGACTATATCTTTTTTGCAGCGCATGACACAGCCATTAGATGCCTTCTCCTGGACACCAGTTGATTCACCTGCTGTTCTTGATCGTGTTAGGCAGGTCATACAAGAGGTGACTGTTCCTTCCTGGATTTCTAAGCCTTCAGAGTATATAGGACTTCCTAGAGCTGGAACGCCAAAAGCAGATAACTGGCGAAGATTATTTGCTATTTTCCTGCCACTGGCGTTGTTGAGCATGTGGCAGGTTCTCTCTCCTCTTGCAGCATCTGATGCTAAGGACATGGGCTCGGTTCTGGATACTTCATTATACCTCACTTGTGCTTTGATAGCAATGACCAAGCACAAATCACGGCTTCAAGATCGGCTGAATTTCCGCGAATATCTGCGGTGTCATATACTTGGCCTGAAACATAATTTCCCTGGATGGATTCTTCCTAGTCATCATGTCAGTTTCCATATCTTTGATTACATGGATCTCTTTGGGCCGGTACATAACTTTTGGTGTTTCCCCGGAGAGCGTTTGATATCTCGATTGAGGAACATCACAATTAACCATAAAATCGGTGCGGCAGTCGATACCATGCATCCTCGTATCTCCTCTCATTATGTTTTTCTAGGTGAATTTGAAAGCACCTTACTTCACTCTTTCTGCAAAGGCTCAGCATTCCGCCGTTGGCTATTACGTCCTAACTGCCCTCCTTTGTTGAAAGTTCTACGCCAGCTCCTTGACAAGGCCTTCGGCTTGAACAAAGACAATAGAACCCGTGCTCACTGGGAGGAATGCGAAGAGGATATGTCAGAGGACTCTGAACCCTTACAATTCAGAGTGGCAATTCCTTCAGAGTTGATTTCATTGCTCAGTACAAGAAGGCTTGAATGCTACAGTCGGATTCACGCCGGTCATGGGAAATATTATGGAATTCCGTCAGCACCGGGAAAGGGCAACTCCTTCGTCTGCTTTTACCCTGGCGGAAATAGACAGTTCGAGTGGGTAGCAGGACAAATCAAGTTTATATTCAAGCAGGACGGAGAAATTAGATTCGCAGTACGAAGAAGTTTGTCAATTGCTTTCGACATGACAGCACCCGATCCGTTTCGAAAATTCTGGGACCAGGGATTCCAGGCTAAAACAGTTTCTTCCAATTTCTCAAGTGAATTAGAATTCGTTAAAACTGATTGGTTGTCGGGTCATATAGCAAGATGGGAGTTAAATTCCTCTCAAGTAGTCTGTCTCAATTTGGTGAGTGCAGGATTTGGCTCTCCTACCAGCACATCTCACTCCAATCTTGATCAGGGTGCGGTATAATCTGTGGTTGTCGAACATATCAATTTGGTATAGAATAAATAGTGAAGACTGAAATGTGTCGTGATCGATGAAATTTTCGCTCAATTTGTGAACGATTCCGTTAGCGAAGAGATAGCAAGGAATGATCTGGGAGCCGCTGCAGCTTCCTGCTAGTGCCGGGCAGATAGATAGATAGGCAGTGCCATCGGGGCGTCGCAATATTACCCACCATCTCTCTGTGCAAGAAATTACATAAGCTCACAGATCGACAATACCTTCGTTCATGTACTAGTACTATGATCATTCATGATGGTCCCAACTCTACCCTGCAATATTGGATTTCCTTCTTGAGCCCATTAAGCATAGAAGACCGTTGAGCTATGACCTTTGGTTCCACTATAAACTCGCGCTCGAACTTTTCAGGACTTCGTATCAATAGCTCTCTCATGCCCCCACAACTCAAACGCAGTGTTCCTTGGAGCGACACTCATCAAAATGAATTCGATGAGGATTATTCCCCTTACACGGTAACTTTGTCTATATGTCTCGACTCAGTGCCTTTCCTTATTTCTTTCCATGATCTTAGAAAGTTCGTCGTATCATGCAAAACGGAAACTACGAAGATGAAATCGAAATGTTACGTCTGAGAAATTCTCAACTTGAATCTCGGGTCAATGAACTAGAAGGTGATCTTGAGACAATCCTTGTACGTGTTGTTCATCCATCAGCTTCCAGCAATACATGTTTACAGTTGAGAGATTTTAGAATCAAGAAATGGACGATATTATTTCACTGAAGGAGGACGTTCATCTATATTATCGCCAATACCGGGAAGCCCGGCTTGAGGTCATGGAATTGGAGGAGGTGATCCTCGAACTTCGAGATTCGGGTGTGGGCAATCAGTCAGTTCCGCAACAGTCTTCAGACGAGGTGTGCATTACACTGCTTACTGCTTGTTGCTTTCTAACGAGTATTCTCCAAGCTCATCTCTTTACAAGACGAAGTGGCTCACCTCGAAAAGCGGAGGGTAGTGGCAAATGCTGGACAGCTTAACGAAGTGAGTGATGACTATCTCTCCGTTTTGTCCTCTGTCGACCTCCTCTCAGGACATCGGATCCAAAAGTGCTTCTCTAGAGTATCCCGATTCCAGCCCGACTCTTCAAGGAGAAAACGCTTTGCCAATCGTTATCCACTCGGAGAACAACCCCTACTCTTCGGATTCAACTCCACCTTCAGCTTCTATTCTTTCTTATCCAACAGACGCACCGACTTCGGGATGGTTCTTTGAAGCTTTCCACTACCTTAATGTAGCACTTGGCCCTCAATATCTTGATTTACTGCAAAAATGGATGGACTACGAGCGTAAGAACAATTGGCTCAACCCTCACAAATTGGCTGGGTTTTCACCTGAGAACCGGCCATCTGTGCTGTTAGCTTGGATGAAAAATCGACCTCGACCTTTGCCAAAAGTCGACACCGGAATTTGTGCAGGAGGTATGGGCTTGGTGGGCTAATCTACAACCCGATTGGCGATCGCTGGATGAAAATGGGTTACCCATGCCCTTTGAAGAGTTCGGGGATGATTTGTCGTCGCTCAACAAGCATGGCAGAAACGCGTGGGTTGGCCTACTTGCTTGCCTCAAATGGTGGAAAGTTGGTCTGGGATACCATATTGCTGATGATAACGAAGCACCCGTTAACGAATGGCTTGCTATTATCGCAGATATGACAAGAATGTTAGACAGATTAGTTGCTGAATAATGAGACTCATGTAGGCGTACAAGATATTGTCAATATTTCGACCCAGATATTGTATCGTATCTCAATTACTAGTACTTGCGAAGCTTGTTGTATCCTTCCTATATATATATACTATCCCTATCCTGAATAGTCATTCAAATATGTGTTCTTTTCCAAGGCAATTGGTCCAATTCTTAAGCACTTGAAAGGGTGACATGTCGTTTCACAAATTCATTTCGCAAATCAAACTTCACAGAGGCTGAAATGGATTTATATAGGTACTAGACAATTAAAGCTGGTATTGAGTACTCTAAAGAACGAGAAAAGGATATACAGGTCCAAGGACTGGATGCCGACTTTCAGAAGAAATCGCAGTTCCAGACTATCATAATATTAGGAGCGCACATGCCAAGAAGTTCGGACTGGCCATTGAAGGCGGTACAAAGGGGGATGAGTCATTCCTTGGGCATCCGCGATGCTTTCAACACCATGGCGGATAGTCAACGATGGCACAGGCTTCTGTAGGATAGGCGCCCTGCAGATGGGACATAGACACAGTGACAAAGATTGGAGTGAAGTGAACCTGACTCGACTAATGCACTTTGCGCAGAACATATGCCCACATGACAGACTGAAGATTTGGTAAAAAGATTTGGTAAATACGATATATGTCAATGAGGAGAGCATGATCAACGTACACATGAGGGTTCCAAGCCAGGTCCATACAGATGGGGCAGCGATGTTCTCCTTCTCTGGTTGATCTTGATTCCTGGATTCGGCGCCGAAGTACCTGTGTAAAATTCATCAAGAAATATACTGTAAGTCATGTTCTGAATACTCACAAGTAATTGCGCCTGACAATTCTCCAAAATTTTCCTCGAAACAAGCTCCTTTGCTTCAGATTGTAGCTTGAGTTCATACATTTTCGTAAATTCAGTTTTGTTGTTCTCCGCCAACCGTCGCTCTTCTTCGATCTGAATGTCTCGAGTACTGATTTCCTCTCTGGCCCACTGATCAAGTTCTTTGTGACTTTCCGAAACCATACTCTCGATGGCGCGCGCGAAAGAATCCATGTCCCCATGGTGATTATGAATGACATTCAAAACGTGAGCGGTCGAAGTGGCTATGGGAGGCAGGAGAGCCGTAGGCGGAAGTAGAGGAGACTCAAGCTCAGCACTGCATCGAGCCCGAGTTCGTGTAAGCATTGAGTGTTTAGAGAGTGCAAAGGTAGTGGCATGGCGCGAGGGAGATACGTGTGTTTTTGAGGGAGAGACGTGTCTATCACGGTCATTGACGACGCCAAGATTGTGAGCAGACGGAGAGGCCGTGGGAGGCGAGAGAGCCATGGCTAACGGTGGAACATGTGGCGCCTCATGCTCGACGTTATATCGAGCCTGACCTCGCGTAAGCATTCGGTGTTTAGTGAGTGCGAAGCTGGGATCGCGCGAGGAAAGGATGCGTTTATAGGGTGAGCTGGAGCCTGAGCCTTTGGACTGGTGTTTTCGCGGAGACTCGAAGCAGCGAGATGGTGCCATATTAGATGAGATATAAGTCTGTAGATACCGTGCTATAGCCTTATATATATATGTGCTGGCCAAGGGCTGCGAGAGTTGTCTTTGTGCAGCCATTGATTCCGAGTTCGAAGATAACAAAGGGGAATGAGGCGTGTTCTTAAATATACATGTGATAGACCCTTTAATAACCTGATCGCGATAGTACCAGTACCTGCACCGTCCTGGTGTACGACCGTAGAAATGCGTCTGTTGGCAGATGTTAATGTGAGCAATTTGAAGCTTGAAGGATTCGAGTTGAGCTTGTCCTGTACTGGAAGAACTGAACTTCAAATATTAATGTTCGGCGCTTAATTGAGCAACTAATATTTGGGCCTTTGTTCCGTTAAGATCTTAAATATTTCCCACATGTACATGTCCTTGTCTTTGCTCCTGATCTTTATTCGTACTCTATCACATGCATTAATTGAGGTTCTCGTCTGTATCATTTCTTTAATCCAAAGACGCCCCATCTCTGACATTCTCTATGTAATGAAGGATTACCGTCAGCCGCTCTCTGCACCCTGGTAAGTGGACTAGCTGGTGCAGCTATTTTCGCACTGGTCTTCCCATTCGTGAAATCTTCTCCGTAATGACCATATTCCCGCTTCTGACTCAGTCGATCTATGCATCGTGATGGCCATGCACGCATGTCCAGTCCCAAATAATTTATACAATCCGGTTTCCGAAACGGATGTCGTGCGACATCCCTCTCCATTCATTCCGATTCGACTACCTGTCTTTGCACTGGTGATGTTTCTCAATGACTGGATTGTCAAGATTCTCGGTGTCGGAGGGGGTTCGAGAACCAGAAACGTCCATCGTAGAGGGGAGGAACTCTTATCTAATCTACTGATTGATCACCCTTGAAGCTTCGACCACCTCAGCCTCTAGTCTTTCCGCATCATGTCAGCCAATTTGCAAAATAGCATTATGCTTTTCGGTGATTCTATCACTCGATGTGGCTGGGAGCCTGGTATGAATGGTTTTGGAGCCCCGTATTAGTACGCCTGATCTTTGTTTCCCAGATAGATGCGCGTAAATTAGACATTATTAATCGAGGATTCTCTGGATATAATACTGAATGGGGCATCCCGGTATTTGAGCAAGTGAGTATAGTAAAGCGCCTCTGTTACATTTGACTGACTTTGCGATCCTTAGCTCGTTGCAACTCGGGAACAGCAGAAGGATTTGCCAACAGTCCGATTATTGATCATTTGGTTTGGAGCAAACGACTCGTGCCTAGTCCAATCCCCTCAACACGTACCACTGCGGAAATTCGCGTCCAACCTCAAACATCTTGTGAACTTGGTACAGTCACCCAAGTCTGATTATTATTCGCCGAACACACGCATCATACTCGTAACATCTCCGCCAGTGAATACATACCAACGTAGAGCCAATTTGGAGGCCAGAGATCCGCCTTTGCTGCTAGACAGAGATTTTGAGAGCACCAAAACCTACGCCGAGACGGTCAAGGGCATAGCTCAAGAGGAGGCGGTCGGAATCATTGATATTTGGACCAAAATGTGGGATGCTGCCGGCCACAACGAGCAGTCGCTCAGTAATTTTCTGTACGATGGATTGCACTTGACCGGTGTGGGTTTCCAGGTACGAAAGCAATTGAATTCGGTGAAATGACATTGACAATCGATGATATAGCTGATGTATGATGCGGTATTGGAAACGATAGAAAAGACCTATCCAGAGTTGCACCCAGATAGATTGCAGATGGTTTTCCCTGGGCAGGTGGAGGAGATATTTCAAGCTTCTCCTCCAAATTTCTGACGCCTGTAAGTATAGTCGGGCCTCGATAGACCGTGCCAACGTTGGCCGCGTCGGTGCAGAAGAGGGCCACGGAGCGACCACCAGAGGAGTAGATCCACGTTCACCAATTCATGCACCACCATCCTATCCTCCGGGTATAGAAGCTTGGAAGGGTTCGGCTGTTGGCCGATTCAAAGGATACGCGCCAGCTCCAAAGCATCTACTAAACTTGTCTCGTATTGAGGGCGACGGATAGCTTAGATGAAAGCTACCTCATATTGAGGATGGCTGGGTGGGAGCGAAATTGGGGTTCACCTTGGTCACTCGCGCTATGAACATCCGTTTGGCTCAGCCATACAACGAAATCGCTACACAGAGATCTCGTTGCTGCTGGATCCAACCAATACAGCTACTACGACTTCCTTATTAGCTCAGGTGCACAATATCCATCAGCTCTTTCCCGTTGTCCTTAAGAATATTTCATCTTTATGGTTAAACAACTCCGTCGCTTGATTCGCAAAAGCCCCTTACAAGGCGTACTCAGTTCAAAGATCTGCTGATAAATTCATTGAACACTAATCGCTGTACGATTGACTCGTGCATGAAGCTCAGGGCCGATGATTGTAGGCTAGGCTTTCTTCGTCCTGGAACATCAAGTTGACGGTGAGGAGATCCATCATACGGACTAACGGAACGAACGGTACTAATGGAAGGAGCCCTGCGCCAGATGCTAGAGATAAAGCTTAAGGCTGACTTCTTTCACCTCCTGCAATCAATCAGCATTGACACGCACGGATTCGTCGTGATGTTGTCAGAAGACGCGGGAGAGAGGGTCTGTCACTGTTTTTCATAGATCTTTTGCAAATTTCGTTTCTAATCCGAAGTTGTTCAATTGCAATGGGTGATCAGATTACCGAACTCTATAAGGAAGGTTTACGACCTGCGATAACGGCCTTGACTGTATTTTCTGCCGGGGTTACATACCTAGAATTATTGTAATACCGCTCTAGTTTGAGGGTCTCTTCTATGGTATGTCATAATCTCCACTCCCGTTGTCCAGCCAGCTACAAGTACTCTCCACGACAGATTTCTGACGCCTACTAGACCATTCTTCCATTAGGAACCAATGTCAATCTTACTCATGGGCTACTAGAAGAAGGCGAGCACGAGAAACATGGCAACTGCACCAAGTAAAGCACTCCCAACACCAACAAGTGCCACCATATACTTCTGTACATGTCCTTTGTTACGATTCATTGGCTTCAAGATGACGTCCTCGGAGCCAACGGATTGAAGATCGACAAAAGCTTTTGCCAATATGGAAATGACCTTTCCCTTCGATTGATGGTCTAGCTGTGGCAGGAAGAAGGATTCGAAGACTGTCATATCGACGGGGAAAGATGGGTCGAGGTTCGCATTCAAAGCGGCAAGATAACCTGGGATGGAGTTCTGGTCATCGATCTCGATCGCAGGAATGCGAGTATGAGCGACTTCAGTAACACTGGACTCGGGGTGTGGTGTTGGAGCACGGAGGCATCTAGAATCGAGGATCGTGATAGGCTGGGTAATGGAATGTTCTTCGGAGATGATACAATCGCTATCAGCGATGAGTGCGTTTTGAAGAGAGAGAATCGACATTGTGTGATTGTAAAGGGTGTGGTGTGCAAGGTAGATTGCTGGAGACTGGATAACGTCCCATGTATATTTATAGGGAGCGGATAACCTTATAAGTAAACCGAGACAAGACCCAAGATATGCTAATTGCTAGCAAAGAATACAATTGATATGAAAGGGAACGAATATAACTTAATGAAAGGACTGACGATCGCGAACAAAACAAGAAGTCATTGGCATTTTAATGAAGTGAACGTGTATGTAAACAGACAAGGATGAAGGATTCGCAACTGACATGCGATTTAATTTTAATATACACGTGCTGGTCCATTCGGATTTGCCACTACGTCACCCCTTTCTTCGTCAATTCCTCCAGGGACCAGCTTTCGTTCATTCATGTTTCATTTTCTTTGGCCTTTTCTGCAAGAGAATGCAAAATGGGACGCAACACTCTACCACTGCACAGAAACGCCCTTCATATACTCAACTCAACGACATATTTTAGTGCATCGGATACTCTGCCTTCTTCATGGATTCTTCGGAACTCACAAGTATTGCAATCAACGTATGCAAGATGCCACTTATTTTCTTTGCTTACTCACTCATCTAGATATAGCGAAAGGCAAGAACAATTCTCCATAGTGCGATGCAGCTGAAATACACGTATGAGGCATCGTTGAAGGAACCTGTGTCGACAACACGACTCGCTCAATTCCAATCAGATCCTAATGGTCATGGTCCACGCATGGGTGCAGTTCAGCTAGATTTCACGAGTCCCACCCGTCGCTCCCATTGGAATCAGGCAGTCGTGGAACTCTTAGCTGAAGTGGCGATATCAGCACATCCAGGTATCAGCGCAAAGGTTGATTGGCGGAAACTCTTCAGAACTAGAATCGATCGAATTATCAGCGATGCCTCTCACTTCCAAAAAAATAGTACTTCCTATATCGAGAGTAGACGTAAGAAAATGCTGAAGACGGCAACATATAAGGTAAGAGGTTTGTTCAAGTACCGAGGATTTTGATTCATTCTATCTAGAAACTTCAACGTCGCCTGCGAATTGCCAGTATGATGTTGACCGACTGCAAATCATCGAGGAACGAAGACGGTGTCTTTTTCTGGTCCTACATCCTCCGGTCCTTAGACTCCCTTGCTTACACTGGCATGTCTGACGAAGAAACTGTCTGCGACAAAGATAACCACAGTTTGTTCAGAATTGTTACGGACCCAGTCTCTCGACACCCAGCATTTAGGATTTTGTTTCGATATGTCGATGACGCTCCTTCCCTATATTCCGATCTTTTCAAACAATCCGGCAAAAAACCTCTCAAAAGGGTCTCTGCGCAGACAATGACGATGACACATGCCCTGCATTCAGATAGCGACAGTGAGTTTTGCCCTACGAGGTTAGTTCCTTACATTCATGACATTGGATGAAAACTCATTTCTTACCTGACTTAGGTTTCTTCCTTATTTGGTGAAAATCGATTATCAAGTCTAGATTATCTTAACTCAAGACTCGTAGTACTAGTATAATTCAATAATCATGGATTCATTCTCTAGCATCTGGCTGTGTTGATACTCGAAATAGCTGTGACAAGTGCAAGATTGTCGCCATCCGAGGTGAAATAAGCTGGTCAACTAGAGTGTTTTCTCGGGTGCGAAGAAGGTAATGCATTCTAATGGTGAGGTATCAACACACTGTTAGTGGAGTGATTCGGGACACCGCTGGACTATATTAATTGAAATTACATTGGCTTCCAATGCGATGACTGGAATCCATTCACCCTCTCAGCCCCTCTTTCCTCTACAGATACAAGTTAATACGCTAATCGGAATTGTACCAGGAGGTTGCAGCAGTCTAAATCTTGCTTGCACGGAAATTGTAATCATACCCATATCAACCTACAACCACCCTTCAGGCCCTGGCAAAACTCAAACTGCCGGCTATCCGTCTTTCTCCCCTTACAGCCATCAAGGGCGATGAAACGCATGGCCAGCAGTATGCACTCTCTCCGACATCTTTGGCGGGTGATAACTTGTCCACTCATTTATCAATGTTACTGATCTTTGAGTCTGTCGTTTACTTTACGGTGGCTTTCGCAAGATTCTCAAGATGGAAGAAGGCGCAGTTCTCGAGTTGGGAAGGTTGGAGGAAAAGGATAAATCTACGGATGCTCATGTCATCACCTCTCACTCCAACTCATATGATTGAGTGCCTACGACTGGTGCTCAGGCTACTGTTGAATCACATCTTCGCCAAACGACACAACAATCGTAACATGTCTGTCCCCGGCCCAGCCCTTGCCATCGTCGATGCGTCTTCGTCTGCCAATGCACCCACTGTCGACACTGAAAAGTCGAAGAAATTGGAAGCGGGGAGTCAACTATAAAGGCTGAGCGCTGAGCACTGCCATTTCCGTCCTGTTGTAATAACATGTACACTTGTCTTTCTAGTGATTCCTTGTGTCGTTCCTTGTCTACGGAAATCTTGTATCATCTATATCATCTTCAACTGAGTAAACGTTAGCGTTGTGAAGACGAATGAAAGGAATAAGTGATTTGTCGATGAAAGTTTCTGTCAATTGAAATTGTCACTAGAGATCCAGACGCGTCGCGCTCCACGGTCGAATGTCGGTCCGGTTATCCGCCTCCTCGGGTTTCACCATGTCAGGTTCTAGATCTTTTCCTTCAAGTTTCGACACCATTCGGAAAGTTGCAATTTTCTACATATTCGTGAGATGCTCTACGAGCTACATTCATGAACTAAACTAGTACTCTATCTCTTTCAGTATTACGCGATTTGTCTCTCGGAACGGAGAACGCAAGGAGGACAAAGCTTGATTGGGAAGCAGAAGCCTCGCTGTGAGGCGCCTAATCCACATCACAAACAATGAAATATTCAATCTTCGTCTTACTCCCTTCATCCATCAATGTGGGAGGTCCCGTTGGAAGATGTCAAGGAGGTGACCTCCCGAAGCAAAAGATTACCTTCACCCAGGATACCAGATAATCAGCCTTCACCTAAACGGATTAGGCAAGCAATATTCCTTTGTAGTCGCGATGTCGAAGATGCGGACGGCGCTTCCAACCGATTTTCTGCTGGAACGAGGACCAATGAGGCCCTTAGTTCTTCTCGTTCTATCCATGTTTCGAATACCGACAACGTCACCCAGGATCCTTCCCACGTAGAAAAACCATCAAATACAGATGTGCATGCTGGCCTCGGGTCGAACATCTTGAAGGCGTGCACCGTTTACGTCGATGTTTGGATGTCTCATGGGGAAAACACATTGTCACTCTTCTACAATATTGCAAAGGATCTAGGTGCACATGTATGCGTATTCAATGATATCTCCTTCAAAATTCCATCCCCTAAATTTTGCCATTAGATCGTAAAGAGCATTGGGCCACAATGCACTCATATTGTATACACATCAGGTTGTCAAAGCACAGTACGGAAGTACTTGTAAGTATTCATGTCTGGTTCGTTCGCACTAATGTCCTTTTCTATTTCTAGTGCGTTGGACGAAGAAAGGAGACCCAAGGTCGTTGGAGCAGCATGGCTGAAAGATTGTCGGGATGCTGCCACGTATTTAGGGGAAGAACCTTACCTGGTCAACTTAGAGGAACACTGTATGTACAATCTGGGCACTAGGCGCAAGAACAGATCTAGAGTGGGTACTTTCGACTACGATTACAACATATATGTCTGCACTCACATGAATTATAGCGTCGGCGCTTCATTCCTTCCTTTATGAATGATAACAATGGAAACGATTCAACCATCTCTATCGATACATCAAATACATGTAGGTGTCATACAGTTGTAATACCGCATCGACTGACACTTGTATTTTATCTAGTGGACAATAGCATATCAGTATTGGAGATGGCACGGAATCGAAGCAGAATCTCTAAACGGAAATGATTCCTGTCCCCAATTTCTCGCATTCTCTTACTTCTTTCCTCATGTATCGTACTAGACGGCATTGGCTTCGAGATATACTGGCTTTTGTTTCCCTCTCGCTATACCTAAGTACCTACTTTCTGTAATGAAGTGTTCCTAGCTTATTGTGACCGAATATTAATAGAGAAGTCTCTGCTTGTTTTGTCTCCGAGATCTAGAGCTTCCCTGAAAGCAGTATATACACGACTATGTAGTCATTCACAAGAGACGAGTTCCAAAAGAACATAATTAAACACGAGTATCGAGTACAGTAACTACACACGAGCTACTACTAAGTACAAGGAAGTAGCATCGTTACGCTTAGACAGTGATAATCTGTACATGATGAAGGCGCCGAACGAAGGTTCGGCAGGTCAACTTTAACATCTCCTCGCGCTCGCACTTCCTAAAACTTCATGTATATTCGGTGCGGTGGATGGATTCGAGGGCTTAAGGTGATCCACGTGGAGTATAAAGTGCCCCTTCATTGGGGGACAGGCGAAGGTGGTACTTTCCCCAGTTTAGTAGCAATGCTACCAACTGCATGGCGAATAGTTATCGATGGAATGGGAGGTCTGCAAATAAAAGCTCTGCATTTCTGGCACCGCCTCGTTCGGCCTGAGCTCATAGCTGATAGTCGCTCATTGCTAACGCATTGCAAACATACTATGTGCCCGCAAATTAAACTAAATGTAAAACGTTAGTGAGCGCCATGAGGAAACAAAACAAAACGCACACTTGAGGTTCCCATGCAAGATTTCCACAACCGGGACAGGTATGCTCTCGTTCCTGATTCAGTTTGTTCAAGCAGAGTGTTTCTTGATATTTCTGGGAATAGACGGGAATATGAGTATAAGTTATATCAGATGCGCCACTCGCTCACCCGGCATTGTTCCTTCAGCACATTGATCTGGTGCTTTCTGAGCAGAATCTCGTCTTTCTGAGCCTTGAAAATACTCTCCGATGCCGCATGCAGGTTGTCCAATCCCTTCACAAGCTCATCAGTCCCGCCCTGTCTTTTAAGGTACTCCTCTCGGCCAGAGGGTATCATAGGGAATTCGTGGATGGAATCAATATCGATGGGAGTTTTGGCACTAGACGTAATAGTCGAAGCAGCAGATGCGCTTTCATTGAGGATTGTGTTTGATAAGGAAGAAGTGGTACTCGAGATAGCGGAATTGGAAACTGGAGTGGCAGGATGCATATCTCCCATGATAGTATGCCGCTCTCCGATTAGCATTCTTTGATGCTGAGTAGTCGGGTAGTTAGCTTTCGATCTCGTCGGTGTGTTACGCTGTGGACCCATAGAAGGAAGTCTGAGTTGAATGACCACTAGAATTTTGACCCGGCACTTTATATTCGAGGTACATAAGCTTAAGCGCCTGAAGGCGTCTAATCTTGCTTTATGTTCTCAATTAGGTATGAACAAAGACATTCAATTAGATCCGTCACCAGTACCGGTACCAGTAAGTACTTACTTGCGCGGGCTAGCTAGCGCTTGTACATGTGCTACTTCTTGTTACCTCAAATGTCAAATGAAAGGGAGGTTCGATCCCCCAACGTCCTTTTGCACGCTACATCTTATAAAAACTTCGACCAATTTGCCACTACCTCCTAATAATCTCTCGATCACTTCTTGCCATCGTACCATGCCAAAAACCCCACGTAAACCGAGAGCGCACACTGGGTATGCTGCTCGACATATTGGCCGTCCTGTGAAAAGGAAATCCAGAAATCGATTTCCTGACCGTTTCCACTCCGCAACTTGTGAAGCATTATGTTCGAACGTAGGGTATGCTCCAGAGGTGGTCATGTCTGATATCACGGACCTCGAGCTTCTGAATAGCTGGCAGAAGTGTTCCGTACAGGATGTATTGGTCGAATTCCGGAAAATTGTCGACTCATCATTTGTGAATGATTGTGTCGTTTGCGACATGTTATTTTCACGACCGTACGTGTAAACACATACTATGCTTACTATCCACTGAACTGTGATCCTTCAGTTTCAAGGCCTGCGGACATATACTTTGTGGAGCTTGCCTGAATCGCCTTCCCCGCGAGGGTGTCGAAGTCAACATTGGTTCCATTCATCATCACACATGTCCTATCTGTCGCGGGACGGTCAGATCCATGCCATTGAAGTCGGACGCTTTACAGCGCACAGTCGGCGAGCTATTTGGTCTTTCAACCCCTCGTCCGGAAGATATGGAGATCGATGATCTTGGTGCCACTCGACCAAATTATTCATAGAGGTTCAGTCTATTCGAAGTTGCGCAACGCGTTGTGCATTAGAAGCAGTTATCATTGATCTATTCGCACCACCAATCGGTGCCGACTGCATATCGAATCAGAAAAACTACCTCAGTACATCAGCGATCTACCTTCTCCCTACCTATTCAGAACCTACCCTCTTTCGAATCCTTTTATCGTTCTGTCGATATATCCAGAAAATAACAGCTCGCCCTTTCGTAGATCCTGGATTCACTCGAGCAAGCGTCTTTCGTTTCTCCGCTCCAATCGTCGTATTCATTTCATTCATTACTCCTGTTGCGCTCCTTCCTCAAGATTGGTATATCGACCAGTGGTCAGAAAATAAGCAGATGCCAGTCAAATTCTCGGAAGTCGGTTCCCTCTGTATGATGTCTTCCATGGTTGTCCTCGGGACGCTGTCATTCCGGTGGATTTTGATCTGGGTACTTGCGATATGTGGCAGGCGCTTCATGGTGGTAGATTTGAGTGGAAGAACGTATGTTGGTGTTTCTGACAATTTAATGGGTGGGTTGTTCACGAACTAACTACCACATAATACTCATAGTACGTATGTATACATCAAATTTATCTTTCAACCTAAATATCTTTTGAAAACTTCTACATTGTATCGACTCAAAGTGGCGGCAGTGATGAACCAGCAAATTCAAGACTAGGAAGTACTTCCAATATATAAACCGCAGTGCTACAAACGAATTGACCATATTCATTTCCCATTTCCGTACCCGTACCAGATCATAAATTTCATTGAAAAACCCCAAGGTACTAAGAACGCCTCTTAAGCAATCCTAGTGACAGTTAAACACTAGCCGATAATAGGAAAGTGGGCGTCAAGCCGAACAATTCCTTAGACGGCTAAGCTATGTCTCTTCGCCGCGTCATCTTCAACAGATACCCGCCTCCCAGCTTTCTTCCCAAGATGGGCCACCTCGTGCTGCAATATATTCCGTATCAGCGTCATCCGATTCAAGACTCAGGACGTCTTCGGCAGTGTAGAGGTATGAGCGAGACTTGGCTCGCCTTGACGGTATGGATGTACTAGATGTCGCTGATGCAAGGAGTTGAGACGCCACATCGGACGAAGATGCGGTCCTGGAAGCGGATAAGATTAACTGAACTGGATCTGTCGCATGGCTCCCTGCTCGGGAAGGTTGGCATCCGGGACCTTCCAAGAACGACTGAGCTCCCCCGTCAGGGTCATCGTAATCACCGTCTGCATCTGATGACCAGGAACACACTCCTCTAAGTGCCTGGACGTTACTGCAGAGGCTAATTGGCGTTTCCGTAATGAGTCTCCACCTGGTTCGGAGTCGGGCTTTCGCATTTTCCTGTCGACAAAGATCAGATACATCCGGTTCGAAGAGAAAAACATACGTATTCAACTTAGGATCAACATAGTTCGAACTTTTTTCGCACACGTCGTTCCCTGCCGCCAGTCTGTCCGAGCTCTGGGTCCAAATCTTGATTATCAGGGGACCTCCTCTTCCTCCGCTTCGTCCAACACGGCGGCCAACTCATCATCTTCCGCAGCCTCATGCGATCCTGCTACTGGACTCCCCTGTCGCACTAAGAGACCACTCTGACGACGAAGAGGTTTCGGCCTGGTAGGATTTGAAGCAGAAATAGTGGAACGGTCAACTGGTGCAGTGATAGGTGGAGAAGATGACACTCGGAAAAGCAGTGGGAATCGGGAGGCAGAAAGCCGTTTGAGTTTGACTCTACACCTCGGGCTATGAGTCTTCTCCTTAGCCTCGTCTTCATCCTCCTTGAGATCCGAAGGTTCATCGTCTTCGTATATCAGGGGAGTTGTGGGAGCTCGCGATAATCGTGGATACAGAGGTGAATCAGGTGAGTCTGCGAATGGGAGCGGTCGCTGTGTGGCTCTAGGCGGAGTAGGCGAAGACGAAGATCTGGTATAACCGAAGGCCTGACAGAGGAAGCCTCAGATGTTGGGTAAGTCCGAGCGCCTGCGAGAAAAGATTCAGAATAAAAGTGATCGTCAGAGAATCATACGACGCACTGCGGCTTCAGTCTCTGCAATGACATTACTCGGGATCTTTCGTGCTCGCGTTTGAATTTCAGCTGGGCTGCCAGGTTGATTTCTGAGGCCCAAAGTCAAAGATTTTCAGTGTATAGTGTGGAAATCTGGGCATTTGACTCTTCGATTCGTACACTGAGGGTTGAGTTGAGCCTGTAAAAGTGCCAGAAAAAAACATGATAATATCTATGAAGGAAAGTCATCAACTTCGTATGACACGCTTCGCTCCGAAGGTTCCGGGCGCTCGTCATGCAATCACGAGCTCGAGGATTAGAAGGGCGCCTATTCCCCAATCCTCCTTTCCTTCGAAGTTTGAACTAGTACTCGCGTTCTTTTCGTTTCACCTTCCTTGATTGTGAAGGCGTCGAATCCCTCATGCTTACTACTGTGCTTGATTGCTACCATGAAAGTCTATCCCAGAGTGGACCAACTTCGGCATGAGGTAAACACATCCTACTAGCAGAACACTTGCGCTGTCAACAGACGGAACATGTGGATATTCAGCTTGGTGTAGGATCCAATGTGGGCTCAAAAGAACCCTCGTAGATCTTTTGCGTCTACATCATCAGCTTCTCTTGACAGCACAAATAATGGTCGACATGTCTAGCTGCTCACAGGCAACGTCTTACCAGATGGCTCAAGAAAACTGAGTGAAGGGACGAAACCCATCAAGAAACCAGTGTACATGTGTTCTCTAGGCAGGTATCACATCATTCCCATTGATTGCTTCAAACCCTCTTCTCTTCTATAGCATGCGAACACAGTCTCCGGCTGACACTGGTTTCTAAGAAGGGTCTCGCGCACCAGTCTTCAGTTTTCCATTTCGTTATTCATGGCACGCATGGCTTATCTGCTCATCAACCACTCGCTGCTATGTCGGTCAGTCCTCAATATATTCCTGTGAGCAGGAGCTTCGGCGTTGAGCGGTGAAATCGGTACGCCCTATTGTCATGTACTAAATCTTACTTCTTCCCATACTCTTTAGTCTCGTAGCTACACGTACTCTATCCAGGTTCCAAAGATTTGTGACTTCAAGATGTAGTGAGTATCGAGAAGTTAGTATTCAAGACCATGCCCTGTTTCTTCAGCCAATTTCACTTGGATATCAAACTAACATTTGCTGCTGCTTCCATGGTGGATACAATGTAGAATCCGAGTCTTTTTATGATCCTTCTTGCTGGTTTTGTCTCCCAGCAGCTCACCACTAGTTCTAGTATGCTGTCGAAATGTGATTTGTTTTGCCTCGTGCCCACTCGTCCACCGGCTGCTACTCTGACACACGCACCACGTTATATTTTTCTTTGTCTTTGACAAGTCTTTCATTCCTCCCAACAACCTCCAACACTGTGTCCAGGATGTCTTTGACGACTGTCTTCCAACACCGTATACCCATCCATTTCTGCCCCGAGCTGTTTGGCGAGTATCTGTCATATGTACAGGGTTCAGACCTCGATGCTTGCTCACAAGTTTGCCATTACTGGAGGGAACCAGCGATGTCTGCGCGGCTCAGAACGGTTGACGCCGATGATCAGGTGCAGCTTGCAATCCTACAACACGATTCTCGTCGTTTGCGATATGTACGCACTCTCATTGGTGACACTTGGAGTCCGTTCACCACCACGTTCACGTCCTACCCAGTCCACCTGAGGACCCTTGTAGTCCGAGGAACGGACTTTGTCGCGACGAAGGAACGGATCAACGAAGCTATCATTGCATTCTCTGGTACCATTACAACGTTCACAATCCAGGATTCCCTTCGAATGTCCTACCAGGACTTTTGCGGAATGCTTCAGTCTCTTGGTCATTGTAAATTGCTTCGAACGTTAACACTTCCCCGTCCTGCTAGGGAGCTCAATGACCATTCCTCTCCCCAACAACGCGCTGATGGTGTTCATGCTGCGATTTCTGCGATGACTCACACTGAAGAAGAAAAGGCGAAAGTGGTGTCCTTGCAGCTCATCCCCTTATCTCATCGCCACGATCCTCGATATACTGGTAAAGCCGCTCATGCTCAAGAGTACGAATGGTTGGACAGGTATAAATGCCCTTTCGACCTCAGCGAGCTTGAAACACTGGTTGTAGGTGCTGCTAGTGCTGCACAGATCCTTTTTCCTTCAATCTCGGAGAGCCTTACTAGGCTCGAGCTCTGTCTACCATTTGACAACCGTACTGCTTGGACAGAATACGGTAAAGTTTGCTGCCCATAATAGAATTCTCAGTCTCTTACTCTATCCAGAAAACCTTCTAGGAGCTCCGATTATTATGCCTGCCTTGCAGTATCTCGGTTTGACCTTTCATATACGCCCGTCAAACTGGTTACTTGACGTTATTCGAACACCTGCAGTCAAGACCATCTGCATAAAATGGAAGACCTCCATCTTATACAGCACGTATCAGATCCAGTTTAGGAACATTGACAACCAAATCTCCAGATTGGACGACGGTCATGTATTTCCCCAGCACCTGTCAGACATCCACCTTTTAACGATATTTTGTCCTGATGTCCAGTGGTGCGCACAGGCCTTTCCGATTTGTTCTCATTCTGGTGTCAATGTTTCCTCCTTTACTGGTAGCTGGTAATCAAATTTTGTACTTCGTGATTGAACGTATCACTCATAGAAAGTTTCGTACTGCCTCAATATGATGAATCAGATATATATTAATATCGTGTCTTTATTATTTGAGAATGTCTATGTCTACGAGATTCGAGAAATGTAAGCAATTCTACAGCACTGTCTGACTCCAGAATGCCTCAACCCTATTGCTACCACTCAGCTCGATTCTGAGTTAGTAAGGCCACTCAAGTTGTCGCGACGCAGGAACGACTCGTTGAAAATGGTTTGCGATGTCTTCGACACCTCGCCGAATAGTATGAGAGAATTGAGGCCTACGAAGAACGAGGGCATGGCAGGTTGGGCAGCGAATGATGACCTCGGTTCCATCCGGATTCTCGGATCGTTTCTGAACATGCGTAGCCTTATATTGGCTAAGACACTGGGAACAGAAGAAGTGACCACAAAGAAGACTACGTCTGTTATTGGAAAAGGAACGCAAAGCAGTTCAAAAGATACTCACACATACGGGTCCCAAGCTAAATCGGAACAAAGGGGACATCGATATTCTGTTACACGGGTACTCATCTCTTGCTCTGTTTCATTTTCAAGTGACTGACAAACATCCGTCTCAGTATGATCCTCAGAACTGAAGCGGTAACACTTACCTCTTTGTCTTCATTTAAGGACACCAGATTTTGGTTGAAGAGGATGAGAGTTTCGGTTTGTGTCTGTAGTATTTCCATCGAGCGTTTCATGTAATCTTCGGCCTCTTTCGCGAATACGAGGTCGGGTCGATTTGTCGGAAGAAAAGCACTGGAGACGTCTGGCATAGGGGCAGCTTCGGGGAAGGTAGCTGGTGCGGGGTCTGACGTGAGGGACGCGTCGATTGTGATTGGTGCGGGGTCCGACGTGGGAGTGGCATGGGAGGTGGTGGTTGCGGTGTACGCTGACACAGACCTTGATTGAGCAGAAGCTCTACGGAGGATCATAGGGTGGGAGCGAGATGGTAGTCTGGAAGACTTCACCATTCGACGATGAGCGATTTTGGATCGTGAAGATTTGCGCGTACCACCCATTAAGGTGAAGCTAGATCTAGTAATACTAGATCGAGAAGATCAAGTCAAGAAGTCGAGTACTACGGAATATCCAAATCGGAGCTCATCGGCATTCGGAGTCTCAAAAAACGGCAGCCTTGTTGATCATATTGACGCGCTAAACTGCCCCTTACAGTATTACAACTGTTGCCACTCCCTTTGCTCATGTACATGTGTTGTATCCCCGGTACATTTCTTTCTTCAAAACGATTGTTTGGACCACAATGGAAAAGATGATGAAACCTATAAAAGCCTTATTGCGAGGTCCAGCATTTCCATTCGAAATTCGCTTTTCCTCCCTCTTGAAAATGGGCCCACAGCGCGCGACTCGACGATCAGCAGCTACCCGTCATCATCCTCATAGGATTCCGGAAGTGTCTCGCCGACATCCCATGCTTACTCGTAGTATGGGTCAAGTACATCCTGCGCCTGCGTTTACTCGTATGAATGGAAGTTCCTCTAATCCAGAAGCTTCTACCTCCGCACTGGACACCGATAGCAATCCCCTTCACTGTAGCTCTTCGCAAGGGGTCTCTGGCCCTCCTTTCTTGCAAAATCTGATTGCTGCGCCTTTGTATAGTCATGTCACTCAGAGCCACTCCCTCCACGAGGCTTCTAGTTCCTCTCTCATCGCGAACGCCAATTTCCCTCCCCCCCTCCCAGACTCCTCTTCACTAGAGGCATCTAGCTCCTCTCCTGTCTCGAATGAAAATCCCCCGCTGCTCCAAGATTCCTCCTCACTCGAGGCTCTCAACCCTCCTTCCACCGTTGATATCACCAGCAGCGATCTTTCTTCTGAAGCTCGAACTTCCACGGGCGAACTTCCGTCAAAGCCCGGTATTCCCGTAGAGCTTTTGACGCACTTTGATCAGAGATTCATCAGGGATCTGGAGTTGTTCGACACGCGCGCCCAGCGTCTCTTCAACGAGCAGAAAAACTCATTGGAATTTGCCCAGAAGTGCATCGAAATATTGACACAGCAATGTATCGTGAGTGTGTTGCAGTCCTAATTTGAAATACGCTGTACTAACATTCGTGCTTTTTTTCAGGACCTGAGGAAGATCGCCGATTTGAGACGCGGTTTGCGAAAGATGGAGCACTGTTGTCCCTTTTGCCAAGAACTTGCATGGAATCCTCATGTGTGCGTACTGAACGAGAGCTTTCCTTCCTCTTTTCGCTTACCAGACCTCGCTGTGTTTTAGTCTAGCGTGTGGACACACCGCTTGCTCAAACTGTATCAGTAACAGACGACAACAATCTGTTGTCACTGGCAGGATATTTTATTGCCCAGTTTGCTGGTTCCCGGTCTGTCGAAGACCTATTCCATCTATATTGATTCGGTCCGTAGTCGAAAGAATTGCCACAAACTCAGACATTTCACCACCTCCCTCGCATTCCCTTGCTTGGCCAGAGCGTCAATAATGGGCCGCACATCTTGATTGTCTTAAGTAGAATATTGCTACATCTCTTGCTCATTATATCTGTATGCTATCCACTACACTAAACGCAATGATAATTTAACAATTTTATTTCAAATCAAAGCCCTACACGTCGCTCCAGGCGAGATCGGAGGCGGCCGAAGCGTGTTTACGTGAGCTCGTGGACTAAGCAAAGTCATGTGATCGCTATTTACCTGTTCAATCCCTCGCAAATATATGTATTACATTAACATCTTCTTTCCTCTATCTCTTCTATTTTCATTGGTTAACTAGTTGGTTGACGGGAATACTCATCTGTATATGTACTGGAACGACGAAGCGTCCGGTCTATGGCTCGAAATTAATTGGTGTGTATCTCCGAACATTGCTTAACAGTCTCGTCCTGATTTTTCTTGCCCAGGATTTATTCATTTCTCCAATCTTAGTGGAAGGATGCTCTTCGACAATGTATGCCACTACTCAAGTCATCAAACTCCTAAGATTGTCGAATTGGATACGGCGACCAACTACAAATAGGAATATATCTAGGAGGAGAGGAAAGTGCGTTTCTCGCATTCTTGCGTCTAAACAATGCAACGAATACTCAAGTTTCCATTCAGGATTCACTCCATCAATATTCTGTGAACTCTCAAAGAGGTACTTCGGGACACAAGCCTTTCGGTTGGTCATTATACATTTATATGATCTCAGTAACCCGACCAATTAGCTTTTCATGGCGCATCTATAGGCCTGAACACGCCTGTCTCGCAGGTTCCCAACTCTTTTACATAATCGCACGCCAATCTTTCTTACCTCTTGGTATCTTAATATTAACAAGGGCACCTTCCACTCCCGATTTGCTTGTAGTGGAGCTTCAGCGCTCATGAATCACTCTCAATATATTGGCCTCAGGGACATATAATGGAACGTATGTTCAGTTCTCCCGTTTCTAGGGGGGTTCCGTCCGCCGCTATGGGGTTTTCTTGTACCAGACCTTCGCCGTGTTCCCTGATCCTCTGAAGCTCACGAAATTTATCAGCGGCGAATCGAAATTTCCCGACCATCCAAAAATGAACCTTTCCAATGCATGGTCATTCTGTTGATGTCGACATTCTCTTCCTTATGGTCATTGCGTTCAATTGAACTGCTCGTTCAGCAATAGTATACATATAGATCATTAGCTTAAGCTTATTGACCAGTCTCGATCTTCCCTAGCTCGTGACCGTTCTCGAGGGAAAGAGCAGTTAAACTCAAATTATCCTAACAATGTGAGTTACTGATACTACTACAGACTGTTCAACTAGTACTAAGCTTCCTCGATAGACCACTGAAGTAATTTTTTCGGAGCGGGACGAAAAACTTGCTGATGAGCAGTCACAGCTTCTGCTGCACCTTGTAGGTTGAAACATAGGACGGGCTTGTGCATCACCTTTGCACGACAGGTTGGACACAGAAACGATGAGCGCTTCTTATTGCATATCTTCTTCAATTTGTTGAGACAATGAACACAAAAAGTGTGCCCGCATTCGAGGCTGGAAGATCATACATAAGTAAGTTCCTCCATATAATGTATGGCGTATTCACGCACATGTAGGGTTGAAACGCTGTCTCCAGGCAGACTGGGCACAAATGATATTGCAGGATGTCCATACGAAGATCAGCTTCGTCGCGCTTAACTTCATCGGTGATCGCATTCTGGATTTCGATACAAGTTTACTAATGCCACTTCAAAAAAGATCTTGCCAAATACCTGCGAAAGGTGACCATCTTCATCTTCAGATTCGCTACTGATATATATGACGTTCGAAGAAGGAGAATCTCCGTCCTCCGAATCGCTGATGTATATGGGGTCTATGAGGGAATCACCCAGAGATCGGGAAGTAGCAGAGACTGTCGGGTGATCGTGTGGAGTAGATACGGTGTCAACTTGGGTTTGGCTGGAAGGCATAAACGGGTGCGAGTTCGGGACGAAGGACGTGGGGATTGCTTGCAGAAATTACTTTCAGCCACCCAAGAAAAGAACAAACGAAATATAACGAGGGCCCCTCGTGGTCATTCAACGCGTTTTGCCCTGATTAGTATAATATTAAGGTTAAGGTAAGGCCAATTCATATATATCAAAGCGATCACTTTCGATTTTGACGTTCAATTTCTTAGATGGGGCGAAATTCGCGAGGGCGTGCCACTCACAAAAGTATTCGTCGTTCGACCGTCCAGGCTCCGCGTGCACTCTATGTTCATCAACACCCCATGATTACTCGAAGCAGGTCTCTTCGAGCCTCGGGAAACAACATTATGAACCTTCCATCCCTTTCAACGGACTATGTCCCTAACGCCACTGCCATCGACTCTGCGTCCGCTTCTAATACCTTCGTCGCTACTCCTGTTCCCCTGGATGTCACACCTGATGATGAGTCCGATGACAAATTTCATGGAGAAGTACGAACGTATCTTGACTATACGTCTGAGATACTAAGTGCACAGGCCGAAGAAGTCAAATTGCTTCGTCGGGAAGTTGCGTCAGTCCGCGAAGAAAATGCTGTAAGTCGCAATGATACACAGCTACAGGTTCCACTAATGATATATTATTACATAGGGCCTGAAAATGCAATACGAAGCAGACGTGACTGCCAGGAAAAAGGAGTATCAATGCCCAATCTGCTATGAGTTGGCCTGGGACTCATACGTGTGAGTACTCGTCTGGATTGTTTGGTTAATTATACATCTCCTAATGCACCTGTGGCTCAGATTGTCATGTGGTCATTCGTTCTGCGCGCGCTGCCTCAGTCAACTCAGAATCACTGATTTTCGAACGAAGGCGCGCAATCCTGAAACTCACCTGGTGACCTGCTGTCCTCTATGCCGCTCCGAAGTTCATTTGAGGCCGCTCTTTTCCTACACCATTCAACAAGGCGTGCAATTCGTCGCTGAAGAGGCGGGCATTGTCGCTCCTCCTTCTTTTAAACTTCGTTGGCCATGGTAGAGCATCGATCAATGTAGTGGATTACAAGCTCTGTACCTCGCACTGGTAGTACTAGTACTAGAAAATATTAAAATATAGTCTTTCAACATTTCCGATGACTAATAGCAAATAATCATAGCAGTTTTTAGGCGCTCATTCTTTGACTACCGACTATGAGCGTTACTTCGAATATTAATACTATTTCCTTTGTCCTTTAGTGAATTGCGGTGAGGCCTGCTCAAGTGCAACATTCACCAACAAAACTAGTATGGATCATCCCATGGACGATGCTCCTGCAATCCACGAATCCGAATTGCCACCAGCTGCCAATGATTCTGAAGTGCCGACAGCGATCCCTCGTACCCGCAGAAGATTAATGCCCAGGCAGACCATGAATGACACTCCCGGTAATGACGACCTCGAGACCCTTTCAGCTATATCTTCAAACCGTCGAAGGAAGCTCAGTTCATCCTCTGACGACGACGACGAGTCATCCAGCCAGGTGGAGGACGTTCGCGAGAAGCCGCAAAAGGTGACAGACGTGAGTTCTCCTTCTCTCATGGTGTAAAGACCTGGAGCTGAGCTATTTTAAAGTTCAAAGTCCATGTGGTAGAACGCGTAGTTGAACGAGAGGTTATACCTGCAGATGTAAAAGAGCAACTAGCTGAAAGAGATGCACGGATACAACAATTACAACACGAACTAGAAGCCAAAGTACGACTCTCATCCACTGTGGCTCATGCATACTTAACCAGCTGCAGAAAACTGAAAAAGCTTCAAGAACTGACGACGCCAACCATTCACATAGCTCTCAAGCAGTCGGTTCTACAGAAGTAGAGAGACGTAAACTGATGGTGAGTTTCTTGATTCATACACTTACTTGGTAGTCATGTATTTTCCTTTAGGGAGATGTTATCGATAAAGGCAGAACAATCGAAAGTCTCACAACACTCAACAAACAGCTTCAACGTAGTCTTGCAGATTCCAGAGTATGTAGATTTCATATTGCTATAAACATACTGATAAGGCTCATCTACCTCCTTAGCAAAACTCAGATAGGTTGAAAGAAGAACTGGAGGAATTGAAAGGAATCCATTCCTCTGCGAAGGCAGAAGCAATCGATGAAGCCCACAAACGAGATGAGGAAATTGCACGCCTGCAAAAGGAGTTCGAAGATCACAGAAAAGCCGCCTCTCAGGATTCTGTAGCAAATGATCCCGAGGTCGAGAGCCTAACAACCAAATTGAGCACTGCGGAGAGCGAGATCAAGGAGAAAACGGTAAGCCATGCTCAAAAGATGTAAAGATGTAGACGTGTATCTGTCACTGAGATACAGTTTTGTTAGCTCAGAGCTGAATTAGATCGCAAAGCATTCACAAGACTGCAGGCCGAAAGTAAGGTGAGCGAACACTTTGTTCGTGGTCCTCAGTTAGTTGAAGTTCTCTACTAGGGACAAATTTCCCGATTCACCCAACAAATCCAAGATCTGGAAGCCAGCATTGTTACTAAAGACACGCACTCGCAAGAACTCGAAACTGCTATCCAAGTGTTGGAAACAGGCAAGGCAAGGCTCGAGGAAGCTGTGGCAATGGTGGAAAAGGTAAGGTTCTCCTAGTTCTCGTGTCACATATAGTTGGATTTAACTCAATGATGCTAAAGAAACTTGGAGACCAACACAGCGTAAGTCAAAGCTCTCTCTCGACGTCCATTCACTTTCACCTTTACATGCAGGCGGAAACTGCGGAAATTCTCGGCCTGAAACAAAAAGTTCATGACCTAGATGCTAGTATTGTTTCCAAGGATTCGCACTCACACAACCTTGAATCTGCCATTCAAGCTTTAGAGGCAGAAAAGGCCAACCTCAAAGCCACTGTGGAGGCAGCTCAGAAGGTACGACTACCTTCTTAAATATAAACTGAACAGTATAAATGAGTATTCAAGGAATTTGAAGAGAGAATTGCTGACAAGGACTCGCATGCACATGCGCTCAGTAATACGATTCAAATTCTGGAGACGGAAAAGAGGAAGCTGGAGCAAAATGCAGCTTTGGAAAAGGTTTGTTCTTGTAAGGCAAATGTGAGAGGCATTTTGAACTGACATATGAACATATGAACCGTCAGCCTCAGATCGAAGCTGACCGCGCAGCTTTGAAGAAATTGAGGGAAAGCACTGAAGTGAGTCCGGATTCCAATAGCAATACCCCTTTATGAATGCTCACGTTTTGCGTGCTAGGCTGGGACGGCACAATTACCTCGGCTTGAGCAAAGGATTAATGAGTTGCAAAACGATCTAGCTACCAAGGATACGTTTATAGATCTGCTCAAGACAAATATCGATAAACTCAAGACAGAGAAGAGCCAACTTGAAGCGACTGCGGTGGCGAATAAGGTCTGTTTTCACCGCGAATAACACAACAAATGATGCTATGTCCTTCTAGCCACAAATTGAAGCTGACCGTGCTGTCTTGGGGATACTCAGAGACGAAATAAAAGTAGGTCAAATATCTACTACTCGTATTACATTCATTCAGGCTCTCTGTGTCAGGTCAGGAAGACACGAGCTGGTCAACTCGAAGACAAAATCAAAGGCTTAGAAGCAAGCATGTCTTCGAAAGACTCGCACGCGGAAACGTTGAACTCTACCATCCAAGGGCTGGAGACAGAGAAACGACGGCTTGAAGCAACTGCTGCTGCCGACAAGGTAAGCACATTCGCATTTCTCGATGAAAACAAAGTGTTTCATGTTGCTTTGCCAGCCACAAGTTGAAGCTGATCGTGTTGCTCTTGGGAAACTCAGAGACGAAACGAAGGTAAGTTTAGTGTATGCTCCTCCCAAAAACTCATTTCGCAAGACTTCTGTGTCAGGCTGGGCAGACACGGGTTCGTGAACTCGAGGATAAAATCAAGGATTTCGAGGCAGTTATCTCTTCGAAGGATTCACACGCGCAGGCATTGAACTCTACCATTCAAGGGTTGGAGACAGAGAAACGACGGCTCGAAGCAACTGCCGCAGCTAACAAGGTAAACCGGATCTGCATTATTGTTGAAAAACATAATGGTTCATGTATCCCTGCCAGCCACATATTGAAGCTAATCGGGCTGCTCTGGAGAAATTCAGAAATGAAACAAAGGTGAGATCATGTGTACTCCTTATATATCATTTATGAAGGTTTCCGTCTCAGGCTGGGAAGACACTGGCTCGTCAACTAGAGGACAAAATCAAAGCACTAGAAACATGTATTTCTTCGAAGGACTCACACACGCAGACATTGAACTCTACCATCCAAGGGTTAGAGACAGAGAAACGACAGCTTGAGGCGATTGTCACAACTAACAAGGTAAAGTGTATCTACATTCCCAATGAAACCCAACGGTGATTCATGTATTCATCTGCTAGTCACATATTGAAGCTAATCGCACTGCGCTGGATAAAATTAGAACTGAAACAAAGGTGAGTTCATGTGTATTCTTATCTCTCATTACTCAGGTTTCTGTATCAGGCTGGGAAGACACGGGCTCGGGAACTCGAGGACAAGATCAAGGATCTCGAAACCAGTCTTTCCATAAAAGATTCACACATACATACATTAAACTCTACAATACAAGGGCTGGAGACAGAGAAACGACAACTTGAAGCAATCGCCGCAGCCGAAAAGGTGGAGTTTCACGCCAAAGTGTATCTTACGAGGTTTGAATTCACGATGCTGTCAGCCCCAGATTGATGCAGATCGTGCTGCACTGAAGAAGCTCCGGGATGAAAACAACGGATCGTACACACAAGCACTCAACTCCAAAATTCAGACACTTGAGGCAGACAAACGGAAACTGGAAGAAATTGCGGTGGCAGAAAGAGTAAGTTCTTTCCATGTACGTGCGATAGACGGGAAAGATTGAAACTCTCATTCTGTCAGCCCCAGATTGAAGCAGACCAAGCTACCCTCCGTAACCTCCATAGGGAAATCGAAGTAAGCGGAATACGGTATTGAGGTTTTCTGATAATTGCTGAGATTTCTCTAGGCCAGTACCGCCCAGATTCGTGCTCTCGAGCAAAAGATCAAGGATCTGATGACCGTAAGATCACTGGCATTTTTATTGGAAAGTCCGTTCACAGTTCACTCGTTTATCATATTCAGCGTCCCGACGAAAGTGAAATAGAGAAAATATCAGCAGATAATGCCGCACTCAAAGTAGGTTCCTTTTCTTTTGAACCTTGTTATCAGCTCACTTGTTTATTAGTCCTCGGCCGCTCAAGACCGTGAACGTCTTCTCAGCTATCAGACAAACCACGTCACAAAGGTACTCAGATGGACCTCCTTCTTCTAAGAAGACAATACTTATGTTTGCTTCAGGCCCGCTTCGATGCCTTGGAAACGGATTACTATCAGCTCCAGGTATGAGATTTAGTGACTCGCTCATTGAAGAACAGGCAGATTAACTTGAAACAGACAAAACTAAGTGAGAAAGTGCAGCAAATCGTTTCGATCAGACAGTCCTATGAAACCGAGGTAAACACCTGCATCTCTCTTCAAAATATGATCTAAAACTGTGTATCTAGCTAGAGACTGGACAATCTGTCAGAGCACAAGCACTGCAAACTTTACGAGGCTCACTTGCAGAATCACAAGCTCAGCTTGCAGAAGAAAAACTCGCAAACTCATCTATCCAAGCGCGTTTAGTGACCCTACAAAGCGAAATCGCAACCGTCACTCGTGAGAGGGATGAGCTCAACTCTCGAGTCCTCGCAGATGGAAGTTCCTCGAAGCTCCAAGATGACTTAGCCAAGTTACGCGAGCAATATGAACAAGAAGCACTTTCCCATTCTCAAAAACAAGGACGTCTCGCAGCACTGGAGCAACTGGTAGAGGACCTCAAATGGGAAAGAGATTCCCTTAAGGTTCATACATTCTGTAGTTTTGACTTCTGTCATTTGTCCTGATCAACATGAATTAGGAATCCTCGGACAATGGGACTTTACTTACCCAAAATGAGAAACTTCGAGCGGAACGTGACAAATACAAAGTTAATACGCCTTTCCATAATATTTGACTCTATGGATTAACGTTTCAACAGGATGAGCTCAATACACAATTAGCAGGTCGCCAATTCTTATCCAGCCGCAAAAATCGCACATTATCTCGCGCCAATGTCAATGCTGAATTGCATCATGCAAAGAAACTGTTCCCATCTTTCAAGCTGGCAGATCCTGTGGGACAGGCCCACTCTTCCGATGCCAGCCGCTCTCAGTCGAGTCGCTCTACTGCATCAGCCAATGTTAATACAAATGAGTCAAACAGTGAAAAATCTCCACATGCGAGTACATCTCGTTCACCTTATAGAGCTCCCTGGCAAAAGGACAGATTCTCGCCATTTGTGAGTGAATCCAGTAGTTATGATAATATTGAGGCTCACTGCTGTTAATAGATCGTGGAATCTGGCCATGAATCTAGCGATACAGACAGCAATAATTCCGAGCAGGTAAATGGGTAATCCATGTATATCATCTAAATCTGAAATGGGTCCCAGCGAAAGTCCTCACGGAAGAAGAAAAAACGTCGGATAAGCACAAGCGATTCAGATATCTCGTCAAGATGTTCCTCATCCGACGAAGAGTCCGCTTCAGATGTGGATGCTGATGGCAATCCTGTCGAGAGCGGTGTGAGCCGCGTTGTCAAGGTCTATTCACAGAAAGGTGTGCGCAGCAACTGGTCACGATCGGCACAGAGAAATCAGGTGAATGTAAGCAACGACGATGATTACAATCCAAAGAGAATGTCCCTGAACACCTACTTTAGAAATTAGCAAGGCGTATCATGAGGGAAACATTGGGTGGTCGCAAAAATTACCAGCTTTTCATTCGCCCTAGCGTTTCAGACGCCCGGTTGGAGGAATTTAAGCAGAATCCTCAAGCTCATGGCCCAAAAATTCGCAATACGCTCCTAGACAAGCGCGGCCTGACTACCCAGCATCTTGTAGACCGGCCATGGAACCAGCAATTGACTTATATCATGGCTAAAAACGCAGAGGAAATAGTCAAAAGGTCCAAGGATAAGAGGTTTGGGGATCCAATTGACTGGCTTGCACTGTTCGGTGAACGAATCTATCGTGTTTGTCTCGATGTGATCAAGGGGAGGCCCATGACCATAAACAACTTGGGAACGAAAGAGAACTCTCAACAGATTCAAGACCGATTGGTCGATTCGCATCTCTCTCGAATCAAAAATAATGGAGAGATTAGCTCTCGGCATTCGGTATGGTTCTTCTGTATGTTCTACCATTCATTATGCTTATAAGTCCCAATGTTGTAGAAATTGCGAGTACGTTGTGAGATCTGCGTAATCATGGTGAATGAGTGTAGAAAAAGAAATGACCAAAATGGTGTAAAGTTCTTCTCATTTGCCTTGCGCGTATTTACGAAAATGGGGAGTGGGGGGATGTCAGAGGATGAAGATGGTGTGGACAAGGTAATTATTGATGACCGGGAATTGGAGGAGGCTGTGAAGCTCTCCATGTCTTTGCCATTTCGCCACTCCATCATAACGACAATCGTCACACTCATTGATAAAGTTCCTCGAGTCGAAAAGACGCAATTTGTTCAGAGTGGAAGGACTACCAAGCGTAGAATTCGAAATGACCCTAGGTGCAATATATCTAGCCGGAAACCGCCAAATGGATGGCCTGTGTCTTTTTTCGCAGATGGCTACCTCGATTCTTTGTCGGAGTTCCAGCGAGAGAAGTTGCGTGTGTCTAAAAAGCTATTCCCTCTCTATGATCTAGATAAGATACCCGAGCAGTACTCGTAAACTTTGTGCTCTAGATCTGTGTTGCAAGACGATGTTAACAATATACATTCTGGTCAGTGCCACTTTACAAGTTCAGGGCGCTTAGGGTTAATTGGTTTCGCGAGACGGGAAATACAAAAATTCGCAGGCGCGCTTTGTGAAAGTTATGTTAGGGGAAAGATAATCTTTATTTTAAGGGAAAGATAATCTTTATCTTAGGGGAAATCTAATCTTTATCTTAGGGGAAAGATAGTCTTTATCTTAAGGGAAAGACATCCTTTATCTTAGGGGAAAGATAATCTTTATCTTAAGGGAAAGACATCCTTTATCTTAAGATATATAGGACATAGATCAAACGGGAATCATACAAAATATCAGGCGTGAAATCTAATCAATTGTGCCGGGGAAAGATAATCAATTACTGAGGGGAATCCGGCTATTGGTCCTGAAATTTCCCGTTATATTTCTCGGCCGGGAAAAGTTGGTCCGTCACATGTGACACTTGCCCCACCATAATTTCCTGAGTTTTCTTCTTGCAGTACTCCACTTCACCGCAACATCCGATTTCCGACACCTTATGGATGGGTCGAAGACATCTTACCTCGTTCCGATGATCCTGACTTCGCTGACAAGACCGACGAGCGTTTACTCTGGCGAGGGACGAATACCGGTATTCATCATTCTCCACGGACCCGCTGGCAGAGCTCTCATAGGAACACCCTCGTGAGAACGGTCAACGAGGTTAATGGAACTCTTGATTTCCTCGTTCCACCTAATCTTGGATACGAAGATCGACCTGTCGATAACCCCAAGACGGCGCGGAGAGCACGATTGAATCCAGCGATGATGGATGCGGCATTCGTTCGAGAACCATCGCAGTGTGACGAGCCAACTTGTAGCCAAATGAAGCAGGTATACGAGTACAAAAACATGCAAAGTATGAAAGCTGCAGGCAATTACAAGTATGTTCTCGATGTGAGTGGCTTTCCCCTTTCTCGGACCACCCGACTCAATGAAAGAGTTTCCAGATGGATGGCAACGGTTGGTCTGGTCGTTTCAAGCGTCTAATGACCTCAAACTCCTTGGTTTTCAAGACCACTATATACCCCGAGTGGTGATTCTGCTCCCTCTTCTACCATTGCGCTACAACTGACAGTTGATAGGTTTGTAGACTGTGTAAAACCATGGGTGCATTATATTCCGGTGCAGGTGGATCTATCGGACCTCTATGACTAGTTGATATTTTTTCGCGGGGACTCTAATGGTGAAGGTGCTCATGAAGAGCTCGCACGGCAGATCGCATTGCAAGGTCGGGAATGGAGCAAAACGTACTGGCGCCGAGAGGATATCATTGCATATTCCTACAGGTGCGTTCTGTCTATGCACGAATGAATAACTTTCATTTGACACCTTTGTCTGCCGCAGAATGTTTTTAGAGTATGCTCGGATCATGAGCCTCGATCGAGAGGCAATGGCCTACCAGGGCGAAGTCGAAATACACTTTAATCGATGGAAAAAAGACGATGCTATCATGCAGGACTCACTTTTGCAATGAGAATCTCCATGGAGCTCCGATTAATTAGTCAATTGCGCAACATGCAACCTCCGCCCCCAGAACTCGCTCACATATATATATAGTATACATGCATGCTTTGCAAAGATATTTAATTACGCGATGAAGGATCGATGCTCTGAAGGCCGACCATGAGCAGCCTAAGCGTAAGTTAAATAGGATACTGTGCGACAAACATAAGGAGGGCCGAGAGCGAGCGGTAGACACAACAACATGCAGTACAAAGGACTGAAAAAGACGAATGAACGTAGATGAACATGCGAAGGGTGAAGAAAAAACCAGAGAAAACCAGCAGTAAGTATGAAAAGATGAACAAAAAATGTATCAAAGGCGAAAGCGACTACGAATATATCAAAATACAACCATGTTTGGCGAAAAGAGGGTATTATATTTGAGAAGTGAAGATGATAGATACTCTGAAGTCAAGGTATAAGGCAGCCAGAGTAGAACTAAAGAGTGATCTAGGGTATTGAAGTATGCAAGGCGATGATAGAAGATGCAGACTAACGAAAAAAAAGAATGCTGTTCAGGTTATCAATCAAAGTCCCTGGATTTGAACGATGAGGAACTGCTTCTCATCACTGAATTGCTCGTCTTCGGGGACAAAGAGAACGAGTTGAGACGAAAGCCAATCGTAGATTGTAGATAAACTTGCCTTCTTTGTCATTGTGGAAATTCTTTAAAAACACAAGCAGTTTATCTTTATTTCGTCTCAGGATATTTTCGATCTGTACAGGTTTTTTGGGATTTGCAACAAAGACCTAGGGGGGTAAATCACTGAGTAGGTACCAAGTGAAGACTGTAGATCAAGTCTCGAACGTACCTTGAACACATGAAAAGCTTCGAACTGAATATTTTTACTCTTGTCCCGCAGGAGATTCATCATCATCTTCAGATTGGCTTCGTTCGAAATGTAACGTGTCATGACATTAAAGTTTGCCCGATCAAGTAATATCTCGCCCAACAGTTTGAGGGATTGGCGTTTGGTGACGTAGTTCTCCGAAAGTATCAGAGTGGTATACGACGAGAAGAACTTTTGCAGGATATCAGGCGACCTTCAACATAACATATAGCATAGACATACCCGGTCGTAATTCTTATCTAGGTAGTCAGCGACCATGGGCTTATGCCGTGTTAAAGTCTCTTTGAGGTTCACAAAAGCGTCACAAGATATTCCGAACGTCGTCGTTTCGATGTAATGAGGGAAATTGTAAAATCTGTTCGCACAAAGGCAATGCCCCTAAGTTTCGGCACATAATGTAGAAATCGATACTCACTTGTCGGAATGCAAAAGGGTCTTCGCCAGCTGCTCATGCCTCAACATCTCCTTCAGAATCATGCCTGTATTTAATGCAATCTCTTCGTTCTCGTAACCAGCTAAGGTGGAAAAGATAACCTCAGGCTTTCCTGATAGATACTCGACTGTGGGCCATCTAGTCCCAATCTGCCTTCGCAGAAGGTTGTTGAAGATTTGCACAACGTCTTTGCGCGACTCGAACTCGAATCGGGCGATATTTTGGACCAGGTAATGTAACAGATCAGTGTTGTAAGTTTCCTGTGCCAGCTGGGCTACTACCTCGGGGAGAGGATCTGAGTGCAGTAAATCGAGGACCGTAAGCTTGGTTCGTTGCGGCCGATAGAAGCTCACCGCCGTCGCCATAAAGTAAAGCCTTGATCTGCTGTAAATTCTTCGAACATTCCTCATTCGCCTAGATTGAACCGACGATTGAATAATCAAGTCATATGGCGAAACGAATGAGAATGAAAGAGACAGACGCACCCTTCTTCGAGTCTCCGACCCAGGTGCGCCTGATTCCAGTCGTGGTATTGCATCGCGGATACCTCTTACGAGGTCTGGAGGTGTACGCTGTTTTGTTTTGAAGAAGTTCATAGCGGGATGAGGGGAGGAGAGTCGAAAGCCCTAGAGTGGATTCTAGAGCAGGTGGGGGACCGCTAGAAGGTGCTGAATGGAGCGGGACGAACGTCGAACCCTGAAGATGATTGTAAAGCAGCAAACCTCGTAATGCCGTTTTCAGTAATCAACTGCCGGGTCGTTGGAGCCGTGCCGGGTGGGCGCCTTTCTTCGTCATCCAGTCTTTACTCACAACTGCAAGGCTCCCGAAGATCCTTTCTTCGCCAAAGATATTGAACTTTTGTATTCTTTCGAAAGAACCGACCCCGCGGAAGATTCGCTAAAATGACAGATCTTTATATGAAGATGTAGATAATTGTGCTACAACGAACAAATTTTCATCGTCCTATAGCCAGATAAAGGTGGTTCTCGTGGGTATGTCCAGATTCCTCGCCACCTCTGTTAAATTCCTTCCCCCATCTACTCTCTGATACACCACCGCTCCCGCTGATCCAGCGACACCGGCTGCTATGAGGAATTCATCCCCTCCATTACGCTCTAGTCCAATTTCCATCCCTCGAATTTGATCCAGCCCAGTGAAGACCTCCGTGATAAGTTTTAGCCCCTCATCAGGCTTCCCGGGGTTAACATGCTCGAAAATGGCTATGGCGTCCCCGCGTGGGTCTTGCACGCCCGTGTTCCGATTCGAAACATAAATATACGGAGTCGGGAATTTCAAAGTTGGATTGGGAATGAGTATCTCCGCCGCTGCCATCGCGGCCCCTGCAGGTAAGCCGGAAGGAGTAATCAGTTTGCTATCGATGATGTCCGAAGTCCCATTGGGCGGAGCAGGTATTGGCTGAACGGTCAAAGTAGAAGCGAGTTCGTGGATGACGAAAATTCGATCCCCTAAGTTTAGATTTGGTCAGTCGATGTGATATTTTCAGTCAAACACCGAGATAATACCGAAAATCTTCATGTGTCGAGGACCGCTCCCTAAAGGTTGAGGAATAAGCCCGGTGATATTCCAGTCCCCTGGATGAGCTGGACCGTCATCTCGAGTAATTCTCCAGAGCTTGTCGCCTCCCTTCAATATTAATAGGTTTTGATCAGACTGACAGTACCAGAAATGGGAGTACGACCTCACCAGATCGGGTACAATGACTTCTCCCTCGTACTCGTACGCCATGTGCGGATGAGACACACCACCCACAGGCGGCGGAAAGGTGATAATAGGCGCGGAGTCGTTGTCAAACTTCAAAGACGTGGAGTCCGTAGGGAATATCCGTCCATTTCCAGAGTCATAATTCATGATGGCGACTTGACCAGTAGACAAAGCTACTGTGAACGCCGGATCACTTCCGCCTGAGGGAACAGTATCATGTGGACCTGAGACAACTCCATCCGAAGTTGTAGTATAAGATTGAAGCGCGCCCATGGGCGAAAGCTCGTTAGTAGCGCTGTAGGGAATGAATCGAGAGTTTGAGCAGATAGACCATGATTTCTGCAAGGAAACGCAACAACGCACTAGAAAATGCTAGAGTTGGTCGGATGGGGTGTGATCCACGAAGTATTGGTGCCAGCGGGGAATTTTGCAGAGACATCAAGAGTCCCAGCAGAGGAATCGAATAAGTACGTGGCAATAAAAGTGTTGTAGCCACCTGCGAGGATGGAGAATTTGACCATTATGAGCTGCGCGAAGAAATACACCCAAGGGTTGCATGATCAATTTATACTCCATGAGAGAAGCATGAGAGTTTTCGAGAAGAGCCTTTCGGAAATCGTCACCTTACGGGAAGCTTCTTTCGGTATCAATGCAGTAATCACTAACATTGGGGATGACATGTAGCATACGGACTGCGAATCACGAGTAGGTCGCTCATCGCATCATTGCGTTACCATTAATAGTTAATTGTACACAAGTCGATGATGATTATTGTGTTTTAGGTGCTAATTTGAGTGCATGTATAAGTTTGAAGTCCTCGATGAATTTCCGAAGATGAAGTTCGGTAGAAAGGGGGTTGAGTATAATCATACTGAGAAAGGTATAAGGACCAGTATCATTTTCATTTTATATCACACAACGTACTTTCCCAATGTACATCTTCCTCATCTTCCTCATTCATCCTCCTCATCATCGTCATCACTCAACACACTCGACTCAAATTCTTCCTTCGGCAAAAATGACCATTCGACCGTGGATAGCATCGGAGGTTTGACGGCGTCGTTTTGTTTCTTCGCCACCCACTCACGTTTGAATGTCTCGTCTTCATACATGATCTACAAGAAAACGATAAATGGAAAACTATATGCATGAACGAATGAATCTGACCTCCATACACCTGTCACACTCTCCAGACCAAAAATTCGGATTTTGTCCTTTCTCACTCCCGAGTGTGGTCTTGCCAGATTCCAGGACCCCGACCATTATGTGTATAGTTTCAAGATATTCGAGAGAAGAAAATGCCAGAGCGTAATGAACCTAGTAAAGCATGATAATCTAGATTACTAGTTCGAGGTTTTAAAAGTTTACTGACCGGTAAACCCATTCCATCTTCATATCGAATCGATTTTGGGACCGGTGGGCGAAATTCTGGTATACAACATGTATGACAAAGCCCACACCAAGTCCTTGCTTGTCGTAGCCTTAGAACCTTCAGTTTGGGGAATATTCGGGATATGCATTGTGCAACAAGAGGGGACGGCCAGTAAAGATTCCGAATTTCGACCTCGATATCGTTTGATATTACCAAGCCGCTCGGGAATTTGGGTGGAACGATGTCGGTCTTTGAGCAATCTATTCGTATTTTCTTCAAGCGCGTAAACCCCTCGAAATTCCAGGACCTTGAATCTTCAGTCCATTGCATGAAATGGATTTCCCTGCAGACAAATCAGCGAAGAAAGCACTATGAGGTAGTATGTACTCACCGAGTCCATGTCTTAATTTCTGGAAATGGCATAAATTCATCAAGCAAATCCTCATCGCGTCTTACGCAGAGAATAGCAAACCAGGCTTCAAGCGCTAACGTTCTCAAAATCTTAGACGCCAGAGAAAGAGATGAAAACAGCTGCCAGGAGGGTTTTGAGGATCCAACATGCTTGGTATCAACAAGAGTAATATTCTGGAAGATGTGGAAACTGATTATTTCTCTCAATAATTCTGGGGGCAGAGAGCAGTTTGGTTCCATGATAGTAGAATAAGGAAGGAACGACAAGGCGCTTACCAATGGGCGCTTCTCTTTTCCCCAGGATCATTCAACTTATAAACCGGAAAAGAAGAAAGGAAAGTTATCACTAGGCCCCACTGTATGGACTGCACACCTTGCTTGAGCTTGAGATCAAAAATGCGGCGCGCATAGGGCGCGCCGCGAGGTGAGGTGTCCAATTAAAGCAAGATAATTGAAATGGTCTGGCTGATAACGCTGAAACCAAACATAGCAAAAATGTGCCTGCACATCAAGAGGTCAAATACTGAGTGGAATAGACCTCGCAAGCAAGGTGATTAGGCTTAGATAGATCCTGCCTGTCGCTGTGCCTGTCGGTTCTTTCAAGTTTCCGGCCAGTATATTGCTCGCTTTCTAATTCTTGCCACTTCCTCTAGGCCGCCATTGACCTACGTTCTGCAAATTTACATCGCAAACATATGCTATCAACCATTCTGCTCACCCCACTGCGTCCACGTAGTAAGTGTCCTTTGGGATCTCCTATGTACTTCCCTGTTGCTCCGCCCCCGATGAGATCTCACCCTCCATTTCTTACTGTCATCTTGATGCGTTGACTGTCATTGATAGGATATAGGGCTTGTTGGGATCAGATGGTCGAGGTGGGTATGCCAATAAATTACAGAAGTTTCGGACAATCGAATGGAACGGGACTGCCTATACATATCGGATGAATTTCGGGAATTTCGGTCGGTATGGCGGACTACTCATAGGGTGTCGGAGCAGATAGTAATCCGATGACCGGAATGGAACACTTCGTACGTATAGAGATATGAAGAGAGACGAGTCCGATCGACTGAAGATGGTGCATATGCATCACAGAGCGCGCCCTAGCCGAAGAAAATCCTGACGACTGCAACAAATCTTCTGTCCCCTGTCCTGACATAGAGCGGGGAGCCTCCGATAACGATATAACGATTCAACTTAATCGAGCTCCTTCAGTGCCAATGTCCCCCAACATGCCAGGTCCGGACAATGAAACGAATGAGCTCTCTTAGGCCCTCTTGTGTTTCAATAATTTCCTGACACGTCAGATTATTCGCGTTAGTCTCAGTCTGGAGGCGCACAATGCACATGCGTTAGTCTGCTCATGTATCATGGCCCATATGCATCATTTCTGTGACGGCTAGTTCAGTTGGGACGGGATACATTTGATATCGTATGCTTGGCTTATTGAAATGTCCAAAAACATACTTGCTTTAGAGATACGAACAGGATACGGCCTCATACGGCTCCAAGTGTTCTAAATATTGGCATCAAAATGAACCCGTTCGCGAGCTTGCTTGATTTTTTTCAGGTGTGTGATTTGTACTCCACTTGTCTTGTGCAATTACAATTCCTTATCTCGTCCAGGAACTACATTTTTTCTCTATGTAAGTACCCGCAACTTTATCCTCATCGGATCCATATAAATCCAAGACTCATCATTTTGCTTTTTCATATTCTCTTATCACTTAAGAATGCTTTCGAGATTCCTTTTCTTTCATTAACAACAGATAGTACCATGTGGAGCGGTTCCATTCTATGGTGCCTGCATCGACGTAAGGACTTGCTACCAGAGTACAAAATACGAGTAGTATCCCAAACGAACTGAGTCTTTGAGATTCCTCATCCTCCTATCCCCCCTCTCTCGTTGCTTAGTCCTATCCAAGAATGGCGAGCACTCAGCCTGTACCTGCTCGTCAGGACAGCTCGTTCACAGACGACATAGAGAAGAAGGACAACTCCTCGTCTAACGAGAAGCTTGGTTATGTGGATACCGTGGGTTATGATGACGACGACGCATCGGGGGAGTTGCGTTTGAAGCAGGCGGAGGAGCTCGAAGTATGCCATTCTCTCTTACTTCAACGAGAATCCCGCTCATCTTATTCCTAGGCTCGTTTGGCAGCTGGAACGGCTGACGACAGCGAGTACCTCGTCAAGGATGCGCATGACATTGCCATCAAGGTGTTGAGTACTCGGTATGCATTTATTTTTTCTACTGTTGCGATAAACCCGACCTTACCACCTGCTGTCAGGGATGACTACGAGCTTCCCGTTATCACTTTTCGTATGTTGTTTCTCGGTCTCGGCTTTTCCGCCTTCGGGTACTATGATCTCGCGAACCTCATATTTTGTCGTACGCTTAACATTCAATTAGATCTGTTCTGGCACAACTATACTACTTCAAGCCCCAGACCCTCCTAGTCTCTGAAAGTTTCCTGTTGATCGTGATATACTTTATTGGTAAACTATGGGAAAAGACCTTGCCTTCTCGTGGTCTCTTCCGGTTCATCAATCCTGGTCCATTTAACATCAAAGAGCACGGTACGCATTCTCGGTACACTGGTCGAAGAGCTAGATATTTACCCTATCATTGACAGGCGCCGCTCTGATAATGGCTTATACTGCTAGTGCTTCGGCCACCGCCATTCAGGTCATTTCGGTCCAAGATTTGTACTAGTGAGCATCGCTTCATCTATTGTATTGCGACCGGATACTAATGAGTTTTGATTATCAGCAACAACGAATTGAACCCTGGAATCGCCATCTTCACTCTTCTTGCATCTCAGCTCGTCGGATACGCTTTTGCCGGACTTCTTCAAGAAGCTCTTGTCTACCCCTCAATATGCTTTTGGCCCACGGTATGATGTTCTGTCGCTTTCAACGATAGCATTCGTCTGAGATTATATCATAAGGTAATCACACCTGCAAACATGTTCCAAGCGTCAGTTGTTGTGATTTGGATTTGTCTTTTTTAAGACATACTGACTGTGACTCCAGACTTCATTTTGACGGCGGATTGTCGAGTAAGAGGACCAAGATTTTCTGGGGTCTTTTTGCCTTTGTTTTCGTCTACGAGATCATTCCTCAGTGGATTTTCCCCCTACTTACGGGAGTGAGCATCTTCTGTTTGATCGACCATACCTCATCCGTTATGCGTAACGTCTTTGGAGGAGCTAGCAATAACGAGGGCATGGGGGTGTGTTATTTGTCATGTTCAATTTTTTGTTTGGCTGAAGGTTATGTTAAGCTTCTAGCAGTTTCATTTGATTGGAATCTTATCACCTCAGAGAATCTTTACACCCCATTGTGGACGCAACTCAATCAGGATATCGGCGTAGTACTTACCTACATTCTGATGTGTGCTGTGTACTACGGCAATATCTGGCAAGGGCTCAAAGTCAGTTTATATGTCTTGTCCTTGTCGTCTGGCTGAATTTTGATGATATTTTAGTTCCCCTTCATGTCTCAAGCTATTTTCGACAGCGACGGCAATCAATACAATCAGACTGCCATTCTGACGAACAACAAGTTTGACCCTGTGAAGTATGCTGAAATTGGAGTAAGTTACTAAAAGTGATTTCTTCCACTTATTCTCATAATTTGCAATAGCCCGCCTGGTTTTCGTCCACTAATGCACTGTACTTCATTACCGCAAATCTTGCCATGGGCGCCACTATCACGCACGTCGCTCTCTTCTACTGGGATGAGCTTTTGCCCTTCTTCCTTGCTTTAAACCCTTGGAACAAAACTGCTCACATCATCCATGACGAGCACTATCTTGTAATGAAACGTTATCAGAAAGTTCCTCGGTATTGGTATCTTTGTCTTTTAGCAATTGCGTATGGTATGGCTCAGGTAAAATTGTCCTTTCAAATCGAGACACCACGAGATTGACGTTTCTTTACAGGCCACAAATTACACTGGTCTGTCTTCTCGTTAAATGATAGAAACCACAATTGGGTCTAATTGCTCATTAACAAAGGCCATTCGAACTTTACTTGGTGGCAGCTCACTGTTGTAAGAGTCTTTGGTCGGGTACGACTGGATTGAGTATCTGAAGCTCAATTTTAGATCCTATTCATTTCCATGTTCTTCACTACAGCATATTCTACAACCTCTGCTATTCTCGGATACAAGGAATTCAGCACTCAGCTCGATGGTTTCTACTCTATGATCGGTTCTTATATGGCTCCCGGTGACCCCAGTACGCCCAGTCGTTTGAGTCGCTTCAAACTTCTATTGACAAGTATTATGTAGTTTCAAACATGTACGCCGCATTGTACGGGAGTCAGCCCACTGTCCAGGGTATCAAGCTGCTTGGTGACCTGAAACTTGGACAGTACCTTAAAATCCCTCCCAAAGTCAATTTCCTCGTTCAGATAATCGGTTGTGTCGTTGTAGGTCCTTACGCTCCAACTGTTTTTCATCTCAACTAACTTGCGGATAGGGCGCTCTCTTGAACTACGTTATGGAGCTCTCAATTGTGAAGAATCAGAGGGCGGCTTTGCTTACAATCGCCGGTACCCGTTTATGGTCGGGACAGAACGCCCAGAGCTTCAATTCAAACGCTATCTCATGGGGTGCCCTCGGACGTGAGATGTTCAGTCCGGGCAAAACCTACTACATGGTTCCCGTTTCTCTTGCTATCGGCGCGGTATTCCCTATCATTCAGTATGGTCTTTACCGCAAGTGGCCCCGCAGTGCCTTCCTTAAGAACTTCAACACGAGCGTCGTTCTACAATACTCGTGTTATCTATCTGGTATAAAATATTCGTGATGTTTGGGTACTTGAAAAAGCTTACACTGCCTTCCATAGTCGGGGTAAACACACAAGTAAACACTTCCATGCTGCTAGGTGTCATTTCCCAATGGTGGGTCCGTCAGAAATATCCTCGTGCTTTTACCAAATGTGAGTTCAAAGTTTTCTCTACGATTCAACGTTCCATTAAATTTTCTGCTTTTCCCCGTGTGTCATGCAGACAACTACATTGTCGCTGGTGGTACGTTACTATTTCCATCGTCTGGCGTATCTCCTCGCTCATTGTGGCTTCCATCTCCGCAGCTTTGGATGGAGGAACCCAGGTCATATCGTTCATCTTGAATTTGGCAATCTTCGGTGCTGCGGGCCCTGCTGTCCCGTTCCCTAACTGGTGGGGCAATGACCTCAAGTACTCTGCTGATAGGTGTATGGCGCCTGCTTCATAGATGAATGTGCCTTCTCTCTGCTTCGGGTTTCTGTGTTTGGGTTGAATTACATTAACATTAGACACTGCGTCGTCAGTGTAGAAATCACTTAGGCGAGGTCCATTGTCTTCCCAAATTTGGTCTATTACTCTAATGTATTAGTTGTGCACGTTCTATAATGTATATACGTAAATATATCGCGTTTCAAACATGTATCTTGAAGTACTGTGCTCCCTGGTACGGGGTATGTTCCACCAGTCTATGGGTGATCATGAGTGCCCAGTCATGTGTCATGAGTTTCCTCCAGTGCACCACTCTACCAGATCCGAAACTACGTTCCTGATAATGACATGAAAAACCCATGAGACTCTGAAGATGCGGTCAACATATCTGGCATAAATCCTAAGCAGGTAGATCCCCAGATTTAAACACCGGTCGAAGCGACCACTAGGAAAACGGAAGTATGAGGATCCTTACTAATTGGCAGTATTGGTCCAACTCGAGGGCACAAATCACTTCCGCCCACACTTTCCCATTGCTTCTGCCCTGCTTTTCTTGGGGAAAGACGCCCCTCGCCACGCTCGAAGCCCACAGCAACAAATCTAAACATATACCTTCATAGAACGTCCAACAGGCGCACTATCTGGTTCCGAAGTACCCCGCAGCAAATGTAATCGAGTCAGTTGACATCCTCTTGGTGTCTCTACACCACCGCGAAGGTCCTACCATAGCCTAACCATCCGAGGTCTCCTTCCAATGTCACCGGCTCAACCGTCTGTTTCGATTCGGCTATTATGTAGTTTCCCACACCGGTTTCCGCTAATCCGAGCTCGTCACTTCGATTAACGCAGGCAATGAATTTCGAAAAGGCAAACATAGTACAAAGCTCGGTGCCAAGCATCCGTGACACTAGCACGTGTCCTTGAATACATATTTTAAAAGTAGGATACTGTAAGATGTGGATTCTAGCACTTCACCTGAAGTCAAAAAATGTTCATGTACATGTATGGGGTCGTCTTGGGTAAGTAGTTGAATCGAAGACAAAGATTGATTTTCAATGCCCTTGGCACTATCCACGGCTCGGTCTTGACCTGATACCTATCATTCTGTATCCTAGCCTGCCTCATACTCTCACAAATTCAGAGCCCGGGTCCAAATCTCAGCTTCGGGGCTTGGTTCTCAACTTCCTCCTGAGATCCGTCGCTATTTGCGGAATGAATGTCTTCCGCGAGATACTTGTATGCGGGGAGAACTGGAGCAAGGGATATTTCCCCAACTCCCCCAATGGCGGCATATACTGTGTTGTATCCATACGCTCGACCTAAGTTCGCTATTGCTTCCTTATCCCTCGGCACTAACGCCCATCATGACCTTCCTACCAAAATTCGGGTGGCATCAAACTTGGGCTACGATGGCATTGAGATCTTCATACCAGACTTCGAAGGTTTCGTCAATCAAGTTAGAGAGGGAAAGCATACCGAACTCTTTACCGAGCCTATACCAACCTCTTCTTCCACTGAGCTAGATCTTGCGTGCGCAGCGGCGGTTTACAACCTCTGCAACTCTTTTGGCCTAGAAATTCCTTTATACCAACCCTTGAGGAACTTTGAAAATTTCCGCTCCCAAGGACACATCGATACCAGCCTTGCAGAGGCGGAGCGATGGCTTAGGATCATGCCCGCGATGAAGTGTGACTTGCTTCTGGTATGCTCCAATTACATACCTCCACCGTCTCCCATAGGTGAAAAGTATACGATGGATATGTACATCGACGCCCAGGTTGATGCGTTTCGCCAGCTTGGTGCATTAGCAGAGAAGTACGGCGTACGCATTGGCTACGAGCCACTGAGCTGGGGAACGGTTATCGACAACTGGATGCAAGTTTGGGAGATAGTGGAACGCGTTGACCTGGAGAACGTCGGTGTTCTTCTTGATTCGTTCAATACACTGTATGTAGGCCTCTGATATTCCAAACTTTTTGTCCGTTCAATTTTTTCTTCAGTGGAAACCAATATGCTGATCCAGGCCAAGCATCTACGATATGCAAGGGCCAGACACTTGCAGCTATGCTCTTCAATCTCGAAGAATTAGCAATATCGATCCCGGTAGAAAAAATATTTTTCTACCAGGTCGCTGACGCGGTCCGTCCAGCAGAGATATGCTACGATGACGATGATACGCCTCGACGTATGAAATGGAGCCGCGCATGTAGGGTGTTTCCATGCGAACCTCAAACTCCATGTCCCATGGAAGATACTACCTCTGACCCCGAGAACCCACCTTCAGGGTACTTGGGATTTTTACCAGTAACACAGATGACTTCTCTGTTACATCGAATGGGATATCGAGGCTGGTGGTCGCTGGAAGTCTTCAACACTTCATTACAAGAGAGCGACAATGGATGCCCAGAGCGCCACGGTAGTCGTGGAATAAACGGTTTAAACATCCTCTGGGACGTTGTGCAAACTGACATGCAGTCTCGGAGTTTGGACATCGAATTGGAGACGTTTTTCGACAGAAAAAGAGCCACCTCTAGTCCTACGTTGTCGACCCCACCACTTTCTACTGGCAGTGATGCGAGTGACTCGTTTACACCGTCGAGTGACAACGAGTTTGAGCTCGACTTGCCAGAAGCACTCCACAGAATCGGCGGCTGCGGAAGACCAACCTTAGCCATTGATATTGAGGGACTGAAGACAAAGGACACCTAGTAGGGAATCAGTCAAGCCAAGTTAAACATTTATATCATCACTTACTACTCTGTACTAAATTACGACGATACGCATACCAGTTTCCACCAATGTCGAGAATCAGGATGTATACATAGGCCAGAAGCAACAGGTTCGGTAAGACTGGTTGCAGGAGCAATCCAACATGATCAGATACAAAGTTTCCGAGTCAACAAGCGGGCTATAACACGCGAATTTGAGTTTCATAATTACATGATCGTACAGTTTCGGTGTTTAAGGTCTAAACACCAGCACCAGCACCTCTCCACCATTTGACCACCCCATCCTCACCACCGGATACAAAGGCACCTACCGAGCCGACGGCGGGAGCTCGTGGGCGCCATGATACTGACCAAACTTCACCGGTGTCTTGCACTGTTGACACTGCTGCACGAGCAGCAATATCCCACACTTTGATCGATTTATCGGCAGATCTGGGTAATATCAGAGGAATTTACGTTGAGAGGAAAAGGAGTAAAAGGAGGATGAAGAAAGGAAGCACAAAACGGAAAAAGATGTCAAATTATTGTTGATTACCTCAAAAACTAGAATGTCTACTCACCCAGACAGGCCGAACCGACTATCCGGAGAGATATCTGCGCATAGTACCCAAGAAGAATGTCCGCTGAAAGTTGCGACAGCTCCTCCACTGTTTCCTGATGATACACGGACATCATACAATATTAGACGTTTGTCTTCGGATGCGCTCAGGAGAAGCTGTGTCATGAATAGTGAGTTCGTGGAGGTAGCCGTTCGGCGAGAGAATATCGACATACGTTGCCATCGGGAGACCAGGCTACAGAGCGCACAGACATTGCGTGAGAGGTATATGTGTTTGCGAAGGTATTCGATTCGACGTCGAGGATGAACACATGTCCAATCTCCGAGGACAGTGCGACGCGTTTTCCGTCCGGGCTCTAGTAGACGTGAAGATCGCTCAGTAACTACAGAGCACGGATATAAACAAACTCGTACATATGAACAGCACATTCCAAACTTATTCCTTCCTGAAAAGACAGTCGAGACTTTTTTGCCAAAATTTTCGGGTTCCGCAGAACGTATAGTGATATTGCCATGTCCTCCTGCAGATGCATAAGTCGATCCGGAAGGACTTAGAGAGACAGACCAAGCTAGTAACACGGTATTCAGAGGTTTCAGTTGTAACCCAAGGAATCGACAAACTCACCAGCCTCTGCATTTCCCGCCCCTTCTTCCCTCATGAAGCTCTCAAAAGTACCTTCCCTCTTCCCAGTTTCGAGATTCCACATAGACGTCAGACCTTCTAGACTGTTGTACAACGCGCGACGGCCATCTGGGGATACTGAGAGCGATACCAAGCCGAGAGTATGAGGAGAAGGAACTTGATAATCTGTTGATGAATTTGGAGGTCGATATGGCTCTCCTGAAGATGAAGCCCACTGTTTGATAGATCCATCGGCTGATATGGATACTACATTGTCATTTTTCGTCCAAGAAACGCCCCAGACGGCATCGGTATGCGCTACAGATTGGTATTTAGTTTAGATCGAAGTTGAACTGAACGGAAAATTCGCCTTCGGAACAGTCGTGAGCATGCAAGAACGCGAGGCTCTACAATCCAGTGTAAGGAGGTTGTGATTCTTTTACAAGAAAAAGCCAGAATTTTACCCACCATGATGGCAATAGAAAGCCTAGAAAAGAAACGCGTCAAGTGTGTATCGCGTTCTGCGATTGTTTCGGTCACAAGCTCAAGTTTTCTGCTTTTACGTGCTGATTACGCAGTACAGAACTCAAGATCCTAGTTAGTACTGTACTAGTGTGGGTATAATATGGTATTAATGCATGTAGCAATGAAGTGCTAAACTCGTCGAGGTCGAAGATACAGCAAACAACCTGGAAATATCAAGCATCCTTGGAGAAAAGGTGTACGTCCTCTCGTCAACCATACGTCGCACAGATGGTCCAGGACAAAGTAGCTGAGGGCTTTCCCAGGTTTGTCGGTCCTTTCAACGCTTACGGATCCAGGAATTCCTTTGCACCTGGCGTTTTCAGAGGATGAAAGCAGATCTACAATTCCCGTCTGCAAAAGAACGAGCAATACTTTTTGGCCCGGAGAACAACCGTCAAGAAACCCACGTCCCGCGTCGAAAACCTCTGCGGTTCCTCCTAGAAGCTCGACAGCCAAAATCAGTGCAAGTGATTTGCTCTTTGCGTATAGTAAGGTTGCATACTCAGGCCTCAGGACCGAGGACTCCGCTAAGAGTCGTGGAGAGGCAAAGGATTCAGCCTGTAGAATTACGGGGATATTGACGGAACGGATTGACGTTCCATCTGTAAGACAGACTATGTCTGAGAAAGAATTGCCTTTCAACTATTACAACCGGCCCCCATTTTGAGAGGACGTCAACTGGAGGACGAAGGCTTCGAAAAGCTCCTGGTTCTAGTGCACATCGTGATTCGATTCTGGATACAAATCACGCCTAGCGGGTGTGTTCAGATGAGGACGGAGGTCTTCAATGGTAGTAAAAGTTTGAACGCACATAGAAAGTTCCAAAATATCACCCTAGTAGCTTCCAGCGCAGAAAGTCCGGATACTTGCCATACGCGACGACGCTATTTGATAGTGCACTTGTAGGCACTTGTCTGACTAGCAACTTGCGCTCTGATAACAAAGAGTCGCCGTTCTGGCAAACTGATCTGATTCTCGTGGGATCGAACTACCTACAGCCTTGGTGAACGTCGCTGGAAGCTCCCGGAGCATTGAGCGATTTGATTGGCGGTAGCGGATAGGGAAGTGGATCCCAGGTGGATCCCAGCGTCATCAGGGACAATAATTCCATGCAGTATACATACATATTCACCCGGATTCTTGAAAAACTTCGACAAGCTGTTCCGAACGTCCATCTTCGTTCGACGTATGACAAGTTGCTGACAGGTTGTTTTGTGAAGAGAAAAATTTTCCAAATTAGCGCCCGAGGGAATTACTCTACGATAAGCCGCTGAGGCAACAATATTTAGTCGCGCGTAAGTAGTCTAAGTGAACATTATATTGTTCATTGTCAAGCTCCTAGACTCGAACCAGTCACTGCGACGTTTGATGAAAATCGATCAAAGTGCCGCGAACGTCTCTTCAATCGACATTCATTGAACGAGACCGGGCCGAGCTAAGCCGAATGGTTCGAGTCTACAATTAGCTCCCTGGATAATCAAAGTGCAATTCTTGGATCCCTTGCCTTGGCCCTCTGAACAGCTCTGAACGTCCAGCATCATTTCAAGTCGTTCATGTTCGAGACGTTCGAAAATGAGACTGGCCTCGTTCAGGCAGGCCTTCTATTAAAGTCTCTCGTCAAGGACATGATCGTCGGGTCTGCACTGGCTGATACTTACTGACTGGGGGACAGACGTCACTTTGAAGCAGGGTCTCGCATTCCCGCCATTGTTGACAATGTCAAATTTCCTCGACGATTTGCTGTTCGTCTTCTGACACGACAATTCCTTGATGATATTGATTTAGATTCCTGGTATAATCCCCTTCCCGAATAAACGGATGTTCCAGCATTTCCCAATGAACTCGACCAGCGGCTTTCTGTGGTTTTCGCGACATGAGTCCGCGTAATTCCCTTAGCGCTGTTGGAATGGCATTATTGTTTTTTGCTGATGATCGTTCTTTGTAGTCGGGATATCTGGACGCGGTTCAACGAGCGAACGCAGAGCGAACGCATGTCGAGATTTGTTACAAATGTAGTGGTTGCATTACTATTAGTCATTGTCATGGTCCTCATTGTTCTGAGTACGAAACTACTGTGTATGACATGGACATGTTTGTTTCCTTTAGGCGTGTTAACGGACCGGGCTAAACTTTTTCGAAGGACCCCTCGGACAACCCCCCTGCCAACAACGTTTACTCCCTCTTCTTCGGCATTTCTAGAACTCGAGTTTGGAGCACCCCTCCTACACGCAGCACAGAAGGGTCTACTCCTCCTTAATTTCAAAATCATCATGCTGACGGATTCGTGCTCCCCTCCGAGCTGCCCTCACCTCCTGTAAAATGTGTGCATTCACGTTTCATCCAGGCCGCCCAATGCCGATTCTAATTAAGAGAAGCTCTTCCCCATTCACTTAATTCTTCCGGTTTCCACAGGGTTCCCATCCAGACTCATGTCATTTGCCACTGACACAGGAAATACAAGCCGATGTGCGGTAGGAATTGCCCTCTGATTACATGTAGCTTACCATTCGAGTTTTAAACGACTCACTTTCCAGAATTTTTAGTTGCAGTTCACAGCTCATTTGGACTCTGTACTCTGACCATGGACACACCTGGAGCGCACCAAACCTTGGTAAAATCTATGTAGAATATGACTAGCATAGTCTCCCTCCGAAACCAAGGACAACCACTCCTGGGATTTTCCACCGGCCAGAGGAATTTATCCGCAGGGTGATCATGCGGTGATCATTGACCTTTCTCTAAATTTTGGCTCTTCATTGCGGTCTATAATCACCTTTGTGGTTTTTTTTTGCCACAGCCTTAGTAACAACATGATCCTGACACGTCCTGGTCACACAACCCTATAAAACTGGGTCTCAATCTGGTCGAATAGCTATCTACCCAAGACCACATTGGAAGAAAAGTCCTGTTTCTGCCCAGCACTATGAAGTTGTCATCGGCGTTCCTTCTTTTTGCACTTTCCATCACCGCATGGGGTCAAGACACTTCGTCCTTCACGGAAGCTACACCCAGCTCTAGCTCTGCCTTGGTCACGACCGAATCAGCGTATGTACTCAAGGGTTTTTTTTTTGCGAAAATTATCGATTGAGGCTGATGGTATGTGTATGATAGATCTTCGAGTGTGCAAACCACCTCGTCCTTTTTCTCTGAAAGCACTAGTATCTCTAGCTTTCTCCCGACATCTTCCAGCGCGTCCTCGATCAACGGCAGCTCATCTTCTGCCATTCTGTCCACTACCGAGTCTGTGGTTAACGGTACCACATCTGCCACTGCTATTCTGAACAGCACTAGCACTGGTACCTTCGTATCCGCCACCAATACGCCGACCTCGGGCTTGAATGCGTCTTCGGCTGGGACCGGAAGTTCCGCTAACGAAACGGGTGCTACTTCTGCTGCTTCGACATCTGGTAACGGGGCGAACATGGCTCAGGCCCCGATGATGATGATTGTGGCCGTCGGTGGATTGATTGCTGCTGGGGTTGCCGGGATTAATTAGTGGGAATCTCACCTTTTCAGTGAGCCATGGGCGCGTATGGTGTATGTAGCAGATGTTTCTTCCTGGACTTTCAATAATATACATAATTGCCATGCTATTCAGTTATTAGGGTGAACCACTTAAGAATGAACATGCCCTCATATAACTCCTGTACCTCGGCAGCGGGTGGAACAGCCTCTGAAAAGTCATTAGTACTTCGCAAACCCGCGCACAAATCATCAAACCTTGGTTGGATCTTGACACGATATATTTTTCCGTTTGGCTACTTTAGCAACCATGTTGTTGGTGTGTATGTACAGTGGCATGTTGGCAACACTGTAATGTGAATTGCTAAGCTGATTACTGAAGGCGGAATCGACAACTTCACGATAAGCCTAGTCTGAGTCTCAGTAGATCCGCTATCAACAAAATCCATATCGATGGAGCAGACAGATATCAAACGGCACTGCAGAATGACATAGCCACCCAGCTGCCTCTACATACAATCACGACAAACATCGACTGGTCCGACACCCATCAAGATCGTATAAATTCACATGCAAATCTCCTCGGCCAAGAGATCACTTCAACTTCACTCTTCAGAGACTTGTGGCAGCGATGACGCCTACAGAAAGATGTCAACAAAATTGAAAAGAATGCAGCAGGTCACTTACCTTTTGAGCACCACCTTTCTTCTTCGGGTTCTTTTTCAACTGCGCTTGAGTCACCACTGAATTCTCCACCGTTAAAAGAGATGCTCCGGTGGAAGATCGTAAGTACCCGTCGATAATTCCATTTTCGTTTTGAACAATCTTCCCTTTTATGTGGCGAGTAACTGCGGATATACCGTCAACAGCGAAGAAGATGCCAGAGTCTGCGAGGGAGTGCGGATTCGCAGGATAGTTCTCCCAAGTTAATCCTGTCGGAACATAAACCGGCGTATATTGAAGTATTTTTCCATTTCCAAGTTTCAGTAACTTCAAAATGGACTCCTGAACCATTAGGTTCTGATCAGGATCATTGTTGTCTGCAATGCCTGGATTGAAGGAGATCACTGGCTTGTCGTCTCTGACGTTCAACGGGAACGCGGAAGGGTTCTGAAGATTTGCAAAAAAAATCCATAAGTCAGCATAAGTAGCATCAGCATTGAGTATGTACAGACAGCGAGAGGTACCGCTGATGTACAAACAGCGCACAAAAGGCCCACAATGAAGATCATGGAGGTTTTGGAGATGGAGCCAGAAGCTGCCAGAAGCGATTTTCGTGATGAAGAACATAGTATTAGAAGTAGGTTTGTGACGGATGGGGGCGATGTAGCGGGATGAGCAGAAAGTAGATGTATGTATGTGAGCTTTTTTTTGACCAGCAAAGACCGACCAGCGGTTGTAAATGGAAGCAGGGGAAGGGATGAACTAGGATGAAGGATTACGTTTTACAGACATGTTAAATTTTAAAAGTTTGATGAGTGCCTGGTCTGGGGTTAGGTTTCAGGTTGCTGACCGACTGAGCTAACGCACTCGAGTGCGTTAGGTTTTATAAGGTTTTATGCCAATATTCTGACGCCATTCACTACAGACTACAGTGCACTATGATCGTGTTTTTGTCATGGACTCGGGTAAGGTTGCGGAATATGGTATAGTGAATGCTACCACAAAGTGAATGTTAGAGCTAGATATTTACTATTACAGCCCAACTCAAAGTTTCAAACATGGGAAAACTATGTAGGCTACATTGTTAGACTCGACAGGTATAGTCGGCATTTGCGGAGCGCCCTGGGGACATTGTAATTCACTCTGTCATCTTGAAGAGGGGAAAGAATGGTTTCACGGACAAGAGGACTCGGAGAGGATGTCTTTCAGAATCTTCCCTTCTGAGGAAAACATTCCTGTGCTTAAGCTGAATTCGAAGCCAACGAATAAAAAATCCAGATAACAAAACTTATGTGGAACTCTTTAATACTTTACAGTACCTTCTGGATCTTTTTTTTCTTGATTCAGGCTATACATCACATCGTGAATTTATTCCGTAGACGGCTTGGAATAGTAGCCTGCCACTGCGTAGGTTTCCTGTTTTTTTTTGAGCATAGTAACATTGGATAATTACTAGTACGAGACTTTTGGCTCTGAGAATCATACAGTTCATTATCATTGCACCTCGACCACCAACACCGGCGGTACTGTGATAGCGTCTAATATCATGGCTCAAAACACATCCATTAAATTATTCACGAGGAGTACAAGGAAGAAGATTCTATAGAGGAGACAGAAACAATTTCTACCATCAACATCTGCTCCAATACGGTCCACAGCTGCATTCAACATCGGTATTCATCTCCATTTAGTTTCTTACTAAATTCTTTACCTTTGTCATTCAGCATTGTTATGCATGCTCAGATTTGCACTGTCGTACAGTCTCGTATAGTTAGTCGTTCATCGATAACCATGAGGCACTTACTCAACGGGTTCTTCCGAAGCCATGAGCGCTGAGAAGGCCGAGGGTTTTACTCCTCCGATTTAGTTTTGAAATGTTTTCTGGCTGCATCCGCTTTGTCATACGTTACACAGCACTCTCCGCATTGTAATTGCCAATACACCTGTTCATACTTTGCTCTTGGTGGCAAGACCATATTTGAGCAAGGGGTTTCGCAGAACAAAAAAAGACAGATATTAGTCGCTTTGACATCTGACATCCGAATCCGCGTGGAGCTCGGATAAGTATAGGCGCGTCGATGTAAGTACGGGCGCCTGATCACTGTAGTGATAGCAGGTATACTGTTTTGTAGCCATAGCAGAGCCATGATCAGCGGAGCTGAACAACAATTTGTGTTTCTTGTTGAAGCTTAAAATGATAGTCAACTGCGAAGTATAAAAAGGACAACATTACTAACCCTTTTGCACTTTTAACTTGAATACGCAGGGTCAAAAATCAGCATGGCTAGCAGAGAGGAACGAAATTACAGAAATACAGAGGCAGTTCTTGCTTCTCTTCCCAACATCGAGACTGCACGACTGGGACTTGTCTGCCTGGAGTTGAATAAGGCAAGTATCATGTAGAGGCTTTGAACCAGCTACAGGCATATGCTGACTAGAGGCCTCTCTGTTAATAGCAACTTGGGTTGTGCTATCCCAATGCTCCTTGGGCAGTTGACCCAGACAAGGGCGGTTTGTATTATCTGAATGTTGCAACTCTGCCACTCGACGCTGCTGTCAAAGTCCAATTTTTTTTGAGGGCTATCAGCAGCCCAACGAGGTGCTTGCGGTCCAACCAAATGGAGATTCTTGTACGATGCGATGAACGTGAACTCAACAAGTATGACCTTCCGTTTCTTTCGCATACGACGTTGATCAATTGCATTTCAAACGTCGATGCAGAATTTTGCGAAGTATCGTCACATTTCTAGAGAGAATTGGGACCAGGCATCTTGATGCAAAGATCGAGAGCCAGGCAAAAGAGTTGTGCAATCAGCTTGCACAACTGTTCAAGGTTGAGTTGAAGGTATGCGAGTAATGCTACAAGCATCTACAAACCGAGCTGACCCGCGTTTACCTAGAGCTTTTCAATCAATGATAATGCCTTGGAAATGTTCCGCTAGAACATTTGCAGACGAGCCCTACCATGAGCCCTTCGAGTTGCAATCGCTCGGGATTCCATATCTATGAGTACCTAGGAGTGCCTATCATTCCCTATCATTCTTTCGATCACCGTCTCCATCACTCACCGAAAAGCATCAAAGCTTGTATCATACTTTGTAATGTAGGCAAGCGAATGCAGGATGTCGATGATTGTTGAAAGCGCTAAGCCGCGACCACTTAACTTCGTTATTAGCGCCTTCCCACGCGCCTTGAAAGGAAATCTCAGACGGGTTAACTGTCGACCGATGTGAACTTTTCGCTTGCCTTCCAACGAGCAACATCGAGACTCTTTCGCTCAGGCGCCTCTCTACACTAATTTTGGCTTCGATTATTCAACAAAATTTGTATGGAAGGATCCTCGATAGGATAAAATCAAAAAGTGAGTAAATCGTGATATGCTGCTATCTCATGCATTACCATACATAGTAGCACCTACCTAGCAATTTTTGTTTTATTCAAACAGCTTCATGGCGCTTATTATCTTGAATCCACAGTTGATTTATGAATATAACCACACCGGATTCGTATCTGGATGACGCGAAGAACAAGAAACGAAGACCTGGACGCCCGAAAGGCACTGGAAAGAAAGTTAAGGAAAGAATAGTCTCTCATAAGAGGCCTGTGGGCCGACCTCGCAGGGATGGACTTCCTTCTGGGTCGGTGAGTATCCGGCCCAAACGAGTTGTCATCCAACTCGACGATGACTGGGGAAAATCTTTGCAAAACGAACCAGATTCATTCCTGTCCTCGCTCGTCGTCGCACTTTCCGTATTACCGCCTCCTGTATCGTCAGGTCCAACCGCAGAAGAAGCCTTTAAATCTCATCTCAATTCACTTGCTCCAACGTCGTCACATAATCAGCATCTGCCAACGCTTTATTCTATTCTCAAAACGTTTTGGCTGCCCACTTCGCCCGCGTATTTCTCGCTGACAGCATCAGCATCGGCACGAACCTTGTCTGACCATCGTTTCTTCTATTGGGATCCCCAACCACTTCTATTCAATGGGATATCATGTCCATCATGCTCCTCTTCGTTGCACAACGAGGGCCGAATTAAACGTGGTCCTTTGAAGATTTACGACGTAGAGCGACCTTTCTACATAATTGGCGCAGAGTATGTTTGTAAAAACGAAGGGAAGAGTTTTGCTTCAACTGATCCCTCTATCCTTCGTGCACTTCCGGCAAAACTCAGAGACGAGCTTCCTGTCAGACTTGTACACGTCAATGATGTTGGAAGCGACGAGAATATTTGGTGCTGGAAGCCTGCAGGCGTCAGCAAGACTTTATGGAATCTAGTATTAGGGTGTGTGAGGGGTGGATTAAAGAAAGATATGGTCATCAAACTTATCAGAGATGCTCAGAAGGGTATTCATCAGATGGTGGAGCCTTCGAAATCCTCCAATTCCAATGAGGGTTTCACGGATGCGTATAGTGATGCCTGGACTGCAAACATTGCCACTGCCGATGAAAACGATACTCAGCGGCCAGATCCGCCGACCGAGTCGTTCAGCTCATATATTCAAACGTCTACCGTATCTTACCCTTCCACATCCATTCGATTCAAGCCTTATGAGTACGGTCCAGTTGGTGGTACTACTCAAACCCTATCGTCTAATGGGTCAGAGAGTACCCTCTTGCATAATACTGCGCCTCCTGTTCAGAGTTTATCTCGATCTCACTCGGTTTCGAGTTCGATCGTTAGCAGCTCTGCGATAGCTGATCCTGGTCATAACGAACAGCTGCAAACCCCCGCGTTGTTGTCGTCGTCTAGGCCATCACCATTATCTACCACTATTTCTCCCGTTCCAACGCATTCTGCTGTTGATGTACCCCCTACGTCGTCCTCTTCGTCCTCGTCCCCTCCCTCCACGGTACCACGGCCCACTAACACCTATCCTCGTGTACAGCAGCCGCTTCTTTCGTCCTCGTCAAACTCTCTGAATACGTTCAGTAAACATGTCTTCGATTACCATCCCGCGCACTATGCCTTGCACGATCAACAGCAACAGGGGCAACAACAAATCCTGCATACGCAGCCCCAATCGCATTTGCATATTCATAATCCGTACCAACAGACCCATACAAATTTAGCTTCTGCCGCTCATGCACCCGGGCCTCGCAACGAGCCTATGACCGCGAGTTTGGCCAACACACCTCATATTCATCCCCGAAACGGGGTAGATGGACATCCTTCGATCACTGGCCCTTCCAGCTCGCCGCAATCCAACTTACCAGGTGTGCCGACCTTTCAGCATATCTCTGGTACCTCTTCTGGGCCGCCTCTCTCTTCCACCCCAACCCCCGTCTCAGCTACAACGACGTCCTCAGCGGATGGGACCCGTCAACCTCGCCAACGTAATCCCCGACATTGTTCAAAATGTGGCTCGACTACCTGCAAAGGTAAAGGCGGAAGGTCGTATTGTACTAATGCATGCAAGGATTGTGGGAGGTTTGAATGTCGCGGCAGGAATTCAAGAAGGCCAGAAAAGAACTGTGAGGATGGGTGGACCTAGTGAGATCATGAAGTAAATTTTGATTTGGATATTAAACCTAAGGTCTTTACGGTATTCACATACGCATTATACTTTATATAACTCTTTCTTCTAGTATGTAATATATCCATCGCACAATGCCTCTAGTACCAGTACTTTAATCAAAGATATGAGCAATCCTTTGACCCATTTTATCTTCAGCCAAATCGACGAACACGCCATGGTACTGTACAGCTGATTCCCAATCTAAGATTTATATGCTTTCAACATAGATTAGGGATAAGAAGTGTTCGTAAGTACATACCTGGTCCCCACTTGACAGTCCAAATCCAACGGCAGACTTCCCTCAACATCGCACGGTACATCATAATTGCCATCTGGCCCAAAAGCCACAAATGACCAGGTTCGACCATAAGCATATCTTCATGCCACGCTGATGTCGTCCCGACGATGTGAGCGCACCCATGTTGTAGAAAAGTCCGACAGTTGTTCGTTATACGATTGTATTCCCCGAAGCATGCGATAGCTTCATCAAATATGTGGACTATATCTTCATGACTGTTGTTGGTCCATCCGGATACAAAGAGGTGGTAGCGGGGTGAAGTATTAGCTCCGTCGATCTCATTATCGTGGCAGGGCCGATGTGAAAAATATGGTCTAAAACCGGTGGCACGATCCAGCCTCAGCTCATATTTGTTGGTCGACGTATAAAGAACGAAATGCCCACATAGTTTGAAGACTGGAATTGATACTAGGAGAGGCTCTCCGTACCTATATTGATAAGATATGAGATCGGTACATAGACAGGACCAACAGGACAGGAAGTCACCTCTCCGCGTTCTGGCGCATGATTGCTCGCTCATAATAGTTCCAACGACAGCGCATGTAAGTTGAATACTCGTGGTACCCCAGAAGCAGTATGGAAGAGATGAGCGATATAAGTTTGAACTTCAGTTGCTGTTCGCCCTTGGGGTGAAGCAGGATAGTGACTAGGATGATTATACTATTTCCCCAAGCCGTGAAGACCAGGATGTTGAACAAGATGCATGCAGTCCGACATAGCTTTGTGATATTGTCGACAGGTCTTTATGTTCGCCATTGATCTCAGCTGACATGACTCTAGAAACTTTTTTTAAAAGGTGGACGACTTACCGGAGGGGGGGAAATTGGTCCGAACGCGTCCAATAAACGAAACCAAGATATCCAGATACTGAAAAGATACTTCCGATGAACAGGGCATAGCCCCATAGGCCGACCCATTGACTCGCCAATGACGACCATTGATAGGCCCATGGTAAAGGCACTAGAAACATGAATGCGACTATACAGATACTTGGTGCATAGTTAATAAGTCGTCCACGAAAAGATTCTCGTGGATATTCCGGGGTCAAAGGATCCAAATGTTCCATCGATGGAGGAGGGGATGGTGAATAACGCCAATGATGAGCATGGCAGGGTGAACGTGTCGCAATTTAAATTAGCTCAGCATGTTTGTTCCTTCCTCGAGCTTACGTAACCTTCTCCGGACAGACATACAGTTAACAGCATCTAACGCGTCGAAACCTGCTTCTATATTTATATCCATCTCCTTCTTGGCTCTCTAACTGAACCTGGACCAAGCTGCACCAAAGATGCACGAGAAAATCCACAATCCCAACAACGATCCACCTTTCTCAGCTATTAGTAGCAGGAAAGATCAAAGGACTGTTGATTTCCCAAAGCAGCGGTTTCTACTTGGTCAAAGTATCCCAATGGATGAGACGACCAAAATCTACGATTTTCTCTGTCGCGAACTCTACGTTCCTAGGCTGAACGATATTCACAAACATCTCTGGATTGCAGGCTGGGGCGAGAGTATACACCCCTTACATTGGCATCTTATGGTTAAACGGAATATCGTCATTGCGGAAGATCCAGATATGCATCTCGTCTGCACAGACCGAGTTGTTTTCGTGAAACCTTTGCCCGTATGTTTACTAGATTATGACAACTACCTCCAGCACATCTCGAATCACGAATGCCTTTCTTTGGCTGCACGAGGCTTTCTTCGCTCTTATGCCCGGTTGGTCGTGCATGAAAGCGACTTTTTGCTCGCTCAGCAACACAATCTACTTCCCCGAGACATGGAATGGATTGAGTGGAGTATCCTTGCTAAGGAGCTGCTGGAGATATCCACTGCGAGCGTCAACAAGCGTTATAGATACGGAGAACTGCGATTATCGAGGCTCAACTTGATCTATCGTATTTGGCGTGGTCGATTGATGTACTTTCGGTTGCATCGAAGCTACACTGCATATTTTTCCGATCAGTACAAAAGCTCACTGTTGTTGTTCGCGTATACGACTGTGGTGCACACCGCGCTACAGACCATGCTCAATGTTGGGGGATCTTCGCTGAGTGTACAGCTGTTATATCAGTTGTCGTTCTGGTTCGGAGCACTGACGATTGGATCAGTGGTGGCTTCGGTGCTGTTTCTAGGTGTATATCTATTGGTGATCTTATTGTACAACCTGCAGGCTACTTTGAGGGAACCTAGGCAATTCAAGATAGATTGAGTGGCGAAATGCGCAAAAGCTTAGAGGGAAATCCAAGTTTTGAAATGTTCCGCTATTATGTCCATTGTGAATATACATGCAAAGAATCATCATCATGAAGTGTCGATCTAGCCCTTCCACCAGTTGTCCATCTCGTAGCTCCCATTGATACCCTATAACAGATTTAATCAGCTCCAAGTAGCTTATTCCTGATTGAAGAAACTGACCATTGTAATAAATCCAACCAGTCCCTGATTAATCACGCCTCCTAGCAAATGCATCTTGAAAATGGGGTTGTATTCACCCTCTGGACCGTGCGAGTCCTCGAAAATGTTTAACGAATCACGCCAATTACGCGTACGCCCGCGGATGTCACGAATAGGGTTTTCGACGTAAGGGTACATCTGTAAAGTGATCAATAGCTTTGATTCATGATAGTATTTAAAAAAGCCGGACCTTGTCGACTTGCATATTGAGGTCGTCCTCGAAGAAGAACTGGCCGACATGGGCAAGTTTTCCACCATCGAACGTACCGTTAGGATTCTCCGTCCAACTAGTGAAGACCTTGGCATGAACGTGAGTGGCACGGCCAGTGTAGTACCCAGGGAATATTGCTTCGGTACCAGTCATGAAGTTATCTGCATGCAAAGTCATACAATTACTTACTAGTAAACCGGGCGACACCATGAGAATCCGTCTGCCAAGCACCCCGTAGCCATTGTTCGTGGAAATTGGTACGGGGAAAGGCAGATAAAAGACCTGAACGTTTTCCTCCGACTTGTGGTTGTTCATTGACGAGATGCGGAGCAGGTTCAGGATGCCCTGCGTAGTGACCAGTTGCATTGGCTTGCCATATGTCAACGAGGACGTTGGGTAATGGCTTGCAGGTATTGACGTCGATGACACCAATGTCAAGGTAAGTAAGAAGACCGATCTGATACTCAGCGATGTTCTGACGGATAGGATGCCCGGAATTATGGTAATAAGGACCCTCGGTAACGATAGGTGCTGCAAGTTGATATTAGCAACGTGAAACTCAGATCAAAAGGGAGAAGGGAATGCTCACTTAAAACACAGCTATTGTTCTGCATTTCTGTTTCTTCTTCGATGACATCGCAAGCTAGTATTTCCTGCTTCCCTTGCGGAGTTGTTTGAGAGCCGGAAGGATAGGTCCCTGAATTGAAAAGGTCTTCGTTTGTGGGTAATGAAGGATTCCCAGCGCTCGGAATAGACGCAGGAGCAAAAGCTGCCTGGTTGAGCGGTAGACCAGACAGGACCTGTTGTTGCCATGCACGTTTACGAGCAGCTGTGAATTCTCCTACAGCGGGAGCGCACTATACAAAAGGTAAATCATGATGATAGATGTGACCTGTCAATACGACACACATAGTAAGCAGCTCTTTGTAACGCCCTCTGTGTCTCAATCTCTGCGTCGGTCTTGGGCTCCTGATGAGCTGATACACTGGCGACGCCAACCAGGCCAATAATCAGAGCCAGTGAATGGGTGCGAACCATGATGAAAATCTAAAAGCGGGTTGAGGAAAGTTAATTTGCCTTTGAGTGCTCTTTTATATGGGGGGACCATTGGAATCCGGAAGTGACGGTCAGCTGAGGGGAGGCCGATCGCGTCGTACAGAAGAAGCCATCAAAATTAAGTCTAGATCCGTAAACGGCAGGAAGAGCATCAGATGGCATTCCCCGGTCCCGCCTCAGAAAAAAAGAGTGTGTGTAAACCACCACGACAATTGCGACTCCAAGATCGCTTCACACAATATTCTGGAAAGTTCCAGGCTGTCTCTCTTCCACAAACACCTTGCCAGCGCCGATGGGTAGATAAGCACCAACTTGAATTAGGGTTTTGGAACTACTAGCTCACACGATGCACGCGTAATGATACCAGCTTGATACCAGTCTATCACAGGTGGGAACCAACGGATGGTACAGGAGACTACTGGGGGTGACAACACGATTTGAGCAGTATTTGAAGTCCCTGAGAAAGTCGGTATGTGTCCCCTTGTGGCCCTTGAGATTGACAAAATGTTTAAGATGGCAGGGACTACTTGCACAACTGCTATGGGAAGTAAAATTAAACTTGTAGAATCATCGCACTTGTAGTCTTTGGAAAATTGGTGTGTGTATCAATCTTCCATGTATAGTATTTCAGCCGCTTATGTCTAGATGTTATCTCTTTATCATTGACTATTCTTATGACAGCGTATACTTATCCTTATGCGTGTCAGGCGTATTCGTACTGTATATACACGCCATTACACGCCTTACTTTCACGCGACTCTGAAGAAGGCTCGACCAGTCGCTGGCATTATGGCCCGGGGATTCGTACGAAACGGGCTAAAGAGATTGCTCAACCGTTTCTGCGATCTTCCATTCTTCCCAATCCAACGCCATACTCGAGTTCAACAATGTCGTTATACTCGAATGATTATCAACAATTCAACTTTCCATGTCACACCAAAACTCTAAAGCTGATCGGATCCAAATATAAGGGAGAGGCAACAACATATATAATGAACGTACTATTACCGGTGAGTATAGAGAGTCAAAGGAGTCTATTCCACTTACTCCATTCATGCTCGTATTTCCAAAGACGTGATAATGTCTTGGAGAGCCAGCGTGCCTTCAAGTAATTTCAACGTACGGTCGATCATTGTTTCGTCTTGCTCTGTTTCTGCTTTTAACCTCAACTCAGCCATCATTTCCGCCAATGCTCCCCGATCTCCCTGATAATCCTCTGTCCTACTCCCAACATCTATCAAATGTACCTTTCCCGATTCGTCCACGAGTACATTCCGTGCACAGATATCCCCATGTTCAACAAGCTGCATATCTTCCTCTATCTTTGATGTCCCCAGTGCATCAGCAGGAATCGCATGAATAGTTACCAGCCCTTGCAAGATGTCGAAAAAGATCTGCCATCGAACAGTCGGCAAATGATCCAAAGAAGTACCTCCAAACGGAATGAGGAAACCCCGCATTCGCTCTTTCGTGTCGACAACACATGCTAACACTGGATTGCTCGCTCGGTATTGCGGAGAAGGTGAAGCCATTCTGACATCCTTTTCGAGAATAAACATTGGCAAGCTGCGAGATGGAATGGAGTATGTTTCCGATGCATGGGACCGAAAGTATCGTCTCTGCACATATACCGATGCGTTTGACAGTATAAGTTATTTGAGTGTCCTCGTATATATCCCTAGATAATATCATTTGTAGGTAAGGTCGGTATCAATATAGAAAGGTTTTGCCTGGGGTGGGCAACACACCGCTAAGCGAGGATCTAAAGCCCGGAGCATCTGAGCTGTAATAAACTTACCAGCTAGACACTAAGAGCAATATAAAGGGTAGGTGGGTGGGTTGACAAAAGATGAGGCTGTAAGAGGTCGGACGGTGAGCGTCGAGGGTGAGAACGAACAGGCGCCTAATCGAACTCAATCGCCACTCATTATCTTATCCTATGATAAGCCAACCTGCGGTTGACTTATCTCGGAACTATGTATGCACAGAAATCCAAGATAAAACTCATCATGTACATAACACTCGGAGTTGTCTATACTACTGTGTAGTGAGATGGCCAATATCAATTTCAAACTCTGAGACTAATGCAACCCCGCAAAGTCATTAAGTGACATTGAGTTTGTGCGTCTGGCTCAACTTCGAATGCTATGACATTCAGAAAACAGGTCCTACTCAAGACCTGAGGAATGTGAAGAAATGGTCGATTCATTGTAAAACACGCATCAACTAGATGCTTATGCTTCAAATTAGGCACACACAACCGAAGTACTAAATATCCCTGACCCAATGCGTAACCTCTGGCCAACGTCTGGACCACTGAAATTATCAGTCTCTTATGACTGGAATGTCCTTCTCTAGGATGCATGATATAAGTATAAGATTGCAAAATTCTATGAGAACTCACTTGAAAACAGTTAATCGCCCTCCGCTGCTGCAAGGCATTCACAAGTGCTACAGTCTTTAGCTATGCGCACATTGGAGATGATGACGCGGGTGGAAGTTCCTCGACAGAAAGCAGATCCAGTCCCAACCTTCCTTGCTCCACACTTTTGAGGGTGGTGTTGGTATAAATGACTACATGTAGACGAGTAAAAGTGCCATGTTCCACAGACACATACAGGATTGAGCAACTCATCTGTCGCCATGTAATCACTGGCCTTAAAGTCACCCGGAGCAACAACAGGCATAATGATGATGATCTTTGTAACACGGTGAAAAGTGAGGTTTGTGGAGATATGGGATCTTCTGGAATGCTGATGTTAACGTAGTATTAGACTAGCAGGTACTGTTAGTAAGTACGAATATCTAATTATTAGTGAGCTCACCTCAGTTGATATAAAAGCAACTGAGGGGGCTCGTGTACTCCGTCTGCGTGATCTATCTACAGCTGTACAGTATATAGTAATCATGAACGAAGATCAGCGTATTGTCACGAAGCGGCAAAGGCGGAGTGACTAACGGAGCGGGAAAGCGGAGCGACTAAGCAGAATGGCGAGGCGGAGCAACTGAACAAGGCAACAAGGCAGAGCAACTAAGCGGCGGCAGGCTGGTCCCAGATAATGACAGAGATATATTGAGTATCGTAGTCATAGGTAATAATAAGTAAGCACATACCTGGTCCCAGATAATGACAGAGAGGTCAAGATAAGGGACCAGGCTGTGGAGGGTTGGCTATATATACATAATCCGGTCTGCGAGAAACAACGATGTAATACTGTACAGTTTAGGAACAAGGAAGGTGGTGGAAGCCAGTAGAAGGAGAAGATGGGTCAGGTGGATCAGTAATCGATGGGGGTTTGACAGTGATGGGATGATGTATCGTACAAGTAAAGGCGTCGAGACGGTGAGAAAAGGAAAATGATAGGGGCTGCGTACTTTATGACACGTATACGAATTAGGGATAGTGGTCAAAGGTCAAAGCTGTATCTCTGACGTACGGAGTATTCCCCAACAGCTGATACGGTTTATATATGCACAGTTGGCATATGTGGGCCAGCTGTGGGTATATGTACCAGGGGTGCTAGACTGATAGCGGTTAATAACATGCTAGTCATATGTAGCAACTAGTCATAACACCACAACACCCACAGGCGACCCACAGAACCCGAGCACCGGCAAGAACAAAACACATAACCCTCTGGCCACTCCAAATTTTCACATCTACAGTCATGTATCACCATTTGGGATGGTATCATCAAATGGGACAAATTGAATTTTTACTTAATCTAATATTATACATGAACTCCTGGCTACATCAAAAGTTAAAAGACTTCATGCTGCACACTACTGTCAAATTTGAGAAGAGAGACCTAAAGTATTGCTGTCAGGATATCAAATTGAAGAAGTGTTAATTTGGGATGAAATAAAATTTGTTTGGGTCACTGTGTCAGTAATTGCAACAGAGAACTGCTGTAACTTTGCACTAATGTACTTCTTACATCAATACACCTGTTCACAAGCTTTGATTTAAGTAGAAGCAAGGAAACTATGTTTGAGACCAGTATCACATTCCCAAAGCAGATATGATAAGATATGAATTTCGAAGTCCCGACCAGGCCTTCAGCCAGGGCTGCGACACTCATCTCAGTTTGAACCACATTTACAATGGTTGGTCATGCTCACTCAGAACGATAAAAGAACAGGGCACACTCAGCATTGGTGGAAAAGTACATGCTACAGGCAATTGATCTTTACAAAACCAAACACGAGAAGGAGCATGGGATGTTGCTTAAAAATGTTTGTAATTTTATAGCACAACAGTGTTATGTAGATACAAAGCAAACTATCAAACTATTGGACTGAACTTTGTACAGATGAGTTAACAGTGGGCACAGTCACAGAGAAGCAAAGGAGGAACAGAGGTGGTTGAATGATGAAGAGGAAGAGGTTTTGATTAGTGAAGTGATATACTGGGGTGATTGAGGATTCCCTCTGGATCATCGACAGCTCAAAAAGCATGCCGATGAAATTGCCAGGTGTCAAGTCCATGCATCGGGACTCCATTTTGCCCCTTGGTACTCCAAGATCTACCGTTTATTGTAATCTCTTCCTTATTGTTCTTTCTCGCTACACATACCCTTTCATTCTAGTCTCTCCTTATTGTCTTTTACCTTACCCTGCAGGTACTACATGTATAGCTCCTAGTAGTTAGTCTGGCGCTCCACACCGTTGCGCCAATCCATAGATATAAGTACTGCCTGTACACTACTGTAGTTCCTCAGTTTAATTATCGACTTAGATTCCCTTTCTAACTCAGTCCATCTCTTAAAGTCTTCAGGCTCATTACCTCGATGCACTCTCTATAGCCTTAGGACTTATAAGTTCTCTGGCTCGCTCCTTGTCACCGGCGATACCGCCGCTCCGACTTGGCTGCTCCTAGTTTCTCTCCTCACTACTCTTGATCTCCGGGGACTAGCGGCGTAACGGCGGTGTTGTTAATAACTTCACTACTGTCCCACTCGACTTCCGCTCTTAGACACCTGTGGCCTCTGGCATGGTTACACGGTGTACATGATCTTAACAGTATAATTAAACTCAATCCGTTAACGTCGTACTGACATATCATTTTTTATGCCTCCAAAAACCCGAGCTCAATCTAGAGCTAACTCTGAAGAAAATACTTTCTTCACTACAGCCCAATCCTTCGCCCCTTTCTCCAAATCTATTTCTGCCATCAGTCAACCACGTCGCCATAATTGCGGTTTCGGTCCAGCCACAGTTCCTACTATGTTGATTCTTCCTGAAGCCATGAAAGAAGATCAGCAATGTCGCGACGAGGCAGGAAGCGGGAGGCAGGAAATCCGAGTATGCTGAGGAGCAACAGTGAAGAGGCACAGAGACAAGCACAAAGCACAGATAAAAGAAATAGTGATCTCAAACAACAGTGGGATAGCATCAGAGGCCAATCACACCAGTAATCAAAAGGGAATCTAGTTGTCCAATGACCAAGTTAGATAAGTAGTATCTAAGAGGATACAAGTACTTGCCTAGTTGCCCAATGACCAGGAGGTCGAGATGGGGAACTAGGATCTACCTACTGCTCTTTATATACTACTTCTGTCTAATGAGTAAGCGATTGTGAATAATGATGCAATATGGAACAAGAGTGAGGAATCAATATATACGAGTAATAATGAGTCAATAATGAATCATAACGAGCTAATCGATGAATAAGGATGAGTTGTATGGAAGCATATGGAAACAAATAGAAGTATTGGGATGGTCATGTGAACAAGTACAATAAACATGTGAAAAGAGATTGATGGGAACACACCGCTGATGGCGCATCAAAGGGCGCATCATGAGACTTCATGACAATAAGCGAAAGGCCCGAGAATCGAAGGGCCGCGCTGCCAAGGTTGAAGAAACCCCCAAAGCAACTATTGAAGTTGTTGAAGAGGAATTGGAAAACTAGTCCGCAGCTCTTGTTCCCCGGTATGAAACGGGAGCTGTGTTGATCAGGTTCGTACCTCACCTGGGGAGTTATATCTCAACACGTCCGCTCTTTCTTCCATTGAATGCTCTCTTGTAATATCTTTAACTACTGAATTTCTGTTATCCGATTCAGCTGCACTGGCTGAACTTATTTCTGCTCTTCTCAAATTTCCTACTTTTGTTGACTCTGGTTCTACTGACTCTTTTATCGATACTCGTTACGTTTCACAAAATTCCATTCCTATGACCAAAATCTCTTTGATGGTTCATTATCTTCTAAACCCATTACCGATATGGCAAATATTGCGGTTCGGTTCCCTTCTGGCGAGCTGCTCCTGTTGCCTTTTTATGTTACTCATTTAGATTCATCTTGTAAAGCAGTATTAGGTTACAGTTTCTTATCCCGCTACAATCTGTTGATTGACTGAGCATCTCAAAACATTACGTTCCGTAACACTTCACACTTTGATTCTCCACAGACATCTGTGCCTTCTGCCATCAACACCGTTGATGCAAAGGTCGCTGTTCCGCTACCAGAACCTTTGCCGTCAGTTATACCGACAATTCTGGAAACCCCTCCTGGGGATTCACTTTGCTCTCGGACTTCACAGGCCAAGCCCCTCTTGTCCAAATTCCCCTTTGAACCCATCTACTCTTATCCTATGGTCTCTCAATTCACTGCTCAGCTGGAAACTCCTGAGGTCGACATTTCACTGGTCAGTGCTGCAGTCTTGAACAGGGCTTGCAAGGACGCTGGTATGGAACCAATTCTTCTTTGTGCTATTCACTCAGAGGTCGCAGCCCGCGCCGCCGACTGCTCCTCCATCGCTCCTACTGTCCCTCCACTTCCTCATTCTATCCCAGCAGAGTACACCGAGTTTGCAGACGTCTTCAACGAGATTGCTGCAGATTCACTCCCTGAACACAGACCTTACAATCTGAAGATTGACTTGGAAGAA